ACCCCCAGTGTTCTGTCAGGGGAGTTAACCGCTGTATTTGTATAGGTGTTTAAAGAATATTTAAAGGCTGCCAATGTGTGCCCGGACCCCCCTGCGCCCACACCGCCCCCACCGCCCCCACCGCCCACACCGCCCACACTGCCCTCACCGCCCTCACCGCCCTCACCACCCCCACCACCTCCACCACTGCCACCACCCCGAGTGTTCTGTCAGGGGAGTTAACCGCTGTATTTGTATACAGTAGGTGTTTAAAGAGTATTTAAAGGCTGCCAATGTGTGCCCGGACCCCCCACCGCCCACACCGCCCTCACCGCCCTCACCACCCCCACCACCTCCACCACTGCCACCACCCCCAGTGTTCTGTCAAAAGAATTAACCGCTGTAGTAGGTGTTTAAAGAGTACATAAAGGCTGCCAATGTGTGCCCTGACCCCCCCCCCGCGCCCCCACCGCCCACCCCCACCGCCCCCACCGCCCACACCGCCCTCACCGCCCTCACCGAGTTAACCGCTGTATTTGTATAGGTGTTGAAAGAGTATTTAAAGGCTGCCAATGTGTGCCCGGACCCCCCCGCGCCCCCACCGCCCCCCCCACCGCCCACACCGCTCTCACCGCCCTCACCACCCCCACCACCTCCACCACTGCCACCACCCCTAGTGTTCTGTCAGGGGAGTTAACCGCTGTATTTGTATTGGTGTTTAAAGAGTATTTAAAGGCTGCCAATGTGTGCCCGGACATTCCCACGCCCCCACCGCCCACACCGCCCCCACCGCCCTCACCGCCCTCACCACCCCCACCACCTCCACCACTGCCACCACCCCCAGTGTTCTGTCAGGGGAGTTAACCGCTGTATTTGTATAGGTGTTTAAAGAGTATTTAAAGGCTGCCAATGGCCGCCGCGCGCGCGGCTTTTTTGTCATACCACCCCATGGCCACCACTACACTGGTTCCGTACCTTAAGCATAACGAATACAGGCAACTGCTTAAGTCGTTGCTTCCGCAAACAAGTCGTTGCGTTTCATGCGTGTAGATGGGGTTTAGCATGTCAGCCACACAAAACTATCATTCAGTGATCAGTGGTGCTGGACGAGTACTTGAACCATGCGTGTAGATGGTGTTTCGCTTGCCAGCTTGGTTGAGAAACGCATATGGATGAGCGTCTATGCTTGGGAGTCGCACTGCAAACAGGCACCTCCGTCCTTGAGCGATCTTTGCGGAATCGAGCGCATACATTGGGAATGGCCGGTCTTGGCGTGCTGTTATGCCACTGATGACCACTGATGTTTGACGAGCAGGTGCTTGAAATCGAGCGTCTACATGAGGAATGGCTAGTTTTAGTGTGCCGCGATGCTACTGATGATCACTGATGCGTCTCGAACGGGTTCTTGAGTGGAGCGTGCACATGGGGAATGGTTCTGGTGTGCTGCGATGGTGCTGACGATCACTGATGTATGTCTCGAGCGGGTGCTTCCGGGATCAGGCGTCTACATGGGGAATGTTTTTCGGTGTCCTGTGATATGCCGGAGGCATTCGGATTCCGAGAAGAGGTTCGTTCGTGCCGTAGTACACGTCTTACTAGTACTAGTCCTAGTACTAGTACTATTACTAGACTCGTGCCAGTTACAAGACTTGCAGTTGGCTGCTTTCAACGCCTGCTGCGTTCCTTGGATAGTCACCTCTCTTCTTTTGGGGTCGGCGGCAGTGGCGGCAGCCCATAAATCGGGCAGCGCTTCGCTGCCCTGTATGGACTGAGCTATGGCTCAGACGAATGAGCTTCGTCTGCGAAGCAGAAGCCACGACCGACAGTGCCGCCGACCCGCCCCGGACCCCGCATCATCGGACCCTCGTTTCTCCGCGGGGCCTGGCCCGAAGGCGTCTCGGAACGCGCACGCGTTTTGCAGCCATTCCGCGCAGTGTGGCGGGTTTCGGGGCCGCCGTGGACGACCCCAGGAGGCGAGCCGGCGAGCATCATGAGCCCTCGGGCGCCCGCAACCGGCGCCGGCGGCGCGACGTGGGCGCGAAGTCATAACTCCCAAGTTTTGAGTGGGTTGCGGAAGCCGCCAAAGGGCGCGCATCATGAGCATCAGCGGGGTCCGGCGGACGGGGGGTGCGGGCTACATGCAGGGCCGACGGGGGCTGAGAGCCTACGATCACCCACAAGTTGCGAACTTCGGGCCTACGTTGCACTTATCTATATACCGCGGGTTTCTGACAACAGCTCGCAGCGGGCGCTGCCCGCACCTGGGCGCAGCCCCTATATATATATATATATATATACGTATATAGATTTATAGTTACATACATACACATATTGCTTTTCCCCTTGTGTCAACAGTCTGCACCAGGGAGTACTCAGGCGGCTACAGATACGGACAGACAAGGCTCAAGCTGAGGGCAAGACCAGAACATCAACCTACGCCAACTCATGAGCATCTGTAGAAGCACCTACGCATTTTGCCTCGATCCTTTGATGCAGACCCGTTCAAAAGGATTGTCGACAATGATCTGGTCTTCCGGTGGTTGACCTGTCCCTTTCTGAGCGAATACCCTGAACCCTGCAAACCCTAAACCCTAAACTGAAACCCGCAATGGGCTGGACCTCGTTAAAGGCGCTTTGACTTCCGAGCCGAAGTTTACAGGGTTCGGTTCTTGATGAGAATCAAGTTTTGGGGTCTGTCATGGGAAGTACAACTACAATCAGGAGCCTCAAGGAGAACTATATTTGTAACTACAGTAGAAGCCAGAAAGTTGGAATATCATTATCGTAACCCCTTTAAGGTAAATTATAGGGGATCCTACCATTAATCCATATTCCAACTTTCTGGAGTTCCCTTTATTCAGGATTCCAAACTTTGTTCTTCTTCAACGGCACACGGACAGTGACACGCAACGATTCGGAAGTAAGAACCTTGTTCGGCACAGAGGCTTCCGTATTGGGGACGAAGGCTTAGAACAGCTTCGGCACGCAAAGTATGCTAAGCTTCTCAATATAGTACCCTCAATATGACATAAAGCCCTGTTAATAGTATAGTAACCAGAGCGACCATCTTAATATTATGGTACCCTTATAGTAACCATGCTATAGCGATATGTGGGTGGTTGTCAAAATTATGGTCCCTTTCTGGGTCCCTGTTATAATACGGCACCGATTATTTAGGGTACCCGAAGAGGGACCTTAATTTTGACAACCACCCATATGTTGGTGACCCATGGAGCGAAGTCCACGACAAAACCACTGGAGCGCCTTTCTGAGGTCAGGATTACAGAAAGGGGAGCCTTACTTGGAGATTCAGGGGGTAGTTATAAGTAGGGTCATAAGTCCACCTATTATGGGGGATAAGTATGGCCATCTAAATCAGAAGCTCTGAACCCTACTTGGAGGTTCAGGGGGTAGTTATAAGAAGGGCCATAAGTCCCCTATTATGGGGTATAAGTATAGATACCCTACTTCTAAACCTACTTATACCTACCCATAGACCTCCTAGTACAGGCATTTCACAGCAGGGTACTTTCAAGAGCATCGCGGCAAGAATCGCACGAATGCGCGTATAAACTACTTTTATGACGGCAGCTGCACTTGGAAATAGTTGGGTCTTCAAGTGCGCAGCGCCTTAAGCTTAAGGCTTCGGGCTCTCTGATGCGGTGATGTTTGCCCCTTGCTTTTTTGTCCGGTCGGCGTGCGAAAACCAATGGCCACACAAAGCAGGCGGCAATGTGGGAGTTTCCGAAAACTGGGGACCAAAACATAGTACCCTAAGTAGGAGGATCCTTATTACAAGGACCCCCAAAGAAGGAACCCCCTATAATCGGAAGCTCCAATGCGGCTCCAGGGGCGAGCCAACCATGGCAGCGTTGGCTCATGGTTGGCCAGTCGACAGCCTGCAAAACCTCTCCCCAGCCCACACCTCCGGTTGACACTGGCCTGAGCGTTGAGATGTCACTGCCAAAAAAAGTGTGTATATGTGTATATATATATATATATACACACACCTATTATACACATATATTTATAAAAATGGCGTAGACGATTCTGCGTAGATCGATCTGGCAAAAAGCCTCCCAGTGATGGGACCTATGCTGTAACAAGAGGTGCAGGCGGGGGGGAGACAGCTCAAGGGGAGCATTCGGAGATTCCGCCGTATCATCGGAGTCATTAAGTACGGGCCCAGAGACTCCAATATCCCTTAATTCAAGAATATACCTTAAAACATAGTAGGATCCCTAATATGATTTAAGGTATATTCCTTAGCTAAGGGATATTGGAGTCTTTGTGGGTTTGTGGTTTAGTCAAGCCAAGATCCCGCTTAGGAATGGGTTGCCTTGGTCTGAGATCACGATCAGATGCCGTCAGACTGGCCGGGCGTTTGCCCTTAAATTCTGCACCAGTAGAACTCGCAGACTCTGAGTGTAGTTGTCATTGTATGATCTCCTGAAACTGCTACACCAGAATTGTCCCCCGAGAACTTCTGAATTCGGCAGAAAACTGCCCAGCTTTGAGGCAGCCACGGTGCACGTACGTGCAATGCAGTTTAAGTTCACGGTTGCTTTAAAGTTAGGCTATTGCAGTATTTCCAGAAGTCTCGTGGGATTCTCGTCATGAGAGAGTGCTTGGGATCAGGTCATCGTGTCGTCCTCGTGGTCGTCGCAGCCGTGTGTCGTACGACTACGACTACGACTACTACTACTACCACTACTACTACTACTACTACTACTACTACTACTACTACTACTACTACTACTACTACTACTACTACTACTACTACTACTACTCCTGCTGCTGCTACTACTGCTACTACTACTGCTACTGCTACTGCTACTGCTACTGCTACTGCTACTGCTACTGCTACTACTACTACTACTACTACTACTACTACTACTACTACTACTACTACTAGTAGTACTGCTACCACTACAAGGGCTCTTTCGAATGCTGGCATGTTGAATGCACGACTCGTGCGATCAGATCTCGAAGGTCTGGGCCGCGCGTGCTGAAAGGAAACCCTAAATCTCACTGAGGCTGTTGTAAGTGTAGACGATGGGAATGCACTTGTCATCCACTGCGCCGTCGTCGTCGTGGTCCTCCTGTTTCGCCACAAGTAAAGCCAGCCCCAAACCCTCCACCCGTTCGGGTTTCGCGCGCACTCATCTTACCTTTGGTTAGTAGGGAATGGAGGAATGGGGTACAATTATAACTACTATTTCTACCATTCTTCCATTCCCTACTAACCAAAGATAAGTTATAGGATCATTAAGGCCCTTACATTATAGTAACCATTATAGACCCCTTTATAAAGCCCCTTTAATTCCCTACTAACCAAAGGTAAGTCATTTAGAGTGTTCGGCCAACTTCGAGATGCGAAAGAGGGGAACTCTCTCTGTGTCGGCGGAGGAGAGAGGCTTCAGAAGGTTTAAGGTTTTTAGGGTTTAGGGTTTAGGGGTTTACGGTTTAGGGTTTTTAGGGGTTGAGGGGTTTTAGGGTTTAGGGTTTAGGGTAGCCTTCCCCTGTTGCTCCCAGCATCTCTGCATCCCAAACAAACCAATCCTGTTCAGGAAAACTTTCTCGGACATTTCATCTGGGTGGCATCTTGGGCATACGTTTAGGGTTTAGGGTTTAGGGTCGTAAAGAGGAGCCTTCAAGAAATCACTGTGTTCGCCGAGACAGCTCCCAATCTGCTCGGACTCTGGGAAACAGGATGCCGGGTTCATGTGCTTAGGATATGGGTAGTTGTCAAAATGATGGCCCCTTTTTGGGGTACCCTAAATATGCCGTGCCGTATTAAAATAAGGACCCAACAAGGAGCCATAATTTTGAGAATCACCCATATGGGAGAAGAGATATCCGCTTTCTCCCACAACATGGGCTTCAAGGGAGTACCTGGACACAGAAAGCGAGAAGATGAAGGGCCCGGCGACGAGGGGAACTGCGGTCGTGACATCTCTCTTCCATGCTCTCTACACAGAAACATAATTTTACATGCCGTGTGTGTATTAATGCGCTGATAGTAGAATGCAGCGTTGCATGTCCATGCATGCTGGTAGCTCCATGCCCCGGACCGACACCAGAGTGCATAGCTTGGGGTGTTGTCGGTCAAGGGGGAATTGACTGGCTACGTAGGGTGCTCAAGACTTGAGAAGAGCGTAGAGGTTTCAGGTTTGAGGCTCTAGGGTTTCGGAGTTTGGGGGTTCCTCAGTCACGAATAATGGAACTCGTCCGAAGCTCACAAGCGTCTCCTATCCTCGAGCCTGAAACCGATCCAAACTACCAGCCGCCTCAAAACCCTGGATCATCGGCTCCCCAAATCATCGGAGGAAAACACGACATTGGGGGAGGGCACACAAATGACAAGGGACAAGATCACTGAAGCTTGAGGAACTTGAGGGCCCATGCCCTAGAGGAAACCTCAGCAACCCCTTTTACAACACTCCAACAACTGCAACCCCACAGAAGCCCTTTCCAACAGCTCCACCCGACCCACCACCAGCCCCAAGCAAAGACAGAACTTGAGCGGTCATCGTCTGAGCTCAGCGAAGGCCATCCCTTCGTGATTCCGAGAGGCATTGGGGAGTCGGAATCCTTGGATTCGTTGAGGGCGTAGAGCTGCGAGGTTGGGATTTCGGGCTGAGGTTTAGGGTTCAAGGATTGCAGACTGAGGTTTGGAGCTTGCCAATTCTTCCGATTCCGAGAGACGTCGTTCGCAATCTTCACCGAGTCCAGGCACAGCTCATCCTGGGTTTCAGCTTCACGACTCAGGTTTCATAAGGCTTTTAGGGCCTTAGGGTTTTAGGGTTTAGGGTTTAAGGCTTTAGGGTTTTAGGGTTTAGGGTTTAGGGTTTTAGAGACCGATTACCCTAAACCTGAAATACTTCTAAAGTCATGCTTGCCATTCCCCGTCGCCTATGACCCTCCGAAGGGCAACAACGACAAAATCTGGCTTTTCGCCACCTCGGGCCCCGGTCTGCAGATGTAAGATTCAGGAGTTTCCGAAGATTGGGGTACCGTATTTGGGGGTCCTTTACAGTAAGGATCCTACTATTTAGGGTACTATAGTAGGGTCCCCAATTTTCGGAAACTACCATTCCTTGACGGATGGTGAACGTTGATGAAAGGAAACATAGAATCATCATCATCATCCTCACCGTCACCATCAGCCATAAGAAAGAATGTGGCATTCGCGAGTCGTGGCGTTCCTTCCGTGTGATCCCCTGAAACCTAAACCCTCCAAACGTACTTGGAGACACATGGGTAGTTATACGTAGGTTCATAAGTGCCCTAATATGGGCTATAAGTACAGTTACCCTACTTATATCCCTGCTTTATAACTACCCATGAACCTCAAGCTCCCTCCAGCGAAATTTTCATCCACGACGGACGTTGCTTAAGGCTTGCTCTGGCATGGACCCCGGGGGCAGGGCCCCTAAAACCCTAAAAGCCCTCGGCACCAAACGATAAAGCCCCCCTCGAGAATATGAAAAGAAGTTTAGGATTTCGGGTTTAGGGGAATAATGAGACTGCCGAATGTGTGGGGTCTACTGTAGGGGCCTTAATAGTTACCTATACCATTTTGGGGGTTCAGTAATATAATTATGGTATAATGCATACCCTAAACCCTAAACCCTAATTAAGGCCCCTCTGCTACTGCTTCGGGTTGAGCATGGTGGAGGCTGGTGAGCCATCGGAGAACCTCGAGAAGTAAGCCGGGAAGGATGTTTAGGCCGTTCGCGCATCGACGGGTTAGAATGCTGAAGTCTAAATTTTCCCAAGCGACCAAGTCACTATGTCTTCTCGTCATTTGATTCTTCAATGTTTCCAAAACGTCGAATTGGATATTGCTACTGCTACCGAATGAAGGCCGAGCATCATCACCCTCATTGTAGACACAGATTTCCAAGGGATGCTGTGGCGCTTCAAAGCTGTAGACAAAGGGCTCTTCCGCACCCGCCTGGAAGTCCTCGATACTTAGGGTTTCGCGGTTTAGGGGTTCAGGGGTTTAGCGTTCAGGATTTAGGGTTTAGGGGTTTAGGGTTTGGGGTTTAAGGTTTCAGGTTTAGGGTCTAGGGCTCGGTCGGTGCAAACAAGCCAGCGAAACGACGTAAATGCAACATAGCAAGAGACTAGCTTATGGTTGGGATAGGATTTAAAATGCGCATTTTCCTTATTGGGTTGAAGTACCCATAAAGATGTAAAATGTTACCCAACTATGACAAAGCAGAGTTGAGATTGAGAAAGAACAAGGGCAGGGACCTCATCACGGTGTTGCCTATCGCATGCCAAAACATTCTGAACAAGTCATGGCATCGTTTTTGGATGTGCTGAGAAGCTTCATCGCACCTTTCCCGGTCCTATACGTCAGCCAACCGTAGACATCTGAGTCTGTCCCACAGTCATCATCGGAACTGACTTTGAAAGTCAACTGGAACTTCGTTCCAACATCCGCCTTTGTGCAGCACATGCTGTTGTCGAACGTCGGGGTGCATGTCGAAAGCTGGCAAAAGCGCCCCCCTGCATCCTTCTTGATAATAAAGCCACTGGCGCATGCATTGGTTGTACAGTACCTCGGGGCTTCAAAAAGGCATGGACCCTCATGTCAAGCCGAAATAGCCAAATCCTTAGGGTACGGATGCCATAATGAGTCTGGTATGTCAAGCGCCAAGACTCCAAGACCAAAACAAGCCTCTTTCACTTAGGCCGTTTCGGAAAGGATCGCAGGAAAGCACTCTTCAAGAGGACGGCAGAAGATGGCTTTCTCTAATAGCTGTGGGGCATTCGACATAAGCGCCTGAACAATCTTAATACAGTCTTCTGGGCACGCTGTAAACTAAAGCATACTTGGAGGGTCGGGGGACTTAGTAAGTAGGTAGTAAATAAGTACCCTAAAAGGGACCCTAATTGGGGTTATGGTACTTATAAGTCCCTAAAATAACCAGTTACTAAGTCCCCCGACCCTCCAAGTATTGGAATAGTGCGACCAGTTCTTCGACCCTGTAGTCACTACCAAGCCCGAAACCCTAGAGACTCAAATATCCCTTAATTCAAAAATATACCTTAAAATATAATAGGATCCCTAATATGACTTAAGGTAAACTCCTTAATTAAGGGACATTGGAGTCTCTGGGACCCATGATGGGATCCATATAGGATTCAGGGTGTAGTGTTTAGGATCCTGGGGTTCAAGCGTCCACTTCCCCATGTAGCATATACCCATAGGCCCCACGCATCCAAGCTGCGATCTCTGCTCAAACGTGCAGCAGCCTTCACAGTCGGTTTTGCCATTTTCGGGGCAGTCGACACCGCGGGTACCTCTTCCGAAGGCCGGCGTGTCACCCAAAACGCTGGCTAAAAAAGCGCGAACCCTAAATCCTAACACCTTAGAAACATTTCCCTTAATCCTAAACCCGAAACCCCCCAACCCTAAACCCTGAACCCTAAACCGTATAACTTAGCCCTCTTCTTCCCTCATCCCAAAGCCCGAGGCTATGAGGTCTGGGCTTAGGGTGAAGAGCTACAGAAACTCTACAGGCTGAAGGCCCTAAACCCCAAACCCAAAATCCTTAAACCCTAAACCCAACACGGTTTAGGGTTAAGGTTTTTTTTTAAAAAGGGTTAAGGTTTAGGGTTCCGGGTTCAGGGTTTAGGGTTTAAGGGCTTTGGGGGTAGGATTTAGGGCTCAGGGTGGCGAAATCCAAGTGACCCGCCCTTCGGTCAAGCTCGATGGTGCAATAGCACTGCTTGGGCAGGCACCTCAAGGGTCATCTAAAAGTCCGTTTAGGGTTTAGGGGTTTAGGAGTCTAGGGTTTAAGGGTTTAGGCCAGGTCGTTCCTGTTTTGGGGTTGACCAATTTTATGTTTAGGGTTTTTGGTTCCGATAATGTAACCCAAAAGAACTACAATGGAGACTATGGGAAAGGGTTTTGAATTTGGGATTTAGGGTTCAGGGTTCGGGTTAAGGGTTAGGTTTACATGTCAGTGTGATGGGCTTAGCCCCAAGATCTTGGAATCTTGAAAAAGTAATACATTCGCGAGATCTGCAAACCCCCTGAAACACCAGCTGAGTGGCAACCTAAACCTCACCTCCGAAACAGCACTGAAGTGGCCCTAAACCCTAAACCCCTAAAGCCTGAACCTATACTGGGATGAAGCTATTCAACCCATCCCATCCCATATCGTCAGATCTCAGCCGTGGCGCTTGCCTGTAGGCGTATAGTAGTAACCAGGATGTTCAGCCTCGTCGTCCGGACTTCCGCAGATCCATGGATGAGATAACGACTGGAACCCCATGATACAGATGCAAATATAGATAAAGCAGATAAATAGACCGCACCATCCAACCAAATCAAATCGGGCCACTTGGAGGTTCATGGGAAGTTATAAGTAGGGTTATATGTAGGGTAACTATACTTATAACCCATATTAGGGGACTTATAACCCCACTTATAACTACCCTTGAACCTCCAAGCAGGGGGAAGGAATTTAGAGAGAGCCATGGCATGGGATGCTGCTTGCCCAGAGCCTCCAATATCCCTTATAGTTAATGAATATACCTTAAATTAGAGTAGGATCCCTTGCAAGATTTAAGGTATATTCCTTAATTAAGGGGTATTGGGGTCCCTGGGTGTGCTCGAAAATGATGTGCGACGCCAGCTGCGTGATGGCTGTCAGGCTGTCCCTTTCTGCTCTTTGACTTAACCTAGGCTTTGAAGTAACCCGGGAGAAAAAAGTAGAGACTTTTATTTCATAATGGTTCCCTTTAAGTAACAGGTCCCAAAAAGAGTATTAAAGTATGGTACTCCAAAGCCCAGTAAAGGATAAGGTAATCTCTGGGTCCGGAAAGGACGACGCAGAGCAGTTTGGGTTGAGCGCAGAGCTACGGAACCTCTAAAGCCCTGAACCCGAAACCCGAAACATAAAAAAGACAGAGAGAGAGAGAGAGAGAGAGAGAGAGAGAGAGAGAGAGAGAGGGAGAGAGAGATAGAGACCTAAACCATAAACCCTGTGTCAAGGCTCTACAGCCCTCATAGAAATGCCACACCAAATAACCGAGCCTTCTGGCATCCAACCCCTAAACCGTGATCCTAGACTCCTGGTGCTCACGACAACGCCCGCACCTCGCACCTGTCCGCCGCCTGCTGCCTTGGCAACAGACATGCAAGTTTTGGCGGTTCAGGATTAAGTGTTTAGGGCTAAGGGTTTAGGATTAAGGTTTAGGATTAAGGGTTTAGGATTCAGGGTTTAGGATTAAGGGTTTAGGGTTACCCTTTGCAGTTCTTGCAATGCGGTTCATGTCGGTCAAGCATCTCATGAAAACACATGCAAGCATGCAGGGTGGACGCTGTGTTCGACGTTGAACACTTTCACTTGGCACGTTCAGGTGAAGCTACTTGCTGCGTTGCTCAAGCCCGAACCGCCACAGCTCTCTCAATGAGATGCCGAGACAGAAGACAGGACATCCCGGCTGCAGCAACAAGAAGGGCTCTCACGGTCGAGAGGTTCCCTTTTTTAATGTGAAAGCCGTAATTAGTAAACCCTACTACTTGGAGGTTCATGGATAGTTTAGTTATAAGTAGGTTCATATGTCCCCGAATATGGGTTATACGTATAGCTACCCTACGTATAACCTTACTGATAACATGAACCTCCAACTGAACCCTGAAACCTGGAACCGGTGCCCTGCTTGCTGGATAAGAGACTGCGTGGACCCACCGGCCACAACTAACGTGGGCTTTGAAGAACTGGAGCTTCAAGCTCAAGACTTTCAAAGCACTTCTAAGAAGTACGGCACCTCGAACCACTGAGCCTTGATGCCTATGCGAAACCCTCCAACCCGAAACTTAAAGCTTCTAGGCTTTATGCTATAGGAGCCTTCCAGGCTCTGAGATAGAAGCCTGAATAATCACCAACACTATCCCCTTGGAGTTACTTCCTTCATCCTGTAACACGATGCTACAACTCAGATACCCTTAATGTCATCCTTAAACGCTTAAAGTTTAGAGGAAACCTGTGCTTAGTCTTAACGCCTTGAAATCCAAACCATGTCTGTGCGGGAGACCAATCTTGAATCTTCGACAGGGCACTTCTTCCAGGTCGATGCGTTGTGCGCGTACCTGACGCAAGACCCAGCACTTTGTTTTAAGAGCTTTACAAGGGTTTGAGTTCTGTCAAGGTTTTATAAGGGCGTTACAAGGGTCCAATGAAGGCTTCTTCCGAGGTTTAGTAGGGACCTGAATGAGCTAGACAAAGCTGTTGGGGGCAGCTGTATGCTTCAAGCATGTCGGAGAAAATGCCTGCAGCACGAACACCCCAAGAAGCAGTCTGTGCGTGTAAATGAATATATATATATATATATATATATATATATGTATATATATATATATATCTGTGTGTGTGTGTAGACACACGAACCTGGTGTTCTCATGTACTCGTTGGTTCACGCTCATGACTTGTAATTGGTGTTCACCTCTCAGTTCATGTGTCTGCTTGTCTGCTTGCTCTTTATACTAAACCCTAGACCATACTTGGAGGTTCATGGGTAGGTAGAAGTAGGGTCATAAGTCCCCGAATATGGGTTATAAGCTATAAGTATAGTTACCCTACTTACAACCTTACTTATAACTACCCATGAACCTCCAAGTAAACCCTGAAGCCCTGGACCCAAGGTCCCAGCTAGCCTGGGCCCTGTTCAGACCAGTCTGGGCGAAGAGCCTCACGCCATCCCTCAAAGACTAGGACATTGGGGTATAGTAATCTGATATAGTATAATATGGTATGATATAGTACAATCTGGTATGATATAGTATAATATGGTATAATATAGTAGTATACTATGGTATTAGTAGAATATAGTATTACAAGAACTCCGAAACCGCAGCCCCCAAGCTGAAAGCCCAATTACCCTTAAACCTCAACTAGAGGGGCCTGAATGGATTTCGAAGGCCTTTAGGGTTTAGGGTTTAGGGTTTACGGTTGAGGGTTTTCTATAGTATAGTCAGTGTAGCTGTGGAAGGACCATGAGGGGATATACCATTACTAACTAGTCACGCTCTTGTCTTAAACTCCAAACCCTACACCCTAAAGAAACTTCTATCGTACCAACAGGTCACTGGATCAGGTACTGCATGTTCTGCGTAGTGGAGCATGCCTTAGGCTTCGATGTCGGTTGCCGAAACGGTTGTTTGGGATTTGGGCTTAGGGGTAAAGGTTTCCGGTCTCCGGCTTAGGTTTAGGGTTTTGGGTTCAAGGTTTCGTATTCGGGCTCAGGGCTTCGTGGTCACCGCCACAAAATCTCGAAGAAGGAGAGTCTGTCGGGTTCGGGGCTCAAGGAGGGCTTCAAGATCAGCGACGATAAGGGAGTTTCCGAAAATTTGGGGTACCATATTTTGGGCCCTTATAATGAGGATCCCACTATTTAGGGTACTATAGGTCCCCTATTTTCGGAAACTCCCATAAGAACATCACAAGCTTTTGCTGACTATTACAACACTCTTGAGACTCCTCTAGTACGGCCTGGAACTACCTTGGCCTCTGACACTTGCAGAGTTCAGGGGTGCCCGTGACTCCACCGATTCTCATCCGAAGTGCAAGCATGGGCAAAACTGGCTTTAGTTCCTAGGGCGTATCTGGAAAGTTGCTGCGTTTGCTTGCCTGCAGTTCCTCTGTTAAACTTCGACACACAATAGCTTCACATGAGTGGCTGTCAAAATTAGGGTCCTTGTTGGCGTCCTGAATTAGTACGTTACCTAGTGTATAGGGTACACAAAAAATCGAAATTTTGACAGCCACCCACATGAAGGAGCCCAACGCCATGGTGAGCCCCCCGACAACTGCGCCAAAAATCCTGCACACCCTAAACACGAAATCCTAACCAAGTCCTGTACTATAGGCGCCTAAGACAATTCGCCTCGGCCCCGGCCGAGGATTTGTCTTTCCCCCCCCCCCCCCCGACCCCTTCCGCCCCTATAATGTTGACTTTTCGGTTGGTGAACCCTGCTCCTCTCGCACTGCTTGCTGACCCTCCCATGCCATGGCATGCGAGCTTCACGCTTGCATCAGAGGCTGTGCTTTCTCCCTATACGCCGTGTGTTGAGGGTTTCGGGTTTACGGTTTAAGCTTTAAGGCTTGGGGTTTGGAGTTTCGGGTTTCAGGCCTATGGGTTCGAAGGGGCCCCCACCCTGTAACAGTGGTCTAATAGGAATATAATGGGGCCCTAATATAATCCTTATAGTCACCATTACAGGGTGGTGGCCCCTTCTAACCTATGGGCCCTGGTAGGCTTTCGGGTTGCTGCATTCCGAAACAAAGAGACCAGCGCCGGGCCGAGAGAAAACGATGCGAAGCGTTTAAAACTACTAATAGGGTAGTTGTCAAAATTAGGTCCCTTTTTGGGTACCCTACATAAAAGGTGCAGGGTATCCCAAAAGGGTACATAAATTTCAAAACTACACAATAACATCTTGGGTGTTCCTTATTGTTTTTTATGCTGTTTTCTACGCCGGAACCCTGTGCCTTTTATGGTAAACTATACCCCAAAACCCTCTTCTAATTACTAAGGCCCCTACATTAATCCCATGGCAAAACCTTCCCCCCCAGGTCCCCTCCAGCCGGGCGGCCGCCTGCTGGATCTTCAGGGGAACCTGCTCCCGGTCCCAGGTCCAAGAGTTTAGGGTTTAGGGTTCAGGGTTTAGGGTTTAGGGTTTAGGGTTCAGGGTTTAGGGTTTAGGGTTTAAGGTTCGGTATCAAAGGGCTCCAGAGGTGGGATCAAGGTGGGTGGGATATTCCCAAATAAGGGTGCCCAAAAAAGATATCCTGAAGCCTACCTCCCTTCATCCCACCTTTTGAAGCCTCCGACGGTAGCCTCAATCCAAGCATAAAAGGAGGGACCCTTAATCAGGACCCCTAGGTATATACCCTTCATTTAGCTATTATAAGAGGTAGGGGTCCTCATTAATGGTTCCTCCCTTTTCCCTTTGACTCAATCCCTAATCCCTAAACCCTAAGCCCTACGCCCTCCAACGGCCCCTTACTCTGATAAAACCCCGACATTGAATTGGCAACTTCGATCTCCGCCCCAAGCCCTAATGCAGAGGCCCTTTTTGAAATCTTGATACTATATTTCTACTATAATGTACCGCAAGACCCTACTCTTACTATTAAGGCCACTACACTGCGTCAAAAAATCCCCAACCATCCAAAAACCTTTCACCAAATGTCCCGCCTGTGTCCTGGTGAGGTTCTGGGCCTGCATAAACAGCCTCGAACGATCGGAAGCTGCGATGGTGAGGGTTTACGATTTTGGGTTTAGGAGGTTCGGGGAAAACGGCTTCGGCTTGCTGGACAAGTTGGGCCTCGGATGCAAAAAAAACCGAACTGGGCTCCGGATGCACCGGGAACGTTCGCTGCAATTGTCAAAGGCGAAGGTTGCAATCAAAAGGTCGCGAGTGCTCGGTGGATGTATCCAGCTTCAACAAACATCAGGGGGAAAAGTCTTGCTTTTTGTGCCACGGATTCGTTGGCGTGACACGCAGCACAAGGCTGCAAGTCACACCTATTGCAGTTTGCGGCAATCGGAAGTACAGAGGTGCGGGGCTTTCTGTACGCAGTTGCAGAACTCGTAAGAGACAAAGGCAGCCGTGAGGTTTTGCGGTTGATGTCTTCGACTGCCCAGAAACACTGAACAACACGAAGACACGGCAATCGATGATGCTACGAGTCTGCGAAGCAAGAGCACAGTACATCTGTGCTGTCGAATGCTGAAGACTGACATACTCCTGTTATCCAGACGCTTTCGAATGCGCAGATGCTCATAAGAACTCCCGTAATAGTGTGCATCCTCTCGCCGAGAACTAACTACACTCCGAAGCACCGTTGTAGCAAGAACATGGTGGGGTTGAAGGGGATTCTCAGCAAACAACTCGATGCCGCAGTGCATGTTCAAAGGGAAACTGCATACTACTGCATACGAAAACGGATGCTCATCTCAGCAAGTCGAGTCGCTGTATCCATCGCGCACAGAGTGCATCCGCAAGATCTGGATCGTCGACGAAGCTCCAGACCCCAATGCATCGGGTGAGGTCGCGCTGAATCACCTGAGGCCACGAAGGCTTCAGAACTCAGAGTCTAGGGTTTAGGCAGGTCTAGCCGTAGCAAGCGTGACACCAACGACTCTCAAGACTCACTAGCGACGAGAACTTTAGCATGAAGGCACGACGAATGACGTGATAAGCAATCAGCCTTAAATCCACAGACCCTGAAAACACCGCCTGAACAGCACACTAAAGCACCTAAACCCCGCCCCCCTCCCCCCCTTCCCCCCGGAGATCCGATGCCCCTTAACGCTACGGCAGGATCCCTACCATAATTCGAAGCCTCGCCCTCACACTCTCCGGAGGTCGGAGTTTCGGAGGCGCCTTCCAGTTCGAGCTCATTGAAAAGTCCAGGCTCCGGCGCCAGTTCGAGGGGCTTACGCCTGCAGCCAAGAGCCAAGCCCTTGAGGGTGTAGGGGTCTAGAGTTGACTTGAGGGTTCAGGCCTTAGGCTTTGGGGCTTTTAGGGTTCCTTCAAGGGTTCAGGGTTTAGGGTCGGGTTTTTGGGCCTTCATAAACATCTACAAGTCTGACAGCAGCTCTTTGAAGCATCATACAGCACCTTGTTCTGCTCTACTTAATGTTACATTGAACCATGGGGTCTGCGCTTGGTCTATGGATATGGGAAACCCTTAACACCGAGTCGTACATATTTCTGTGCGGGCTACTGGTGTTGGAGATGCGTTTAAAGTCGTTGGCACTATCACTGTTGTAAATGTTGCATACATATGATGGACAGGAACCTGCATTCCTCATACTATTCACACTATGAAGACTGATCACACGAGGTTTCATGTTGCTGGCATTGTGGCTACATAAATGACATAATATCTTTACTATGACTGTCATCCGCTGGTATGTCTCACGAGCTTGTTTATACTTTTGTCCTCCTCCTACTCCTCCTCCCAGTGCTCCTCCTCCTCCTCCTTCTGCTCCTCCCACCATCGCCCACCCACGCCTGTAGCTGCCGCAAGTATCGCTATGCAGCGGCCGAACCGAAGCTGCTGTCAAACCCAACCAAAAGTCTTTACCAGACCTAGCTACAGGCTTCCACAAGCATGGAAAAGTGTCAATATGTCATAAAAATGTATGCCAGCACAGCTGTTCCGCCTGGGGCTCCTCCTTTCCAAGTCTGTTCGATCTGCCTCGCTGCAGGGCAACCCTGGAGGTAACCCTAAACCCTAAGCCCTAAAACCGTGTCCTCTTGGTACCCAAATGCCCATAAGTTGAATTACCGTTTCTTGGTTAGGACCTCCTTTCGGGGAAATGCATTCGGAATGGCTCTGGCGTTCCAGACTATTGCAGGTTCCCGATTAATACACCCGCACCCTCAACAGTGATTTGTCAAGGGCTGCAGATTTCAATAAAACGGCACCGACGGGAAACTAGGTCACTCATCAGGGGTCCACATTAAAACTTATTGAAAACGTCAACCCAAACATAATGAAAACCCCTGGTAAGACCCGCATAGTGTGCCCAAGCTGCATTGTCGCATTCTTCATCGCCTGCTGCTGCACATCCCTGGGAAGCGGTTGGGGGGGGGTCATTAGACTAAGCAAGGATAATACAAGGTCTTCCAGGGTTTTATAGGCTCTTGTATTTGGTTTACGCTTGCAAGTAGAAGCGCAAGGTTATGGGATGAAAACAAAGAAACATACTTGCTCAACCAAGGAGGCTGTTTCCCAAGCCCTGGCCCAAAACCCTTGATGCCTCGAACTCTTTTCCCGGTACAGTATGCTGCTGAGCACCGCCAAAACAAAGCGCGACTCAACCCTTATCGCCTAAATCCTACACCACGAAGCTGAAAACTTCCCAAGCTCCACTTGGAGGTTCATGGGTAGTCATAAGTAGATTATAAGAAGGGTAACTATACATATAACCCATATTAGGGGACTCATGACCCCACTTATAACTAGCCCTGAACCCTTTTCAAACCTGACTGGATGGAAGAAGAGGCAGAGGGTTCGAGGTCCCAGCCCGGTTTAAGGCTTAGGCTTTCGCGGGGGGGGGGGGGGGGGGGGGTTACTCGCGCACCGGAGCTCTGAACTCTACCCAGAGACTCCAATATCCCTCAATTTAGGAATATACCTTAAATCAGATTAGGGATCCTACTACAGTTCCAAGTATATTCCTCAATTGAGGGATGTTGGAGTCTCTAGGTAGATGTCCTGCTAGTACCACGACCTCAGCCAAGACCTAGCTCTCGAGCCTCATCTAGTCCCCCCCAAAATAATTCAGGTAATCATAGAGGCCCCAGAATTAGCCCTCAACCCCAGAAGACAGGCCCGATGGTTTGGGCCAAGATGCTTGTTGCCCGACGAGTCGTTGTGGGATTCATGGTCGCCTGCCATGTCAGTGCTCTTTGTCCCGTCCGGCTTTTCGAATCTCCCAGAAATAACAGTCCTGACATGTCTATTGGCAGGCTACTTGTCCTAATACAGTATAGGAGTGCGTAGGGGACTTCGCAAGCAGGGTTTCAAGATACCCTCAACCCTAAACGGCGCCCTGCTCCAGCCCCTGTGCCCCTCAAACCGAATACCGCACAGCATGTTCTTGGAGTTTCGGGGGACTTAGTAACTGGTTGTCTTAGGGACTTATAAGTACCATAACCCCAATTAGGGTCCCGACTAGGGTACTTATAAGTCTACTTACTACCTACTTACTAAGTCCCTGAACCCTGAACCCTTAACCCTATAGTACCCCTATGGAGCCCTTTAACGGAACCCTTAGAATCCCCCTATTAAAGGAGCCCCTACTAAGTCCCCCGACCCTCCAAGTTCCCCTGCGGCGCCGCCACGACCAAGAGGGCCTCAACTTGCCGGCCTCAACCCCCAAGCATGCCAGACCCCGAACCCGAACCCTGGACCCTAAAAACTACTGTCGATGATATAAATCCTGCATGACCCATAATAAGGAATATACCAAAATTCCCGCATATTCCTTATTATGTCGGTAATGCAGGATATATATCATCAACCGTTAGAGACCCTAAAACTAAGACCTTAGGTACTGCCCCTATACAGTAAGAGTCTATAATAGGGCTACTGCTAAGGTTCTATCTTATGAATATTATTCAACTATTACCTAGTGGGGGCCGTACCCAACTAAGACCCCAAAATCCCCAATCCTAAACCCTAAAACCTAAAACGCAAACACCTGAAAGCAAACAACAATCCCAAACCCCCAACATGCCAAAGCACCAAAAAACTCTCTAGAAGCCCTGACTACACCCCAAAACCCTAAAACCCCAAAATCCCCAGATCTCTCTCAAACCCCAAAAGCCCAAAACTCCCTAAAACGCCCGAGCTCCGACTCGAAACCGTCTGCCCCGCATTGGAGGCCTGAAGAGCGCCCACCTCCCCCGGCCGCGCCGCCAGAGACGCCTCTCGGCACTAGAGGGCTGTTAAAAAAATTGAGTGGTTGTCAAAATTATGGTCCCTTTTTGGGTCCCCATTATAATACGGCACCTATTATTTAGGGCACCCCAACAGGGACCCTAATTTTGACAACCACCCAATTAGAATAGGGGTTCCTTTGTGAAGGGGTCTATAAAGGTTACTATAAGTGCTACTACAAGGGTTGGATATAGGGCCGTTAATGATTAGAATAAGGGTTCCTTTTTGAAGGGGTCTAGAAGGAAAACTATAAGCGGTATTATGGGGGGTTTAGTATAGGGGCCTTACAAAAATGGAATAGGGGCTCCTCTCAAGGTTTCCTTTTAAAGGGGTCTATAAAGGTTAGGGGTTTAGGGTTTAGGGTTTAGGGGGTACAAAAAGTGCTACTATAAGGGTTTGATATAGGGCCTTGATAATTAGAATACGGTCCTGGTGTCCCTGCAAACTCTAATTACAATGAAGAGCCCCCCAAAATAGCATAGGCAATTCTCAAGGCCCCCAGATCACCCTTTTCGTTCAGAAGGCTTTAGAGTTTAGGGATCTGGGGCTTATAGGGCTTGGGACTTTTAGGGCTTCGGGCTTCGGAGATGGGGCTTCAAGGGCTTAAGGGTTTGCCGGGCTTTCAGAGAGGCTTGTGGGCTTTCTTGGTCCCCAGAGACTCCAATATCCCTTAATTGAGGACTAGACTTTAAATTATAGTAGGACCCCTTATATGATTTAAGGTATATTCCTTACTTAAGGGATCTTGGAGTCTCTGGGTCTTTAGGGTTTAGGCTTGGGCTTGATAGCGTTCTGTTGCGGCCCCTATCCCGGCAACGCACAGCCTGACCCCCAAACCCGAAACCCCAACTGCCAACTCCCAACCACCCAAAACCTAAAGCCCCACACCCCAAACCCCCATGGCGAATCCCAGAAATTTGGAACATGGGTTTAGGAGGATTAGTGCCGAGGTCCCCTATTTTACTTTAAGGGCATGAGGATGCTCATGTTCCAGCTTTCTGGCTTCTACTACATTGGAGTTTCCGAACATAGGGGACCCTAATATAGGACCCTAAATAGTAGGATCCTTATTATAAGGACCCCAAAATAAGGTACCCCTAAACCCTCCCCCCCCCCCCCCCCCCCCCCGCCAGACCTCGACGCAACATCCGAGGCCCGGGCCGTTCCGGGTCCCTGCGGCATTGGCGTTGAGGCCCCAAGCTTCGGCCCGGGCCTGCTTAGACCTAAACCATGCTATGGGGTCCTACGGTTGATGATATAAATCCTGCATGACCCAATAATGAGGAATATACCATTATTCCCATAGTGTAGGGTCCTTAAGGTAATGCAGGATTTACATCATCAACAGTATTGTAATTCAAGGTACATTCCTCAATTCAGGGTATTAGAGGCTCTTAATATGCCTTAACTAAGGAATGTGCCCGTGATTCATATTGGGGGTCCTGTTAGAGTTTGAGGTATATTCCTTAATTAAGAAATCTTGGAAGGTCTGGGTGCTTAGAGGATCTTATCGGATCAGGAGTTTTGGATTGAGGGCTTTGGGTCTGGGGCTTGGGCTTGGGGGTTTAGGGTTTGGGGTTGAGTTTGGGGTTTGGGATTTGGGATTCATGGCTCAGGATTCGGTCGGACATGCGTCAGTCAATGCCGGTCATCAGGGCTTCTGCCTGCTCCAAGCATAAGGTCTAGGCTACCACCTGCAAACTGGAAGCGTTTAATCTCAACTTGTCGCTGACAGCATCCAACTGAGTAAGCTGCTCAGCACCCAGAGACTCCAATATCCCTTAATCAATGAATATACCTTAAATCATATAAGGGATCCTCCTATAATCTAAGGTATATTTTTTAACTGAGGGATATTGGAGTCTCTGGGCAAGTGCTTGTAGGGTTTGGCCAGCTCTGAGGATCAGGAGACTCAGAATTTAGTAAGTAGGGCCTGAAAGTACGTCAAGGATTCCCTAAACCCTAAACCCTAAACCCTAAACCCTAAACCCTAAACCCTAAACTTTGGCGTTTGGGGTTTAGGTTAGGGTTTACTTAATGGACCGGGGAGCTTCATATGGAGGGCGCCGAAACCTTTAAGGGTTCCTGGGTTTAGGGATCGTTTAAGGGTTTCGGTGGGTACTTACAGGATAAGGGCAGGGTAAGGCGGCTTAGTCGGTAAGTTTAAATCAATAAGGAATATACCTTAAATTATAGTAAAGTCCCTTATATGATTTAAGGAATACACCTTAAATTATAGCAAAGTCCCTAATATGATTCAAGGAATATTCCTTAATTAAGGGGATATTGGAGTCTCTGATCCTTTAAGCATACAACCTCCGGCCTTTTCCATAGCCTCAGAGGTTGCCCTCTCGACGTCAATCTTCTCCTGTCCATGGCTTTATTGTAAGCTCCAAATAGTTGGAAACCTAATTAAGGACAAATCGTGCTGGGATTCCCTATACTTTGCTCTTAGGGATTGAAGCTATCGGGTTTCCAACTTTTGGGGCTTCTGCTGTAGGGTTTTGGCCTTGAGGCCTTGAGGTTTGGAAGGGTTTAGGGTTTAGGGTTTAGGGTTTAGGGTTTAGGGTTTAGGGGTGTTGGGCTTGAGGTGTAAGGTTAAGTTAAGGGTCTGGGATTTAGGGCTCAAGGTTACAGCGTTCAGGGGTTTGCTTTTGCATCTCTGCGGGGAGACACATGGGAGTTTTCGAAAATAGGGGACCCCAATATAGTGCCCAATTTTTAGGATCCTCAATATAAGGACCCCAAAACAAGGTGCCCCTATTTTCGGAAACTCCCAAATGCATCAAAAGATCCGTGAGATCCATGATGCCACAAGGGCACACCTGGCTATGCAGCTCGTTCAAAACACCAACTTGCACGATCTTGGGGGGTTTAGGATTTCAGGTTGAGCGGGGTTTAGAGATACCGTTGATGATATAAACCCTGCATGACCCATAATAAGGAATATACCATAATTCCCATATAATATATTCCTTATTATGGGTACTGCAGGATTTATATCATCAACCGAACCCTAAACCCTAAACCCTAAACCCCAAACTCCTAGGGCTTTCGGATTTCAGGACTCAGGGGCCAATGTCCCTTAATTAAGGAATATACCCGAAATCATATTAGGGATCCTTACTATAATTTAAGGACTATTCCTTAATTAAGGGACATTGGCGGCCTGGTTGACAGTGCTGGCATAGTTGGCCGTGACCCTCCACCAGCCTCGAAGCGTGGAGTGGGTTTAGGGTTCAGGGCCTACGGTTTCGGATTCAGGGTTTACGTGTTTCGGTGGTTGATTGTCGGTTTAGGGCTGAGGGCTTGTTGCATCCGAATTCCTCATTTGGGGCCCACCCTTCTCCGGTATGGTTCTAAGGAAAGCCTGTAAACCCCGAAGGTTCGTCATCCCTATAAGGACTATGAAGACTAGAATGGGGTGTCCATCCTGACAAAAGCCGAGCCGCCACCTAGCGTCACGTGGGGGCAGACATGGCTCCCGAAGTCATACCTGACAGCTACAGGGTTTGTGATTTTTTGCCGATTTGGGGGAGCAGGGCTTCAAGGTTTACGGTGGGTTTCCTTGGCTTAAGGTCGCGGAAGTTGTCGACGCTGCACTTCAGGGGTTTCCTGCTATTGGGCTGTAATAAGATCGAATGTTTGGGGCGGTTGCATGCAAATTTGGAGGGTCAAGGGGGCTTAATTACAAAGAAGGACTGCGCATCAATTCTTAATACAGCAACCGAAGTCAGCAAGTAGTCCTATCAACTCACGTATCATCCAGCGAAAAAGTACTAAGTCCAGCGCCCCAGCCCGGCTCAACAAGAAAATGTTTTTTGCAACCAGGCTGCATCAGGGCCGGCACGACCTGGAAGACACAAGAATGCAATCCAAACGAATCTCTGGCTGCTGTGGCGGGCTGTTCCGCACCCTCCAAACCCTGAGCCCTAAACCCTAAACCCTAAACCCTGAGCCCTAAACCCTAAACCCTAAACCCTAAACCCTAAACTCCTAACCCGAAGCAATGCACCCTCAGCCTGTATGCCCAGCTTCAAACACTCGAGATTCGGGCCTAGGCCCCTGTAGGGGCGCCTTACTGTCAGTCGTCGTCGTAACAGTTAGAGTTGCACTGAGGCCACTCCGATTCTCCAAAAAGTGCAACTTTTGAGGCTATGGTTGAGAGCAGGGTTTCAGGCTCTAGGGTTGCGACAACTCGGGAACTCTAAACCACCTGAACTCTTCGCCTGCTCACTGGACCCTTTCAATACATATTGAAAAAATAAACCTCAGAAAGACTAAACCCTAAAACCCGGAACCAAAAGCATCTCAACCCCAAACCAGAAGCCTCAATGCCCGCAACATTCTACTCCAGAACCTAAACAGCGCCCTGATTGCCCCAAGCCCACGCACCCAGGTCCCTCAAGCAACCCAAAACGTTCGATCCCGGCGTTATGCCGCACCCGGCCCCCTTGAGGCCCACCCTGCAACGTCATGTCTGTGTCGGCAAGCCCAGCGTCAGAACGGATTTGACCATATGGTTGGGCCATGGATGCGCTCTTGTCAGAACGGATTAGATTAGACCATGGACGTCATTGTCATCATGGTTGGGCCATGGATGCTCTCTTTTCAATACGGATCAAAGCTATGGACGTCATCATCGTTGCGTCATGGATGCGCTCTTCTCAGAACGGATTAGGCCATGGACCTCATCATGGTTGGGCCACGGATGCTTTCTTGTCAGAGCGGATTTGACCATGGATGTCATCATCATTGGGCCATGAATACTCTCCTTTCAGATCGGATTAGACCTTGGACGTCATCAAGGTTGGGCCATGGATGCGCCTTTTCAGAAAGGATTAGATCAAAGGCGTCATCATGGTTGGGCATGGATGCTTTCCAGGAGAGGGATGAGGTTTGCGGCATGGGTGCTCCGACAGAACGGATGAGGTCGGAATTGACATTACTACGGCTGGGGCATGGATGCTCGTCTGAATGGACGTCTGAAGGTTGGGGCATGCATGCTCCGACAGAGTGGATGAGGTCGGCATGGGGGATATGACATTTGCTGTATGGATGCTCCGGTTTCTGTGGCGGCTTTGACTGTGTGCGGATTGGATTTTGTGCTTGTAAGCCGCGTAATGCAACTTGAGGCGTGCAATCACCACAGAGCCTAAACCGAACCCCAACCCCTAGACAAAAACCCGGGGAAAACAGACAGCCCTCAACCCCCAAGCCAAACAAGGATCCAAGAATCATACACCCTAAATCTCAATCCGGAGCCCGCCAACACAGGCCTCGTCTGCTGTCGCGTCAGGCAGAGGTTCCGCCATAGCATTGAAGCCGCCCTGGCCGCTGTCTGCGCCCTGGCTGGACCCCAAGACCCTTTGGGTTCGGGGATCAAAGTTCAGGTTCAGGGTCTAGGGTTTAGGGTTGATTAGGGGTCTTTTCCTGCCCAAGGAATACTGAGCTCCATGTTGGAAACGGTAAAATCGCATTGAGTTGAAAGCCACAGACAGTTCAACTCCTATGCCCAGACGCCCCTGCATCCTGAAGCTATGTGAAGCTTCCTCCTTCCGCACTCCTTATTTGCAATAGTCTATATATACCCCAGGAACTCTAGTCGAATTTCAAGCGCGCATGTTGAACCCCAACGCCTGCCTGCGTGGTCAGAGGAGAGAATTGGAGCAGGAAATAATCCAGTTGGACCTTCGTGTATGTACTCGAATTTTCCTCAACGATCCGCACTTTGTTGATGTAGGGATACCTGGGCTTTAAGATGCAAAAGCCAAGAGGTGAGAGGTGTAAAGAATCCGGAAACGCTTGGCTTTCGGAAGCAACGAGGCCTTGCTTAGCCTCGGCTTTAGGGGTTGTTGTTCGTGTCGCGGCTTTTTGGCTTCGGGGCTGCTTGGGTGAAGATCCCGGTTTGGGCTGCATAAGTAAGATGCTCCACATGCCAGAACCTCCGTCCTGGGATTCGTCCTTGTGCCCTTCAGCTGGTGACTCCGTGCAGACATGCCAGGTTCATCTCTTCTGAAATGTTTAGCCGAGGACTGGAATCCCAACACTTTCTTGGATCCTAAACCTGACGTGAAGATGCGCATGAGCGCAAGGTGTCTATATTGGTCGCCTCTGCGAACAAGCTAGCGTTGCGAGCATATCCATATGACCACAAAAGGAAACGTTGGGGAAAGGTTGCTCTATAAAAGCTCATGACTGTCAGGGGCTTCTTGATGATGAGGCTTGCTTGTTCTTGCCTGTGCTCTGCGCGCTTTTCTGCAGCGCGCTCAGGCGCTCGTTCAAAGAAACTCGTCAGGTCTCGATTTTCAGATACATACCCTTGGTGGGGGCCGAGATTTATCATGGTTCTGGTTCGAATGGATCTTATAATGCCGTTGGATTGTGGTTTCTATCCGATGTGGCCTTCTTGTTATTCCTTTGCACCTGTCTCTGTATGTCGGGTTGAAGACTGCATTGCACTAGGAATTGCGGTCCGGGCGTTGAGAGCTCCTCAAAGTGAGGATCCTGCATTCTGGTGCTTGTTGGGGCTTTGTTGGGGTCACCAACTTCCTGCGACACCTACCCCCGAGTGAATGGAGATTAAAGCAACTCAAAGCACTCGGGCCTGCGATGGCGGACACCGGCGAAGAACAGGAACGAACTCTCACCCGCAGAGGATCTGTACTTGGAGGTTCATGGGTTGTTAGAAGTAAGGTTATAAGTAGGGTAACTATACTTATAACCCATATTAGGGGACTTATAACCCCCACTTATAACTACCCGTGGAGTCCTCAAAAAACTTTGGATCTGCGCGCCACATGGGTGGTTGTCAAAATGATGGTCCCTTCTTGGGAACCCTACATAATAGGTGTCGTGCTATATTAGGGACCCAAAAAGGGACCATAATTTTGACAACCACCCACATAAGCCCTGCATGCTGTGCATGGGGGACTTCTTGAAGGGGTAAGCAGCTCGTTGTCCTGCAAGGGAAGCCGAAAACTTGAAGAAAGGCAGCCTGCACCCCTTGTGCACAGAACACGGAGTATTGGGCTCTCTGAATTCTCCTTGCACTGCCGAGCTGCGAAAGAAAGGCTGAGAGGATCCTCGCACGGGGTTTGGGTAAGGTGATTGCGGGCTGGGCTTTCTGGGATGCAAGATACGGGAGTTTCCGAAAATAGGTGACCCTAATTTAGTACCCTAAATAGTAGGATCCTGATTAATTATGAGGACCCCCAAATAAGGTACCCCCTATAATCGGAAACCCCCATACGGCAAGGACCCAGGTTGATTGGGCTTCAGGTTTGGGGCCCACTGGGAATCGCAGAAATCGCCTTAGTGTCGAAGTGGGAAGGATTCTACCAGCGGCTTCGCGACGGAGGACAAACATCCTAGGCCGGTATGCAAGCCTAACGAGGATCCGAGAAAGGGCCAGACTCTGCAACACCTGAACCTGAACAAGCCAAGGGACGTGTGGAGTGGGGTGCTGTATTCACGGCTCTAGACTAAACTTCTCACGAGGCACATGCACCCTAAACCCTAAACCCTAAACCCTAAACCCTCAACCCTCAACCCTAAACCCTAAACCCTAAACCCTAAACCCGAAAAAGAAAAAACAAGGCCCAAAAAGGCCGAAGGCTAAAGCCTAAACAGCCCCTGCAGCCCTGAACCTCCAAACATTCAAAAACCCTAACACCCTAAAGCCCAAAACTACAACAGCTCTCAAGTCCTGCGCCCCAAAAAACCTTACATCCACAAAATTTAAAATCCTGAAGAAAAACCACCCGAAACACTACAAACCCTATAAAACCTTAAGCCCTGCAGACCCTGTAAACCACAGATACTCTGAACTCTACACCCACAACCCCGTAAACCTCGTGATACCCTCCGCACCCCATCATCCCGACAAGCCCTAAAAACCCTATAAACCCTAAACCCCACATTTTCGAAATCCCTAAGTGTCAGCATTGACCCGGTCCCTGGCTGCAGGAAGCCGCGGCCCTCGTAGATCTCGAGACCGCCGTACATCCTGGGCTCTAAGAATTTGGATATAATTTGGGTATGGGTTTAGGGGTTTAGGGCTTAGGGTTCCTTTAAAGGTTCGGGGTTTAGGGTTTAAGGTTTAGGGAAAAGGGGGCTTAGTTTAGAATTTGGGAGTTTCCAAAAAATAGGGGACCCTAATATAGTACCCTAAATAGTAGGATCCTTATTATAAGGACCCCCAAATAAGGTACCCTAATTTTCGGGGAACTCCCATTCGGATATAATGCTTGATAGCATATACTATAGTATAGCATGGTAAAATAAAACACAAGAGAGTAGAAAATAGTATAATATCGTGCAAAAACAGAACATGGTTGTTATCATATATATATATATACATATGTATGTCTACTGATTGCTTGTATAACTATAATTGATATAGTTCTCATATGCTAGCAAGATAGTAATCGCCAAGGGTTCAGGCGTCTACAGCTCCAGGTTCTTGGGAAACCCAAACAAAATTCGTTTGGGGCTTTAGGGCTTTCAGCTTTGGCTTGGAGTTGAGCTTTAGGGGCTTTGCGTGGGGCGTAGGCGTAGGGCCTGTTGGTGTGTAGCGACATCATGAGCTCGAGGGGTCATTAAAAAACTGTTTCTTCTTCAGGCGGTGGCATGAAAACTCTGTTCTGGGTGAGGGGGGGGGAAAGACATAAAGCATTGCTGGCAGGGCTGCATTATACAAGGCCCTTTCTTATGGGGCTACAGTACAAAGCCCTCTTCCTTTAGCGATCTTCTGTCAGGAATATAGACCTTGAGGATCCTAATTTATTTGGGAGTTTCCGAAACCCTAATATAGTTCCCGATCCTTATTAAATAGGACCCTAAAATAAGGTCGCCCGAATTTTCGGAAACTCCCATTTAGAGCCCTGAAGAAAGAGAAAGTTGTCCTACCGCCCGCTCTGCCTTATGGCGGTATGGCACGACCCCTTTCAGACGGCTCTTGATCTTACTCAGCTCGGCGCGGGTGCTTTCAGTACAGACACCCCAATGCCTTGAATGGACAGAAAGAGTTGCGCATAGGACCTGAATACGGAGAAAAAGCCCGATGTCGACATCTCGACATGACGCTGGCCCTCCACCTACCACCCTAAACCCGTAAACCCTTAGACCCTAAACCCTAAACCGAAACCCTAATACCCTAAACCCTAAACCCCTAATACCCTTCGACCCTAAACCCTAAACCGAAACCCTAAATCTTACAACGTCAAGCCTGCCGGGCTTTCCCCCAACAGCTCCAGGAAGCCATACATCCCAAAACCCCCAAACCTGCAACCCGCAGCACTCAAAAGCTTTGCACCGTAATTCCTTAACCTCAAAGCTCTAGAGCCCGGAAGTCCCTGACACCTTCTTAACGCCCCCTAAACCGGGTTTAGGGTTTAGGGTTTAGGGTTTAGGGAAAAGGGTTTAGGGTTTAGGGTTTAGGGAAAAGGGTTTAGGGTTTAGGGTTTAGGGAAAAGGGTTTAGGGTTTAGGGTTTAGGGAAAAGGGTTTAGGGTTTAGGGTTTAGGGTTCCCGGAACCGCACCTAAACTAAACCCAGCACGGCTTGCTTCGAACTCATTGCCAAACAGTTGTCTCCATGGTGGCCCGGCGTATTGTGACCTTGACCTGTGCAGCGAAAGGCAAAACTGGGCTTTGAAGTAACCAGGGAGAAAAATTATAGACTTATATTTCATACTGGCGCCCTTTCAGTAGCGGGTCCCGAAAAAGTATTGTGACAAGTTTTTAAAGGCCGTGGGACCAGGGTTGGGGGGTCAGGGGGGGGTCAGCGGGGGGCCCTACCAAAAAGGTGGTCGTGGGAGTTGGCCCGACCCACCGCCGAAGCCAGGAGTTGGCTTCAGGGTTTCAGGCTTCGCTCTACTTGGAGGTTCCGGGGTAGTTATAAATGCGGTTATAAGTATAGTTACCCCTGCTTGTAACCTTACTTATAACTGCCCATGAACCTCTAAGTAGCGGCTCGAGGGGCTTAGAGTTTTTTTCGTTGTTGGGATGGTGGTTTTAGGGTGTGGTGTTCTACTGTTTTGGGGTTTCGGGGTGTTACTGGTTGTTCGAGATGTCCTTTCAAAGAAGCGGCCGTCGACACCACACTTCCTCATATGGACATCCTGAGCAACGGGGAATCCCATCGAAGACAGGGATTTTGAACCCAACGCAGAAGGTCGTGAGTCTCGGAAGCCTCAGGCAGGGAAGTCCTTGCTTATGCGATTACAACCTCTCCATGAGAATACATAATCCCTGGCAAAATCACCGATAAACACCAGGATAGTGATAACCGAGATATGAATAGCAGTAAGAACATTTACAACCTGGACCTCGGAGTAAGGAAAGAGAACAGCACTATCCATGATGATGGCAACAGCAACAAGTATGGCGAATCCCAGAAAGTTGGAACATTGGTTTAGGAGGATTAGTGCCGAGATCCCCTATATTTACGTAAGGGCATGAGGATACTCATGTTCCAACTTTCTGGCTTCTACTATATGGTAACAGGGCACCAAGCCATTTCCGAGGATTCTACCTGCATGCTGGAGTAGATGTCTCCACCCGGCGCGAAGGATCGGTCCGGCTTAAAGAGTTCCACATCCTCGGTCTTAAGGGGTCTCTCTAAGGCCTTAAGGCTCAGGGTTTAGGGCCTAAAATTTTTTAAGGCTTAGAGTTTAGGGGCTTTAGGGTCCCTGTTTAGGTGGTGGCTATAAGTTATAAAGTTTGCACTACAAGGGCCACGATAAGGGCTTGGTGGGACTGAAGGAGCGGCCTAGACTTTAGGGTGTATTATTTAGAAGCTGCCCCCACCCTGTAATAGTGATCATAAGGATTATATTAATATTATATTAGGCCCTATTATATTCCTATTATACCACTATTACAGGGTGGGGGCAGCTCCTAATGTATTATCAAATAGTATCAAATAAATACACTCAAACTCCAATCCTGGGTAAGGGCTGAAGGTGCGTAGGGCTTCCCCAGGGCTTCACGAGTGCTCAAAACATGTTGTACGGCTGATGATATAAATCCTGCATTACCCATAACAAGGGATATACCATAATTCCCATAGTTTAGTGTCCTTAAGGGATTCATATCATCAACAGTATGAGGTCCTACAAGGATTCTACAAGGGCTCCATCAGGTTCGTGTGCAGGTTCTATGAGGGTTTTAGAAGGGCTTCCGAGCTTCAGGGTTACAGTTCAGGATCTGAGTCTGGGGTAGGGTTTCGGGTTTAGGGTTTAGAGGTTTTGGGTTTACGGGTTTAGGGTTTAGGGGTTTAGGTTTATGGGTTTAAGGTTTAGGGTTTAGGGTTTTGGGGTTTAGGGTTTAGGGTTTAGGGTTCAGGGCTTCAGAGTTTCAGGCTTGAGCAAGGCTTCGGGGTCAGAGGGGTTACGGTGTGGGGTCGTAGGCTTTGGGTTCTAGGGGTCGGGGCTCGGAGTTCAGAGTTGAGGGCTGGGGCGAAAACCGCACAAAGAGCCTACCTATGAGGACTCATATGAGTGGCTCAGGGTTCTCACGTCTCTACGGCTTTAGGGCTGCTTCCAAATCAAGGCTCAAGGGATTGAGAACCTCGGCGGGCTGTCCCGAGCCGAGGCTCTCTTAAAGGGGCATGGGCTTAGAGCTCAATTAGGGTCCAGGTTTTCCTGGTTTGAGGACGGGCTCCCTCACACAGACTACACTGCTTCTTCAACCGCCCAAACAAGACCGCCACTCGAAACACAAGACATAACACTTCAACGCATTGTCTTGCTCCACAGACCACCATACCCAGCACCATCTTACGGCCTCAGCTCAACTGCTAGCTGGATTCGATGTCGCTGATGTTTGCCCCAGAAGACATGGCGGCCACAGCATTGCCCAGAGCGTCCTTGATGCCCTCCTGGAGAAGGCTGGAGGGCCGGATGCAAAAGCAACGGTTCCGGAGTGTGTTCCTTGTGGCTGTTCACACCAGCATGAGCTGCATCGTATCAGATATAGCATAAGGGGAGGAGGACGAGGGGGAGGAGCAAGGTAGGAACTGCTCTGAAGAGGTGCTTAGTGGCGGTGTCGTCGTCTGTAACCTCAACCCTACAGTCGACATCATCACCGAACCCGGCACAATCAACCCATTCTGTAGCAGCTTCATGGTTAGCAAACCACACCGGGGAGCTGCTTGCTATGTACGAACCAGGGTGTACCGATCAATCTGTAGAACCCATGGGGCCGCTCTCCTAAACCCTGACGCCTCCTGAGCCCCTACCCGAATCGAGAGCTTCAGAAGCCGGGCACCCCTAAAATGTCGCGCGCGCGCGCCCCTCCCTCCCCCCTTCACCGCGGAGTTCAGAGTGCCGCAAGCTAAACTCCACACCATGGCACGGTTGATGATATAAATCCTGCATTTCCCCCCAGAATAAGGGATATAACATTATTCCCATAGTTTGGGGTTCCTAAGGTAATGCAGGATTAATATCATCAAGCCTATGTATGAGGGCACCCAATGCCTTGAAGTCCGGCTGCTGAAGGATCAAGAGAACCGAGACGTTGGTTACCTTGGGGTCCTAGGCCTACTCCTCTTCCCAGTCTTAGTCTCGCACCGGCCCCCCCATCTAGAGAAAAGGATGGTCTCGTTAGATTTGAAAAGGATGAAAAACCTGATGTCAAATCCTACTACCCTGGGCCTTAGACACCGTCGGAGGGCACCCGACGTAAACCGTAATTACCCTGCTTGGAGGGGCAGGGGACTTAGTAAGTAGGTTGTAAGTAGAGTTATAAGTGCCCTAAATGGAGTTACCCCAATTATAACCCTACTTCTAAACGACTTACTAAGTCCCCTGCCCCTCCAAGTGGTTTCAAGAGCAGAATGCTGCCCACTCTTCACGCTTCTAGAACTCTTGGACTTCCCTCCACCACTATGCGGCTTGCCTAAACCCTAGACTCTAAACCCCCGAAAACCCTAAACCCGTAAATCCCTAAACCCTGAACCCCTAAACCCCAGCCCCTAAAACCCCTAAGGGGAAAAACTTGAAAGCTTGGAACACAACCGTTCGACTTTGGAAGCCTCGAGAGTAGCAAAGGGGAACACAAAGGGCCAGATATCCAACGATGCTTAGGGTTAGGGGTTTAGGGTTTAGGATATTGGGTTAGGGTTTTGGGTTCGGGGTTTAGGGTTTTGGGTTTTGGGTTTGGGGTTTAGGGTTAGGGGTTCTGGGCTTGGGTCAGGGATTTTGGGCTTAGGGTTAGGGGTTTTGGGCTTAGGGTTAGCTTTGTGTGGGAGCTTCAGGACGAAAGGGACGCCAACGTGCACTCGAAATTCTTCTTTGACGACCCCGAGATGAAGCCGACTACTGATAGCGGATATTCGCGTTCACTGGGCTTTGACGTAATCAGGGAGAAAACAGAGTACGTTTTATTTCATAATGGTTCCTTTAACGAACAGGTCCCCCAAAACAGTATAGTACTAGTATGGTACTCAAGAACCCAGTTCAACTATCCAAACTGCGCTGAAGGCCGCAGACGACCAGGGCATCTGCTCCGGGAAACTCACAGATTCTACTAAGACTCTCCCCGATGTAATAAGTTCATGAAAATCAACGAAAAGATTTCCGAGACTGATGCAGAATCCGATGTGCATGCAGCTTTTGCGATTGCTGTCCATGTCGCAGGCTTTCAAGCAACATACTGCAGCAACTATGCCGGAAGGTAGTCAGCACTGGCAATTTCTGTGAGGCCCCGAGCCCGAACTACAAACTCTAAACCCGCTAGCCCCAGAAACCCGAAAACCTACTCCTGACGGCGACGATTCGGATTTCAAAAAGCCCTGAAAGAAACCCACCAATGAAGCCGTAAAGCTCCGACATCAATCCGCAAAAGCACCATCCGAGCTCTGCAGCAAAACTTCCCTAAGCCGTGAAACCAAACCCGACAGGCCGCAACAAAGCGGATCTGGATGGAAGAGTCGGATGGCTTAGAGGAAACGTTGGCGCTGGACTGCACGGAATCGATCCACTTCGAGCCTGTGGCGGTCGGAGGCTCATCTGAGATTATAAAATATACGAGATCTTCTGATATGATAAAGTACAATATGACATAATAGTATTTTCTACTAGCTCAGCGCAAGCTTCGTGCGTTGGGGCTTTCGGCTTATGATGTCTTTGTATCAGTCGATCAAAAGAAACCTTACGATATCTAGCTGCCTATGCGCTGTCCTAGACTACGGTAGGACCTTAATAATTTGATTGGAGTAGGGTTTTGGGGCCCCGAATCTCTAGCCATAATTATGTAGGCCCCTAGAACCCCCTAGACTACACCCCAGAGACTCCAATATCCTTTAATTAAGGAGTATTCCTTAAATTATAGTAAGGATCCCTAATTTGATTTAAGCCATATTCCTTAATTAGGGGGTATTGGAGTCTCTGGGACTGAACTTAGGAAGTGACGAGAGGCAGTTTTCGCGCCCTGCGAACTTGCATAAGGCGTAGGAAGCCCGATGGCAGCGGTCCGTAAAGTCTTCGGACATCTGCAACATGCCCTGGCCAGAAGAAGAGTAGTCACAGTAATCATACTAATACGAAGAAGAATACTGATGGTTATGATAGTAATACTAGAACGGATTTAATAATAAAACTAGTAGAAACAATAATGACAAGGATAATAATCGTAGTCATACCTCGGCCCCTCTAAAAACCGCGAACCCTGCACCGACCTCAGCAGGGCTTGGATTGGGCCTACAACAGGTAGGGTTTTGGGTTTTGGGTTACAGTGCATTTAAGCACAACCACGCTCTAACAGGGCTTTTGCAGAAGATTAAGGGGAGCTATCAATTCGCAACCCAGAAAAAATTGGAAAGGTCTCTTGTGCAGGGATGGCATTACTTTCTCGCTGTTGAGCTGTTATGTTGCAGCTCGAAATTCGAAGTTGACCCGAAACCCCAAAGTGCGCACCTTGTCTAAACCACCAAACCCTAACCCCCAACTGGAAACTCTTGCAAATGACCTTTTCACCTGGCCCTCACCCCAGACTGAAGCCCGAAACCCTCCAGCGCAGAAACTCTGAACCCCCCGAAGGTCCTGGGAGAAGTAGAGCAGCAGCTTAGGCTGGAAGAAATACCTGGCTTAGGGTTTAGGTTGGGTACTGCCCCCATAGAGTAACCTTCTATAATAGGGCTACTATTAAGATTTTAATTTGTCTATCTTATGAATATTATCCAACTGTTACTGAGTGGGGGCAGTACCCGAGGTTTAGGGTTTTTCGTGGTTGGGACTGTACTCCTCCCTTGGGCTTGGGGTCTGCCGAGATTTGGGTTCTCAAACCCTTAACACCACCAACCCTGAACCCCAAAACCCTGAACCCTGAACCCGTAAACTTACCTTTGGTTAGTAGGGAAGGGAAGAATGGTAGTAATAGTAGTTACAAATTGTACCCCATTCCTCCATTCCCTACTAACCAAAGGTAAGTAAAGCCAGAAGGCTTGAGGCGGGCTTTAGACTCCAGGTTGTCTGGGGCTCTAGAGACTCGCAGGTTTGGGAGCTACTGTTGAAACACAAAGCCGCAAACTAAGGAAATGCAAGGCTGCATGCACGACCTCAGACAAACTTCGCTGCAGGATAGCCTACTCTCTGCCTTGAACCTGAAAACAGAAGCCAGAAAACACGCAACATCGACTGAAACAACTGCCGTCTCCGCAGAAACCCTTCAAAGGTTTGCCCTGTGGCAAACCCCCAGACAACCCCTCTCCATACTTCCAGGTAGCATGACAGCATGAGTTGACCTCAAAGCATCTCCAACCCAGACTTTGATGCTCAACCCGAACCGAAAATCTATCCATGTCGGGCATGTCAAACTTCCCCGCGATTTCAGTATCCACCATGATCGCGAAAGCAAAAAATGAATTATGTGGGCGCAGGCGCTGTGTTTTCGCCAGGGCGGTGATGCTCTTCTGCAGATTCTTTGACTGCGAGTCCTGGTCCTTCGTAGGGATCAAGCTTCCCAGGAACATTCAAGAAAACGCAGGGTTTGAGGCTTGGAGCTATGTAACGATTTGGGGCTTAGGGCTAGTTTTGGCTCTACGAGTTTAGGGTTTTGGGTTGTTTGGTTTGGGTTCTATGTAGGGGCCTTAATAATTAGAATAGGGTTTTGGGGCCCACTATGCTATAACTAAAATAAGGAACCCCCACAATAGTATGTGTAATTATTTAGGCCCCTATGCTAAATCCTTATAATCGCCCTTATAATAATCCTCATCGGCCCCTTTAAAAGGAGCAGTATTGGTAATCAATTAAGCCCTTACAGCAGCCGTCCTGCTTCGACTGTCCGGAGGACTTGCTCTTGGAGTCGCCACCACTGCCTCCGCCCGCAAAGCAACCTTGGCAGGGTTGGGGGTTTCGGGTTGGGGGTTTAGGATTTAGGGTTGAGGATTTAGGGTTGAGGGTTTAGGGTTGAGGATTTAGGGTTTAGGGTTTAGGGTTGAGGGTTTAGGGTTGAGGGCTTAGGGTTGGGTTGAGGGTTGAGGGTTTAGGGTTGAGGGTTTCGGGTTGAGGGTGTCGGGTTGAGGGTTTCGAGTTTCGGATTGAGGGTTTCGGGTTGAGGGTTTAGGGTTGCGGGTTTAGGGTTTAGGGTTTAGACTGCCGGATGCGTCGAAAGAGACCCCAACCCCAAACCGTAAACTGTCTCCCAGCTGACATAGCAAGACAGCTTGCTAAGTGGGCCAATGCCTCCCCAAAAAACCGAAAACCATGTGTGTATATATAATATGTTATTCTTCTTCTTGTTATTATTATTATCGATAAAATATATTATATACATATATATGCATGCATACACAGGCATATACAATCAGACGCAAGTGGAAGCCTGTTCCGGGTTTGGGGTTTAGAAAAAAGAAGTTAGAAGTGTACGGTTCTGGACAGTCTAGACACTGCTCGTGATGTCAATGCCGGCTTGCCAGCTGTTCACGGAGGTGTGGAAGGCACTGCTCCTCAGTAGCTCAAGGCTCTCACGGACAAACTAACCAAAACAGAAACCTAACCCTAAACCCTAAACCCCCAACCCCTAAACCCCTAAACCCCTCAACCCCTCAACCCCTATAAACCCCAAACCCTAAACCCTAAACCCCCAACCCCTAAAGCCTAAACCCTAACGCCCAACCCCTAAACCCTATAACGCCTAAACCCCGGAACCCAGAGACCCACGCGAAGCCTAAGCCTGAAAACCGCTAAACCCGAGGAGGCTTGAGGGATGCCAGTCCGGGGCTTAACGGTGGTAGACACTGGACCTGGTGATTCATGATTATTAGTATTATTGCTGTTATCAATAGTGCGATTATTGTTATTGTTACTATTGTTTGTATTTTCTTACTATTATGATTATCTCTAGTAGTATTTTTAAAGCTTAACGGTCGATGCCGATGGACCAGCTCCCATAAGCCCACTGACTGAGCCGGGCTTCGAGCTCGGTACCCTTTTCAGCTCCACGAATCCTTTCTGCTCCAGATCCCCATGTCAAATATACCACGTATCCGTATATGTGCATGTGAGACTACATGTATGTGGGATGTGTGTGGGTAGGTGGCTCTGTCTGTCTCTCCGTCTGTCTGTGCCTGGCTGTCTGTCTGTATGCGCGTATGTGTGTACGTATGCATGCATGTGTGTTTGCTTGCAGATGTGTATATACGTATAGATAGGTAGATAAATGGATAGATATCATATTGTGTAGAGCTGGGTGTGAATACATCCATACTCTCTATATTATATACATATCTATGTGCATACACGTGCACGTATGCGTTTACGTCGCTGCACAACTGAGTAAGCCAGGCTTGTACCGATCCTAGATACGGAAAGCAAAGGCTCCCGTAGGTGTCCACCATGCCATTGGCGACCTGTAGGTCGCTGGCCTGCACAGAGGCAAAGGAACCAGCATGAAGACAAGGCACCAACCACCCAAAACAGCTAAAGCAAAACAATGACGATAATACGGATCATGACACAAATCGTGATGTTGAGAATAGAAATAATGACGGGGATTGGATGCTCGCCTTCGAGAAGATGATGCAGATTCCACAATCAAAGCGGTATCTTGAGTCGGTCGCTTAAGGGCGCAGGCGCTCTTTGGGCTCGGTGGCTTCTGGACTTTGCGTTTTTGACGCCCTTTTGTTGTGTCTCAGATTCGGAAGGCCCCTTCAGGCTAGGTTGTTCGCCACCCTTTCGAAACGGACCAACTGGCCACACCCTTCGGAGCCATCAACGACCACAAGCCTGACCGCCGACAATCTCTACATCTCGCGGCAACAATTTCCACCACAATCACTGCCCACCGGATGAGGGGGAGTCTTGGCTTGGGATGTTGAACTCCAGATGTCGGCTCGGTTTCGGCTTTTTGAGTTGCGGGTCTGCGAGTGATGTGATGATAGTATGCACGGGATGCCTCGAGACTCCAACACGTCATGCTTCGAGTGTGCAAAGGCACCGCTGGACGCCATCCGGAATCAGAGGAAAGCATGGGTTCAACCCCTCACTCCGAGCCTCAGTGGACCAGGAGGAGGTCTTATCTCTATAGTGATAACTAATCTCTAACGGGCCTAGGGTCAGGGCTGCAGTGCTTCAGGGGTTAGGGTTCAGGGTTTCGAAACTACGGTTTAGAGTTCTCCGGCAAGGTTCAGGGTGTGGGAGTTCATCCTCCTCCCGCGGCTTTCCTTCGGAGCCGAAACCCTATCTTCCCAACGCCCTAAAACCCTAAACCCTAATACGTGCGCGCGTATGCGCGGGGACCTGCTGCGACTCGATGTAAAACTCTTGACTGTCGATCTCCGGGCGAAGTTGGCTATACAGAGCCAAGGTATCGTCGGACATCTGGGCATACCTGGGCGGTTCAGGTTTTAGGGTTTGAGGTTTAGGGCTTAGGGTTTAAAGCTTGAAGTTGACTATACCCCCCCTTAGAACCATAAAGAAAATATTGGTTTTTAATGTTCTCTTCGGCTTAATATGAACAAAAAATACAAATAATTTCCAAGGAGACTATAAATTAGGGTTTACGGCCTTAGGGGTCAAATGTTGAAGGAAGGCTCACGGTTGCAGATTCGGCAGCCTTCTGCTGTTCGGGTGCTTAACTGGGACCCTTGCATCTGGGAGTTGCAGGTTCGGGAACTTCGTTGGGGTTGCCCTGAGCAAGAAACCCGTGATTCTAAACGCCAAAGCCCTGACAACCGACAAACACTAATCTTCAAGCCTCAAGCACCACATCCCTCGTCGTTAGCCCGAAGCCTTAAACCATAGACTAAACCCTAAACCCTAAACCCCTAAACCCTGAACCCCTAAACCCTGAACCCCTAAACCCCGGACTAAACCCCTGAAGCTTTGAATCCCATGCAAAAATTCGCCAGCCCAGAATTACGGAATATTCCTTAAATTATAGTAAGGATCCCTAATATGATTTAAGGTATACTCCTTAATTAAGGGCTATTGGAGTCTTTGGGAGAAGCCCAGGGTGCCAAGGTTTCAGCGACACCGCTTGCGCTTTCAAGGAGGGCTTGAAGGTGGTCATCAGGTCGATCCTCGAATTTACTGCTTTAAAGAAGGGCCTAAACTCAAAATCCTCGGTTTTTTGGGTGCAGGGCTTTAGGGTTTGAGGGTTTAGGGTGTAGAGGTCAGGGTTTTGGGGTTTGGGGGGTTTTGGGGTTTTGGGTTTTGAGCTCATCCAGGCTTTCGCAAGTGTCTTGGACAAGGGTTCTGTAAGGGATCTTATTCTGATTCCATATGGGGTTCTCCGAGGGAGTAGGGCTTTCGAACTTTAGGGTTTAATTGTTTGGGGCTTTCGGATTTACGGGGAGTCTAGCCCCTTCCAGCACAAAATAGAGGCAGCGTTTTGGAGAACTTTGGTTGCAGTTCTGAATCTACCCGACGCACGAAAGCCTAAACCCCAAACCCCAAGCAAAATGGCCCATGCGGGCCGAGTCTACAGGTAGCTGAGACAGTACACAGCAAGCCCAGAGTGCCCAATCCTTGAAACCGCAGCTACTTGTAGCTACGAATAGAAGGAGTAGCTGAAAAGGACAAGGGCATCACATGAAGGCGCCTAAACCCTAAAACCTCAACCCCAAACCCTAAGCAGGTGAGAATACAGTGACGGCTGCAAGGTCTGAGGAGTGCACTCGACCGCCAGTGCCCCTTATACAAACATATACACTATTCATGTAGTATATATATATATATATGTGTGTGTGTGTGTGTATTTTTATATGGATCTATGTTGTGTTATGGTATACTCCGTCTGAGGAACACTAGGTAATAATGTTGGTGCTTCTTTCGGCTTCCATATTACACGCGCACATCCCCGCTTGCAATTACGAGAGTGCGGAGCAGCGCCCTCTGCACCCATAATCCGAAAAGATATGGGGGTTTCCGAAAATAGGGGACACTCATATAGTACCCTAAATAGTAGGATCCTTATACTAAGGACCCAAATAAGGTACCGCTACTTTTCGGAAACTCCCATATCAGGGATTAGGTCTCCCAACTCGAACCAGGAGACCCTGCGGGGGACGCCGAAACGGAAGCCCTACGTCCCACGCAGATCCTTTCAGCATATTCCGGCCAGAGGATCCCACGGAAGACGCCGTTGAAGGCAATGAGCTCCCTGGTCAGACAGTGCCCTAACAGCCCAGACCTTGAACCTAAACCTTGCACTCTTTCAAGAAACAATACCCCTAAAGCCTGTAACGTAAGCCATACAGACCCCGGAATTCCCGCACATGCTCTTGAAAAGAGCTGCCTCGTCTCCAGCGATCGTCCGTTCACGAAACCGCCAGAGGCGATCGCTGCATTCATTTCGCTCATCTGCTGAGCCGTGCTCCTCGCGGTCACCATCGTTAGGCTTGAGCGTGTAGGGTGTAGGGCTCAGGGTTGGCATAACGTTAGTAGGGAATGGAAGAATGGTAGTAATAGTAACTATAATTTAGAATTGTACCCCATTCCTCCATTCCCTACTAAGCAAAGGTAAGATAAGGGGGTTTAGGGATCAGGGGCTTCGGGATGAATGGCTTAGGGCTATCGCTGACGACTCGAGGCTTGGAGATTGGGGGGGCCTTTGACATTTGCTATGCTCCAAGCATCCCAGAGAGCCCAATACCCCTTAATTAAGGAATATACCTAGGGTTCCTTTAAGGGATCTACAAGGGATCTATAGGGTTTAGGGGAATCTAATATCCCTTAATTAAGGAATATACCCTTAAATCATAATATCAAGCCCTATACAATTTAAGCCATATTCCTTCCTTAAAGGGGTATTGGGCTCTCTGGGATAAGGATTCAGGGTTCAACCCTCTACCTCTGATGGGAGGCCAAAAGGGGGGTTTAAGATTCTTGGGGTAGGGATTCCATGTTATGAACCCTATTATGGGAACGCTCATCGCTACTAAACCCCCATAGGCTAAAACCCCGTTTGGCCGGTTGACGGCTTTAGGTTTAGGGCTTTAAGATTTAATCTTCAGGGCTTGCCAAAGGTACTTTGCACTTGAGGGCTTCAGGGTTTAGAGATCGGTGTTGTGAGATGAGACACTTGCAGGTTCATGGGTAGTTATAAGTAGGGTTGTAAGTACGGTAACTGTACTTATAACCCATGCTAGGGACTTCTGAACCTACTTATAACTACCCATGAACCTCCAAGCAGTCGAGCCGCAAATTGGCGGCTGAGACGTCGATGCCGCTCAGCTGCGAGAGCACGTTGTCGAGCTGGGCCTTCGCCTTCGGCATTGTTGTATAAGGGGTCCTAATTAGGGTTTAGGGTTTAGGGGTGTAGGGCTTGGGGTTTAGGGGTTTAGGGTTTAGGGTTTAGGGGTGGAGGGCTTGGGGTTTAGGGGTTTAGGGTTTAGGGGTTTAGAGTTTAGGGTTTCGGGTTTAGGATTTAGGGTTTTACATCCTGGACTGGTCCTCCACTCCAAAGCCACGAACCCCAAGACCAAGGAACCCTGTGACTGGAGCTTCCCGGAAACCTTAAATCCCTAAACCCTTAAACCACTTTGTTGACGGGCCTGGTTTGCCAAATCTGCATCGCCAGCCTGTGCCGCCCGAGTGGCACGACGCTGGGAGATTCAGGGTGGGGGCTTTTGGGTTAGCCTTAACGGAATCCCTCGTAAGATCCCTCAGATCAGGGCTGAGGGCCGTTGAGCGCTTTAGCTGTGAAGTTCGAGGGCTCGGGGTTTGGAGTTTCGGCAGGAAGCTGAACCCTAAACTCTAAACTCTGAACCCACCTAAACCTTAAATCCTAAACCCCTAAGCCCCAAACCCTAAACGGAAAAGCTCCAAACTGCCCCGACACAGCCATGGGCCCCGAAAGCTCGGTGCTTCCCTTTTTTCGGTTTGGGGCCTTCGGGTGGGTGAGGGGTTCTGGGTTTGGGGGCGCCTTGTGAGCTTTTGAGCCCTCAGCTGTAGGGTTAAGTTTACGATTTAGAGTGTCGGGTTTGGGGTCTAGGGTATCCAACAAACCGCCACACTGCAATCGCCTAGGGCAGAACTTTCGGCACCTTCGCAGCATCCTCCATCTTTGTGCGAGCGTCTTGCAGCTGCTGCTTCATACCAGCGACCTGGACATCAACTCAGAGACACTCGGCCTGTCTGAATTACAGACCTCAAGATGGTTCCGCTGATGATGAAGAGGCACGACGACGCCGAAGCTTGGGATTTGGGGTTCGGGACAGAGGCCATCTGGCAAAAGGGGATGGCCGTGACAGTGTCCCAAAAGCATGCGCGGACATGTTGAGTTGAGCACGCCGATGTGGACTCACGATGTGCCCATGCACAGTTGGGACCGATTCATTGTAGTAGAGCGGTATTGGTGCCGAAGAAGACGACCAAGATCGTCACGATGGCGAGAGTGACGATCGGAGGCACGGGCACAAGCAGCAGAATGTTGACTTAAGTTTTCGATGCGTGAACCCACGTTCCCAGCACCGGTTGCCCCCCAATCCGGAGATCCACGAAACTCGTGCAAAGGCCAACACCACCACAACCGATGACAAGGCAGGCTGATGGGTCTCAGGAAGTCTACAGGATCGGAACAAAACTCTACAAGAGCCTCAGAAGTCCTCGCACCTATGTTTCGGTGTTTTCATCGGGCCACCTGCTCCTTGACCTTGTCAGCCTCTTCCGCCGCGTTCTTCAGCGGAATCTGGGAATCGGCGTCTGTAGGGGTCTTCAAGATCTACAGGGTCTCAGATTTAGTTTAGGGCTTGATATATGGGAGTTTCCGAAAATTCGGGGTACCTTATTTTGTTGTCCTTTTCAAAGGAATCCTACTCTTCAGAGAACGGGCCTTTGTTTGGGGTGTCGAGGTCTCAGAGTCGTTTCGGACTTGGGTACGGCCCCCACTCAGTACTAGTTGAATAAAATTCATCATATAGATATAGTAGGACCTTAATTGTAGCCCTATTATAGACTCTTACTGTATGGGGGCCGTATTTCGGACATACGTTGGGTTTTGGGGTTTACGGTCTAGGTTCCTCAGTCGCCCCTTTGTAATGGGGGTGCCCTTTTTCCTACTCTTCGGCTTTAAGAAGGGTATTATATACTCAGGAAAGTTCGGGATTTAGGGCATAAGATGGCTTAAAGATGCTTGAAGATAGGGTTTAGGGTTTAGGGTTGTTTTTCAGTCTCAGGAGTCATGGTTCGGGGAGTCAGGTCTCGGGACCCGGACTCTGGGAAGCGTCCTTCTTAAGCTTTACGGGACCAAACCCAGAGGCTCGAGGATTGGATGTGTCGGAAAGCTTTCGGAGCAGGATTTAGGGTTTAGGGCTTAGGGTTTAGAGGGTTTCAGGTGCGCCGCATGAAATGAGTGAAATGCTCGCTTTTCAAGTCTTGCGGAGTCAAACCATGAGGGTGCAGGGATGCAGGGCAGCTGGTCGACAAACAAACCCTAAACCCTAAGCCCTAAACCCTACCTAAACCCTAAACCCTAAACCCCTAAACCCTAAACCTTAAAAACACCCCAAGGACCAGATGGTCCCCCTCGATGCGGACGGAGAACTCTTCCGCCAGTCTGCGCCTTCTATTGACTCAAGGCTTCGGGGATTTAGGATTTAGGGTTTAAGGTTTAGGGTGTGTATCAGTATGCGCGCGGTCGGTTCGCCGTTTACTTCAGGAATAGGGGCGCACCCACTTATCGCGCGCTTGCGTCAGCATGTAGTCCCGCCCCAACCACCCCAACTATTCTCAATTAGGGTTTAGGGTCCACCCCCAAACCCCCCTTCAAGGGGGGCTTTCTTGCTCTCTGTTTCCTTTCGCAGCTCGACATGTAAACGAGTGCATTTCTCAAGAAACCACTAAACGACAAGAAACCACAGCTGAGATGGATTGGTGTCGCGAGCGAATTTTGAACGTTTTTTTTTTGTTTTGCTCTGGTCTCTGCCCTGCCCTGCCTGCGCTGCCCTGCCGCCCTGCAGGCTTTTTTTTGGCTCTGGTCTGCCCTGCCCTGCTAGCCCTTTTCTGGCGCCCCCTGCCCGACCTGCCCTCCTGCTACCCTGCCCTGCCCTGCGCCCTGCACTGCCCTGCGATGGCGTCCCGTGCCCTGCGCTGCCCTGCGCTGCCCTGCCCTGCAGGCCATCAATGGAAATGCTCTGAAAATCGGACTTTTTGCTTCTATGTATGCTATTGTCCTGAGTCTGCCAACCAAACTGTCCAACACACACCTTCTACTTATCATTTGCTTGAGGGCTTAGGGTTTAGGATTTAGGGTTTAGGATTTGGGGTTTAGGGTTTAGGATTAGGGTTTAGGATTTAAGGTTTAGGGTTTAGGATTTATGTATATAATATGTGAGTATGCCAGAATCATGGGGGGGGGGGGAAGGTTCGGGGTTGAGCGTGCGCAGTGCGATTCCCGGCGCAACGTACGAAGTCTGAGCTCCGGCGGCCTGAGCGAAATAAGGTCTCGCCCACGAGATGATATTCGAGATGATGCTGGTGTGAAGAATGGGAGTAAGTACACCCCTCAACCACTTCCTGCTCCTGTTCTATCCTGCGCTGCCGGTCTCTGGCTGCAGCACACCCTACTGAAGCTTGCAGCTGCAAGCAGTTTTGCGTGTACGGGGATTCGCGGAGCGGCGGGTCCAACCTTACACCCGAAAAAGCCTCCAATTCTGAAATCTGAACAGCAGCGCCATAAGCCGCAACCTATCCCACACTCCGAAGCCCACTGATGCCTTGAAACCCTGAAGCCACCTGAAGCTCCCCATCACGCAAAGCGATTTCGCGCATAGATGCACATGCCGAATACCTGTACGTGCATAAAAGGAACTCCAGAAAGTTGGAATATGGTTTCAGGGTAGGATACCTTATAATTTACCATAAAGGGTTTAGGATAATCATATTCCAGCTTTCTGGCTACTACTTTACACACTAACACAGACACGGCAACGAAATGTGCTGTCGACTGTTAACGAGTCGATCCTCGGAGCAAGTTCATGTCTCATTCCCTTGCCGACTTGTCGGTGAAAAACCATTTGGGTGGTTGTCAAAGTTAGGGTCCCGTTTTTGGGTCCCGATTAGAATACGGCACCTAGTATTTAGGGTCCCCTTTTTGGGTTCCCCTAGTATAATACGGCACCGAATATTTAGGGTACCCAAAAAGGGACCTCTTTTGTGACAACTACCCCCTTACTACTCAAAGAAGCCCAATACATGTTAACCAAAAGGTCGATTGCCGAATTGATCAACTCAGCACTTCAAAACATGACTCGTCCACTGACCAAGGAGTTGTCGACTGCTCTGGTACTGAGATTGCTCCTAGAAATCAGATATTGATTGGGTTGGCTGACTGACAAGTCAACCGATCGATTCGGCCAATGGTCAGTTCCCAATGGCACATCTACAAGAGACTGCTCCAGCCCGAAGCCCTAAACCCTTAACCTGCAACACCCAAAGACCTCAACCCTAAACTAAACCCCCAAGCCCTAAACGGTACAGTATCATCCCGCCTGGGCTGCCGACAACTTCTCCCCGAGCAGCTTCTCATCATCATTGTCAGTGGCCACATCTTCCAGGCTAGAATGAACTCTATAAGGAGTACATTAAGGTTCCATTAGGAATGAGGAGTCTCTAGCGGTTCTATCAGGAGTTTGAAAAGGTTCTACAACGGTTCGTTAAGGGTTTCAAGAGGTTTTGCACATGCAGCATGTAACCCCAAACATCTCGCTCAATGACCAGTATGGGAATTTCAATACAAGGCGGAATGGCATCAACACAACGGTTAAACGTTACACTTGCAAAAAGTAGAGGAAGGGCAATGTCGATACTAGCAATACTCATTCTCCTTGCGAAATAACAACAGGAGATGCTCGTACAGTGCGGCTGTAGGTCTCAATCGAGCCAGCATGTGGCCTCAGCAGAAATGCTTAGGATGCACTGCTGGCCATCTGTGCCCTCGCGCCCGAACCTAAAAACCTCAACTCAACGCGCAATCTCTGGAGCCATGTAGCCTGAAATACAGGTCCAGATCCTAAAGGAACCAATTCCCAGCCACGCCTTTGAAGAGACTCTGATATTTCTGGCCCCTCAGCTGCGACTTCGTGTAGACGCCTGCAGGCTGCAAGACTGCAAGCCTTGGGAGAGCCTCAAGGGGTGCAGTAAACCCCATAAGGGATCTGTAATAGACTTCTATAATATAAGGGCCTTAAGAAGTATCTATCCTATTTTGGGGGTTCCTGATTATAGTTATAGTAAACCCCATAAAATCGGAAACCGGATTTAGGCCAAATAGTAATGGGATTCACTATACATTACTCTTAAGGATTGAGGCTATGGGGTTTCCAACTTTTGGGCTTCTACTGTAGGATTCGAAGTCCTCCATGTCCTTCGCCTACAGATCTGAGATCTGATGCGTTCTGCTCCGTACAAAGCTTTGAAGCTCCGTGCTTCGTTTAGGGTTTAGGTTAGAAGGGGCCCCCACCCTGGAATTGTGGTATAATAGGAATATAATAGGGCCCTAATATAATCCTTATAGTCACGATTACAGGGTGGGGGCAGCTTCTAGGGCTTAGGGTTCCCGCACGCTCCGTGGACTGCACTGCAACATTCCCGCTCATTCAGAAACAACCTTTGTACGAAGTTAGTCTTGCGTAATACGCGGAACCCTCCAAACTATGGCCTCCAATCTGATAGGATTCTGTTGGCCTTTAGGGATCATGACATTGTGACTGAAGGATTAAGGCTCGAGGTTTAGGCTTAGGGGCCTGATCGTACGCGGCTTGAAGCGAGTGAAGCAGATGGAGAGGGTTTAGGGTTTAGGGAGAGCGTTCATAACCCAGCAGCTGAGGCTCCACAGCTTGCCCGTAAAGACTCCAACGTTTCTGCAAGCCCGTGCACATGTATCATTCACTTTCTGGGATGCCGAGTAATCTACGAGTAAAAAGGGCTCCCTTTTTGGTATTGGGTAACTTTATAAGGAACCTAGGACTACGAAAATCAAAAAAAAGCCCACTGGGAGGCCTAGTTTTTGAGAACCCTGAACTCAGCTAACCTTTTTGACCTGCAAGCCCATGGCGCAAATGCACGTCCCTGGTGCCTTGTTTCTTGAGGTTCCCCGCGAAGGTCTCTCGCTTCTTCTGAGTCCGGTGCACGGGTCAGGGCTTCGGGTGGCCTGAACCATCTCCCAGTAATATCTCCTACGGTTGATGATATAAATCCTACCCATAATAAGGAATCTACCATAATTCCCATAGTGTAGGGTCCTTAAGGTAATGCAGGATTTATACCATCAACAGTATCTCCTACCATCTCCCTGTAGTCCCCTTACACACTTCCCTAGTCAAAAACCCTAAACCCTAAACCCCTAAAACCTAAAGGCTTTGTTACGCTGGCCTTGGCAATGAAGCCCCCGGCGTCTCCGCACAGGAGCTTAGGGTTTAGGGTTTAGGAGTGCCTTTTTGTTTGAAGGTGTCCAGATTTTTGGCGCCTGGGCTTTGAAGTAGGGAGAAAACAGTATAGACTTTTATTTCACAATGGTTCCCTTTCAGCAGCAGGTCCCGAAAAAATGCATTAAAGTATGCTACTCCAAAGCCCAGTTTTTGGTCTCTCTAAAGCAACGCAAGCGGCGGAGGGTCGTTCGGAGCGCTTCGATGATTCTGGGATCTCATCAAGACCACGAAGCGCTAGGCTCGAAACGCCTACGAAAAGGGGTGTAGGGTTTAGGGGTTTAGGCGTTTAGGGGTTTAGGGTTGAGGGGGTGTGGGGCTTACAGGGGTTACAAGACTGAATACCTCATTGAGCAATGCTAGTCCACACGGAGTTACAGACTCCGTCATCCCGAATCGCCGTCCCTCTTGCCGCATCTCGCAGACCCTCTGCTATTTAAGTCTTGACCCTGAACCCTCAACCCCAATCCCTTAACCTGCAAACTCTTTCGCCTTTTGCTTGAACCCCTCTCAGGAAGCCCCCAAATGTCAGAACCCTTTTTGAACAGTATCAAACCCCTATCCAGCCCTTTCAAAACCTACAGAAATCGGGCCAAACCTAAACCCGAACCCTAAACCCCAAAACCCTAAACCCCAAACACAAAACCCTAAACTCAAAACCCTAAACCCAAAACCCTAAACTCAAAACCTACAGGGCCAAGGGAACTGAATTCCACGCCCCGGGCACCGGAGCCAGCCCGAGGCTTCGGGAATAGGCAGCCAGGTCCGGCTCCTTTTTACGAGCTGGGCTTTGGGCTTTAGGGTTAGGGTTTAGGGGTTAGGTTTAGGGTTTAGGGCCCTGGGGTTTAGGGTTTAGGGATTTAGGGTTGAGGGTTTAGGGTTTTAGATTTAGGGAGGGAAATCAGGGTACGGTGTGTCGGCCTTTATTGTGTTTTGGGCTTTAGGGTTAGGGCTTCTAGGTTTAGGGCTTCTGGGTTTAGGGCTTTAGGGTTTAGGGCTTCAGGGTTTAGGGAAGAAGTCCTTGAATTCGGGTTGTGGAGTAACAGTGTGTAGGCTTGAGGTAGGACAGGGGTTGGGATTCAGGATATGAGTTTCACGTTGAAGGGTTAGTGTTGGAGGTTTGGTATACCAACACCCTCAGCAGCAGCAACAGCTCCTTCATTCATCAACTTCAGCAAGACCCAAGAACATGTCAAATCCGTAACCAGTCACACATGGCACCGACGACAGCATGGGGCTTTGGACTTTGCAGCTGATTCACCCCCACACAAAATCTTAACAAACCAGAACTGTCACGACTTAAAATAGCTTCGGTGTGGAGAGTTTGGGGGGGTTGAAGCCTTGTTGGCAGGGTGCAGGCCTGGGGTTGAGGGGTTAGGTTCAGTTTTTGTACTACCACCACAGCTAATGACATGTTTACGGCTTCATCTTTCTCTCCTTGCCTCCATCCTACCCTTAGCCCTGAGGTTGCAGGTTCCTCTTCTATACCCACGTCCCACTTCAATACTCATATCCACCACCAGCATCGTCATCACCAACATCACCATCCGAAGAGGCGTAGTCGCTAAGCGTCATCTTCATCATCATCATCACCCAGCCATCACCGTCTGCTCGCATCGGTGCCATGATCGCTGCCAACATCACCACCAATGCCATTGTCATTACCAGCGCCGCCATCATCACGGTCGTTGACAGGCATTCCTGATCGCAACAACACGGTAGTGAACCTCACAGCAACCAACAACATCGTGCTCTTCAGATTAATCGTTAGCAGGTGGACTGAGAAACCCGGTCGAAGACAAGGTTATGCATTTGGATGACCCTTTTCTTTACTCTTGCAGCTTAAACTAACCAAATCCCGTCCTGAGCCAAGAAAAGCAACATTGAATACCAACAAGTCAACATGTACATGTGTTTTGCATGTACGTACCTCGGTAGGCATCTGTTTATTTTTTCGTGAGGCTATACGTTTTAAAACCATGCTTCAACAAGCTAAGAGGACGACACAAAACATCGAAGTGCTATCCCAAGGATCCATGTGCTTCTCACATTCGAAAGTCACCTCAAGGGGCCGGCAAATGACCAATAAATCGGAGTTGAGCTCCAAGATTTGGGGGCTTAGGATTTTGGTGGTTCAGGATGTTGGAGGTTTAGGATTTCGGGGCTTCAGGATTGTGTGGGTTTCGGATGAAACGACCTTACGGCTGCGAAAAACTTGGATGCAACATTGAGGGCAATGTAGAGGCCCAACACATTAGAGTAGACGGAATTGCGAGCCCTTCCTGTTTAGAAATAGCTTGAAGAAGGTTTAGGGCTCAGGGCTACATCGGAACCCCCCGACCACCTCCAGCTCGCCACCTTCATCAGGAACATTCGTAGTCGGATTTTCCATGGCTAGTATGGCGACAGCGCCCCATTCCTTGGCGCACAGGGGTGCGTTCCAACCCGAACCCGAAGCCCTGAGCCCCTCATGCAGGCACCTTATCATTTTGGAACAGTCGGTAAAAAGGTCTTGATAAAAATCAACGTATATAGGGAAGAAACGGGACTGCTGCCCAAATCCTCGCACCATGGCCTTCGAACGCTTTCAGCAGTGCTCCGGGCCCGAAGCTTACCTTTGGTTAGTAGGGAATGGAAGCATGGTGGTAATAGTAGCTATTTTTGTAGAGAAAGCTGTCACACCAAGCTCCATGCCCCAACCTGACGAAAACAGGAGCTGCCCCAGCCCTGGCCTGAAGACGCCTACACCTAAAATGGGTTTAGGGTTTAAAGTTTTTTTTAAGATTTAGGGTTTAGGGTTTAGTACGTAAAAAAGACATAATGATCAGGGCTGAAGTTACGGAATGGGCGCAACGCTCCGCAAGAACAAGATGGTATCAGCGATCACAAACCGCTTGCCATCATCACTGGACACCACATCATCATTGTTGTCATCATCGTCGTCACCACCTATCGTCTTCATCAATCATTTTCAACGACATCACCATCCTCAGCATGTCATCCTCATCCTCGCCAGCACCATCATTGCCACCATCATCATCAGCAGTAGCAGCAGCGGCGACACAAATATGATTTACCTACTGTTGCTATAACTGTGACAAATGCTGCTCCTGCTGCTCACCATCCTCCTCCTCCTCCTCCTACTAGTACTGCTCCTCCTACTACTGCTGCTACTCCTGCTACTCCTCCTCCTACCACTGCTACTACTACTACTACTACTACTACTACTACTACTACTGCTGCTGCTACTACTACTACTACTACTGCTGCTACTACTACTACTACCACTACCACTGCCACTACCACTCCGTCTACTACTACGACGACTGCTACTGCTACTGCTACTGCTACTGCTACTGCTACTGCTACTGCTACTGCTACTGCTACTGCTACTGCTACTACTACTGCTACTACTACTACTACTACTACTACTACTACTACCACTACCACTGCCACTACCACTCCGTCTACTACGACGACGACTACAACTACTGCGACTGCTACTGCTACTGCTACTGCGACTGCGACTGCTACTGCTATTGCTACTACTACTACCACTGCCACTACCACTCCGTCTACTACTACGACGACTACTACTACGACGACTACTACTGCTACTGCTACTGCTACTGCTACTGCTACTGCTACTGCTACTGCTACTGCTACTGCTACTGCTACTGCTATTGCTACTGCTACTGCTACTGCTACTGCTACTGCTACTGCTACTGCTACTGCTACTGCTACTGCTGCTGCTGCTGCTGCTGCTGCTGCTGCTCCTACTGCGCCTGCTGCTACTACTACTACTACTACTACTACTACTACTCCTGCTACTACTACTACTACTACTACTACTACTACTGCTACTACTGCTGCTAGTACTACTGCTACTACTACTACTGCTACTACTACTACTACCACTACTACTACCACAACAGACGTGCGGGTGGCGGCCTAACATCCTTCGAAGTCCTCTGAATTGACTGCGCTGACTGTGCTGTGCGTCAACGTGGCAGCTTGTTTATACCAGGGTTAGTGATAGCATCAGTAGTACTGTCTAATCTAATTCTCATATATATATATATATGTATAAATATATATAAACACACAGGTATTGGAATATGTATGAATAAACATACGTGCAAGCATATACATGTGCACGTTTGAACTGTTCTCTTGCTTGTGCATGGTCATGCCGATTCTGCTGCTCCTGGAACTGTTGATGATATAAATCCTGCATGACCCATAATAAGGAATATACCATAATTCCCATATATTCCTGATTATGGGCAATGCAGGATTTATATCATCAACCGAAGAAGGAAGACTTTCTGGTGCAATCCACGGCGCCTTGATCTGCAGGCACGCGGCGGCAGCAGCAGCGGAACCTCTCCGGCGCCGGATCTTGGGTTTTAAGGAATCTCAGGGAGTTTAGAACTTAAAAAATTCTGCGGTGTAGAAACTTTTGGTTAAAGCCGAATGCAAGGATCCAGGAATCGTTCTCTCAAACCGCAAAATCACCAATGCCAAAGCCAGCCCCATAGACCTGTGACCCGTAAGTTCAAAGAAACCCACAACACCGTGACAACATCCCAGCGAACATGCGCAGTCCCCGCATATCGCATGGGTCAGACAAAAGCAAATGCCTTGAGGTTCCATGCTCTGGCTTTGATCTGTAGGGTCATGTGAAAAGGCTGCAGCTACTGCAGTAAACCCCTGCGGATTCTCTAAATGCTCGGGTGGTCGGAACTTGATTGAACTTCAAACTGAAGTCTTAGATTCCGGTCTCTGGGAACAGGATCCATACTCTCCGAGCTATCCTGAGACACGGAAGCCGAGTCCTAAACCTGCAATTGCAGAACAATCCGTACGTAAGGCAGCCTCGACCGATACCCTTAGTCAAGGAATGATCTCCTAAGCAGCCTCGATCGATACCCTTAATTCAGGAATGATCCCCTAGGCCCTAGTTGAGGAATAATCCCTTGGATTAAGGCATGGGCTCCAACGCCCGAAACCGCCAGCTTTGAATCGCCGCTGCTTGGAAGAATCGGAACCAAAAAGCTTAGGGTTTAGGGTTTTGGGTTCAAGGGCTTAGGGGCTTAGGGTTTTGGGCTTTAGGGATTTGGGGCTTAGGGGTTTAGGGATTAGGTTTGCGACGATCAAAACATACTTCTACCATCATGACCGTCAAGACCACCGACTCTGCGCAGGCAAGAAACAAGGAGGAACGACTGCATCCTTAGAGTGTCTCAAGGGAGGGCAAAGGCGTTGAATTCAGGGTTCGTAGTCCCTCAGGGGGGTGTAGCTGTAGCAGCCGTCGTCGTCGCCGTCGTCGTTGCAATAGCAGTAGCAGTAGCAGCAGCAGTCGTGGTGGCAGTAGGAGGGGCATCAGGAGTGGCAGTAGTAGCAGTAGTAGTAGGAGGAGTAGTAGTAGAAGTAGCAGCAGCGGCAGCTTCTTTGCAGCAGCAGGAGGAGGAGTAGTAGCAGTAGGGTTTCCCCCCGGTGTGACGCCCAAACCTCTTATTTTTGGGACTTGCTGTGGTCGGAAATGCTGTGTTTTACAGCACTTTTCTTCCGCAGTTATCGAAAGTGGCAACTGTTCCTGGTTTCGTGTGTATTTTATCATATTTTCTAACATTGCTCATCAATCTCGGACCCGATGATGCTGGTATTTACAGCACTTGTCTTTGCGAATTTCATGATGTTTTACTGTTTTTGGGTGTCTCGATTCTCGTGCCCAAAACCTAGCGATCAGAATCAAGGTTTTTCGGGCCTCATTTTGATCATGATTTTCATTCAAATCGTTGGTTTGGAGAGCATCCATGTCCAAAACCTAATGACGTCCATGGTCTAGCGCATTTCGGTTTGGAGAGCATCCATGTCCAAAACCTAATGACGTCCATGGTCTAGCGCATTTTGGTTTGGAAAGCATCCATGTCCAAAACCTAATGACGTCCATGGTCTAGCGCATTTTGGTGTGGAGAGCATCCATGTCCAAAACCTAATGACGTCCGTGGTCTAGCGCATTTTGGTTTGGAGAGCATCCATGTCCAAAACCTAATGACGTCCATGGTCCAGCGCATTTTGGTTTGGAGAGCATCCATGTCCAAAACCTAATGACGTCCATGGTCTAGCGCATTTTGGTTTGGAGAGCATCCATGTCCAAAACCTAATGACGTCCATGGTCTAGCGCATTTTGGTTTGGAGAGCATCCATGTCCAAAACCTTTCGAAATGTTGCTTCTTTGCATCGCCCCGAGCGGGGATGGTACTTTCCACTGCTCTCTAACAGCTTACTCTGTGGTTCACTAGCCGCATCTTGGACCGCGACAGCTGTGATGGAACATGTTGTACATCCACGAACTCAGCGACCGGCGTCGCACCAGGGGGGGATGGCCTAGTAGTAGTAGTAGTAGTAGTAGTAGTAGTAGTAGTAGTAGTAGTAGTAGTAGTAGTAGTAGTGGTAGTAGTAGTAGTAGTAGTAGTTGTAGTAGTAGTCGTAGTAGTAGTAGTAGTAGTAGTAGTGGTAGTAGTAGTAGTAGTAGTCGTAGTAGTAGTAGTAGGAGGTGAAGCAGCAGGAGGAGGCGCAGCAGCCGGAGCAGCAGCAGTGGTAGCAGTTACGAGCACTAGCACTAGTACTGGCTACGGTCTTAAGTCGCAGTAACAGGAAGAAGAGGAGCCACTATAGCATACATTCTAGCATGGTATACTACGGTATATCGTTGTATATTATATTCATTATAGTACATTGTAATACATCATAATATACCCGGAGAAACTCAGACCAAAGTTGGACTGCCCCAAGCGCCCCATGATAGCACCCCTCCACAGATGCTGTCGGGAAGCGTCGACCAGCCGCTGCTGCATCAAGTACCTCAGTTTCTGATCTCTGCAATCTCCGAATATGCAGTACCAAAGCATAAAAGCTGTAAAGCTTGACCAGGAACGCAAAAGGATACCTGCGCAGAGAGCAAGGAACTTTCCCGCATCCGCCATTGCTGTTCCCCACGTTGTTTTATCATTGAAAACCTCGCATCTGCATGACGAGCTTCACTTTCAGAACGCTCTGTTGAGGTGCAGGGTGTGGGGCTTACTATAGGGGGCCTTAATAGTTAGAATAGGGTTTTGGTGCCCATTACACTATAATCAGAATAAGGAACTCCCACCATAATATTGGTAAATATTTGGGCCCCTATATTACTCTAGGGGTTCATGGGTAGACGCCCTGTTCCACAGGGGGCCCTCCTCGGAATCGTCGCCGCTGGTTTTGCTTTTTGCGTCCTTTTTGTTACCACAAAACTTACCTTTGGTTAGTAGGGAATGGAAGAATGGTAGTAATAGTAGTTATAATTGTACCCCATTCCTCCACTCCCTGCTAACCACAATTAAGAAAAGGAAAACTTGGCTGAAGGCTGCACTGAGCAGCGAGGAAGCCGAGATAGCCACCTTTGCCACTGAGCTGCACCGTGTACTTGGGAAGGTTCGGGGGCATCTCAGGCCCAGGTGGCTCTGTAGTGACTGCAGTCCTGCGGCGCCGCGGCGACATCGGCGCCCACTTCCGGCTTCCCATCTGCAGCATCGAAGCCTCGCCCCCGCTGCAGCTTTCGCCGGCCTGGGACGTCTCCGGCAGCCATAGCAGAAACAGAGCTGCCAAGGAAGCCAGCATCTTGCAAAGGAAACGAACCGGCTACCGTCTTTGCCTCTCACAGCCACAACTCGCTTCAGGAGACTCTGCCACACCAACCAGAACCTGTGAACAGCCCGACCACAAGAACCATAACCACAAACAAAGTCCATCTCCGTCCTAGCAGCCTGGCTTAGCAATGCCTCAAGAGATGCGGCTCCTGTGGTTCCAGATGTACTTTACCGGCGGACACCGGGAAATCATTGCTATCAGTGGTCTAATCGGGCACCCCCTCGCCGACTGTCCACGATAACGGCACGCACGACTGGAGTTAGATTGATGTGGCTTCTGGCATGTTCGATCAGGGTAAACTGTGACCCTGCTCGGAGGTTCATGGGTAGTTATAAGTAAGGTTATAAGTAGGGTCACTATACTTATAACCCATATTAGGGGACTTATAATCCAACTTATAACTATCCCTGAACCTCCAAGTGGAGGAGTGCGCCACGGACAGACTTACCTTGGGCTAGTAGGGCCAGTGGGGAATGGAAGAATGGTAGTAATAGTAGCTATGATTGTACCCCATTCCCCCATTCCCTACTAACATAGGGTAAGCAGAGACAGCAACCAGAGTCAGACACGAGGTTAATTTCAGCAGCCATGGTTTGACACATCATACATCTACCGTTGAGAACCGAGTGTTTGGGTGCAGGGTCTACGTTTCTCAAATCTGAAGATTCATAAGTTCGAGGGTATGCAGATCTGACGCGTACAGTTGGCTTGCCCGTCCCGCCGCCCTTGGTTCCTCATGTTAGCTCTAACCCTGAAACTCTGCCAAAACTAAAGAAAAACTTGAGGACTGGCACGAGTATCTGGCTGGAACAGGAGCAAATCAAGATCCAGTACGCCAGGCTGCCACGGTTTGTTGGATTTGACGCAACCCGAACAGAAACAAAACGCACAGTGCGCCGCTTCACCAACGAGGACAAGAGCTGGGAATTAGGTAATAGAAGCTTCCAGCAAGAAGTGCAGGCAGCAGGTTTGTCAGAGAGTATAGGGTTTAGGGCATCTGTTGTAGGAGCCCAAGGAAGCCCTGAGAAGCAGTGCCAAACACAATTTTGTCGTTCTTCTGGTCGGAAAAAGTGAGCGCGCCTCGAGCTTCGGCAGGAGCGCTTGCGAAAATTGCTACACATCGGCTGCCCTCATCTTTCGCGCTCACGTCTTGCACCTTGGCCCACAACAACAAGATACGATTTAGTAGTATCATCCGGCGCAGACGAGCATGTCCTCATCCTACGCACTGTTGCAAATCTGTCAATGCTGTAAACTCATCCACTTAGGACTACTACAAGTATCATGTCCATGGTTACCACTACTAGCAGCACAGCATTGCAATAGTAGCAATGATCATAACTATAAGAATACAACTCGCCATAAGACTAACGATGGCAACGGCAATAGCAATAACAACGTGTAGTAGCAATCATAAACAACATAAGGAGCAACCCTGAACCCTAAACCGTTCATAAATACTACATGCACATCTACACATACATGTACATCTACATATACATACACATACACATACACAGATATTATATATATATATATATATATATATATATATCTGTGTATGTGTGTTTATTTCTTTATTTCTAGACGGCTTTTGAGCCGTCTCCCCTTGCTTGCCAAGTCGCTCTCGGCAGCTTCCTCCTGCGCGCGAAAGGAGATTTCGGGAGTTTGGCGCGCGACGTGCGGATGCTCAGAGTCTCTTAAGGAGTCAGGGGATTTCTTGAAGGGGTTTGCAGTGTAGGGTTTGGGGTTTCCTTTAAACGGGGTCTAGAAGAGTACTACGAGGGATTAGCCCAAGCCCCAAACTTTGAATCCTGAGGACCGGAACCCTGAGTCGGGTGTAGGGCTTTGTATGTCGTGGGGTTGAGGCTTGAGGGCCCAAGGGCTTTAGGATTGTAGGGTTAGGGTTTGCAGGGCTTGGTTTTAAACTTCAAGCCTGAACCCAAGAACACGAGCACCCCCCCCCAAAAAAAAAAAAACAAACAAAAAAACCTAAGCCTTCAACCCTGAAGCCTGAACCCTAAACCCTGAACCCTAATTAAGGAATATACCTTAAATCATATAAGGGATCCTACTATAGTTTAAGGTATATTCCTCAATTAAGGGATACTGAAATCTCTAGGAAAAAGAGAAAACCCTAAACCCTAACCCCTAAGCCAGAGCCGCCTGGATGGCTTTCTCATACTCCTCGGGAGCTGGCACCAAGCGCAAGGGAATCCAACCTCACGCTCCGCCGGGGTTTTTCTGCGGAGTTAGGCTTCCGGGGCTTAGGATTTATGGTTTAAGGCTTTTTTACGCGCCTCTTTTCCAACTCGCGGAGTGCTCGGTTTAGGGTTTAGGGTTTCGGGTTTAGGGCTGAGGGTTTAGGGTTTAAGGTTTAGGGGACTTCCGGGGTTGGGGTGCGAGGGCTCAAGCTCCAGGGTGTAGCACTGAGTTTAGGGTTTAGGGCCTTTAGGCTGGGAAGACTTCGGCTTTAGACCCTTTGGGTTCTGCTGTCTGTGGCTTAGGCTCCTGGCGCAAGACAGAAAGAAACACGAACACCAGCACCTGGAAACCCAAAGCCTCAATCAACTCACCAGTTGCATCCCCAAGCCCAAACAAACGCCCAAAACAAACGAAGGAAACTGGATCCCAAACTGGACCCTCATGGTCAGTTCTCTAGAAATCCCAGAAGGGACCCACCCCTAGTCTTCCCACAATCCCACCAAAGAACCCCTGAAGTCTACTTAGTACCCAGAGACTCCAATACCCCTGAATTAAGAAATATACCTTAAATTATAGTCGGATCCCTTTTTGATTTCAGGTACATGCCTTGACTAAGGGATATTGGAGTCTCTGGGAAGCCCCTAAACCCTGACCCTAAACCCCATCTTTAAGCATCTTTAAGCCATCTTAAGCCCTGAACCCAAGACCCCTGGGTTTAGGGCAAAGAACCCCTCAAAGTGTCCCTACTATCATACGGCACCTGTATTTGAGGCACCCAAAAAGGGACCCTAATCTTGACAACCACCCACTTCGTAGTAGGATCCCTTGTATGATTTAAGGTATATTCCTTCCAGGAATATTGGAGTCACTGGGAAGCCCCTTAAACCCTAAAGCCTATCTTTAAGCATCTTTAAGCCATCTTAAGCCCTAAACCCCAAGCCACTTCGTAGCCCCATCGAAAACCACCAAAAAAAGCAACGGAAGACTCAGGCCATCGAGCTCCGGGCACTCGAACTCAGCTTCTCCTGGCCTGGGTTCAGTGCTTTTAGGGTTCTTAGGGTTTAGGGTTTGTAAGGTTTCGTGTGTAGGGTTTGTAGGGCTCTAGGGTTTCGGGTTCAGGGTTTAGGACTTCTAGGGCTTCTAGGTTTAGGGCTTCTGGGTTTAGGGCTTTAGGATTTAAGGCTTTAGGGTTGAGGGCACTAGGGTGTAGGGTTCAGGGTTCAGGGTTTTAGCATTTAGGGTTCCCTAAACCCTAAACGCTAAAGCCCCGTCAGGGTTGGAGTCTTTCGGGTTTAGGATGCGGGGCAGGGAGTGCAAGGCTTTCGGTGTTCACGATTTGGGTTTGGTGTCTGAGGCTGACGTTTTAAGGTAGTTTAGGGTTTGCGGCTTGGTGCTCACTTGGAGGTTCAGGGGTAGTCATAAGTGGTTTCATAAGTCCCCTAATATGGGTTATAAGTACAGGTGCCCTGCTTATAACCCTACTTATAACTACCCATGAACCTCCAAGTAGAGATTTAACTAAGGTTCAAGATGTATGGATTAGGGACTTAGGGCGTGACAGGTGTATCTCTAAACAACCTTTTAGAAGCTGCACACTTAGCCTTCGAACCAGCAGCACCATTCCCTGCAAGAATGTACCCCTCGCTCGAGCCCTAGGCTCGACCCTCCAACCCCAAACGGCTCAAAGCTCACATGGATAGTTGTCAAAATTAAGGTCCCTTCAAAAATAGCCTGAATGATGGGTGCCGTATTATAATAGGGACCCCAAAAGGGACCACAATTTTGACAACCACCCACATCCCAAAGACCTAAAGCTCCTAAGCCCTAAACCACCCGAATCTCTCAGCGCAGGGCCTCACCCCGCCCTCATCAGATTTGCGCCACCTCGGCTGACCATGCATTCAAACAACCTGAATATGCCAGTCGTCGTACAAGTAACTCACGCAGTCTCGATGCTTCGGTTGATGATATAAATCCTGCATGACCCATAATAAGGAATATACCATAGTTCCCATCTATTCCTTATTATGGGTAGGATTTATATCATCAACAGTTCTGGTGTGGCCGCTGCTGCTGTTCCTTTTGCATAATCATGAGTGCGCTTAATAGAATGAGCTTTGGTGTTCTTCCCACGATGGCTGTGATGGAGACGATGCTAAAAGCAGTACGGACACTGCTACTCATACTCCTCAGAATAACCTTCGCAGTCACAAGCAGAGGCAAAGCACATTCCAACCATCCCCTAAACCCTAAATCCTAAACCCCAACCCCTAAACCCTTTAGCTAACCCCAGAAAGTTGGAGCATGGGCTTAGGATGATTCCTGCTGGGATCCCTTATATTTTACCTTCACGGCCTGAGGATTATAATGTTCCAACTTTATGGCTTCTACTATAAACCCCAAGTCCAGACCCCTAAACCCGAAACCCGAACCAAACTGGCCCTAACCATTGCCTAACCATCCATAATTACCTACAGGGTTCCTGAAAAGGGGTCTATAAGGATTACGACAAGGGAATTCTTTAAGAGTACTATATTATAGGGGCCATAGGGGCCTTCTATAATAATAACCCTAAACCCTAAACCCTAAACCCTGGCACTGTTTTCTGTCGTTCTGTGGCCGTGGACAGGCTGAGTCCGATACACGGAGGGGACCAGGCCAGGCACGTTCCTAAGCTGACGAAAGGGTTCTCGCGCTTCAAAGGGGAAAAGGAGGGACCCTTAATGGGGACCCCTACCCTTTTATGGGCTATATAATGGATATATAATAGCTGCATTAAGGGTTCCTCCTTTTACCCTTGGAGGTTCTTTTTCGGCTTCCGGGCGCTAGGTCTAGGGGTTTAGGTTTAGGATCTTGGGCTTAGGGTTTAGGGTTACGGCTTTCGGGCTTTAGGTTTAGGGCTTTGGGTTTGCCGGCTTTGGGTTTAGGGTGGTGAGTTCAAGGGCTCCATAGCCATGCGGTGTGGGGCTTCGGGTTTGGGGTTTGCGGTTTAGGGCTTCGGGGTTTAGGGTTTAGGGATTAAGGGCTGGCTTAGGGTTTAGGGTAGGTTCAGGGTTTAAGGGCTCAGGGGCATAGGGTTTTGGGGTTTTGGGATTTGGGGCTTAGGGTTTTACCATTAACCCTAAACTCTAAACCCTAGGGGTTAGGGTTTGGGGCTTAGGGATTTAGGGTTTAGGGTGCAGGGCTTCGGATTCAGGGACCTCCGCATTGCCAGGGACTCCAATATCCCGTAATTCACGCTAAATCATATAAGGGATCCTACTATAATTTAAAGTACATTCCTTAATTAAGGGATGTTAGAATCCCCTAATGTAGGAACCTGATTAGGAAATTCCCCTGATTAGAATGGCACGGGCCGGGTGTTGGGGTCAGATTTGTATGTGTTTTAATTGAACCCCAAATAAGGATAAAAAATTGAAAAAACAACCCCCCCAATTAGACAGGCTCGTTCCCTCCAGACAAACAATTTGATTGACTTTCAATTGAACCCAAAATAAATAAAATGTCACCCCAATTAGACAGGATACCCCACAGCCCCCAACCCTTCTTATGGACCCTGAAAAATTCTTAAAGATAACCCCCTGATTAAAAAGGGTCTAATCCCTCACAGCAACCAGCACCCCCCTAATTAATTTTTTAGCTTACAGCCCCTGATTAGTAAGGACCCCACACCACCCAACCCTTCTTATGGACCCTGAATAATTCTTAAAGATAACCCCCTGATTAAAAAGGGTCTAATCCCTCACAGCAACCAGCACCCCCCTAATTAATTTCTTAGCTTACAGCCCCTGATTAGTAAGGACCCCACACCACCCAACCCTTCTTATGGACCCTGAATAATTCTTAAAGATAACCCCCTGATTAAAAAGGGTCTAATCCCTCACAGCAAGCAGCACCCCCCTAATTAATTTTCTAGCTTACAGCCCCTGATTAGTAAGGACCCCACAGCCCCCAACCCTTCTTATGCCCTGAATAATTCTTAAAGATAACCCCCTGATTAAAGAGGATCCAATCCTTCAAAGTAATTAGCCGTCCTCTGATTAAACAGGATCCCCCCAAAAAAACCTCCAAATGTGTTTTTTTATAAGAAGGGGGTTGTAATCTTACTTGCAATTTCTATTGATGAAGATGAAGATGATTATGATGGTTTTGATGAGCTTGACGACGATGATGATGATGATGATCACGATTAGATGACGATGAGCTTGGCGATGATGACAGTGGCGATGAGGAGTAGTAGCAATACCAGTAAGAGTAGTTGTGGTAGTAGTAGTAGTAGTAGTAGAAATAGTAGTAGTAGTAGTAGTAGTAGTAGTAGTAGTAGTAGTAGTAGTAGTAGTAGTAGTAGTAGTAGTAGTAGTAGTAGTAGTAGTAGTAGTAGTAGTACTACGAGAGTTGTACTACAAGAATGCACAATCCAGCCAGCAGCCGAAACGATGCATTTCCAGTACTAAAGTTGTACTACAAGCAAGCACAATCCAGCCAGGAGCCGAGCATCAGCAAGTATCAGCCAGTTTCAGCCGGGATCAGCCAGGATCAGCCAGTATCAGCCAGTTTCAGCCAGTATCAGTCAGTATCAGCCAATATCGCCAGGATCAGCCAGTACCATCCAGCATCAGCAAGTATCAGCCAATATCAGCGAGCATCCGCCAGGATCAGCCAAGCTGTATCAGCCAGTATCAGCCAGGATCAGCCAGTTTCAGCCCGTATCAGCTAGTTTCAGCCAATATCAGCCAGTCTCAGCCAGGATCAGCCAGTATCATCCAGCATAAGCAAGTATCAGCCAGTTTCAGCCAGCATCAGCCAGTTTCAGCCAGTATCAGCCAATATCATCCAGTATCAGCCAATACCAGCCAGGATCCGCCAGTTTCAGCCAGCATCAGCAAGTATCAGCGCAGCCAGTCTCAGCCAGTACCGGTCAGTATCAGCCAGTATCAGCCAGCCAGCATCAGCCAGGCTGTTGGCCAGTATCAGCTGGCATCAGTCAGTATCAGGATCAGCCATTATCATCCAGCATCAGCAAGTATCAGCCAGTTTCAGCCAGTATTAGCCAATATCAGCCAGGATCAGCCAATATCATCCAGCATCAGCAAGTATCAGCCAGTTTCAGCCAGTCTTAGCCAGTATCGGCCAGTATCCCGGTATCAGCCAGTTTCAGCCAGTATCAGCCAATATCGCCAGGATCAGCCAGTACCATCCAGCATCAGCAAGTATCAGCCAATATCAGCGAGCATCGCCAGGATCAGCCAAGCTGTTGGCCGGTATCAGCTGGCATCAGCCAGTATCATCCAATATCATGCAGTTTCAGCACAGCCAATATCAGCCAGTTTCAGCCAGTCTCAGCCAGTTTCAGCCAGTATCAGCCAGGATCAGCCAGTTTCAGCCAGTATATCAGCCAATATCATCCAGTAGCCAGGATCAGCCAGTTTCAGCCAGCATCAAGCAAGCATCAGCCTTGTTCAGCCAGTATCAGACAGTATCAGCCAGTATCAGCCAAGACAAGCCAGCATCACAAGCTGTTTGGCCAGTATCAGTTGGCATCAGTAATATCAGGATCAGCCAAGATGATCCAACATCAGCAAGTATCAGCCAGTTTCAGCAAGTATCAGCCGATATCAGCCAGGATCAGCCAGTTTCAACCCGAATCAGCCAATATCAGCCAGGATCAGCCAATATCATCCAGGATCAGCCAGTATCATCGTATCAGCCAGTTTCAGCCAGTATCAGCCAGTCAGCCAGTTTCAGCCAGTATCAGCCAATATCATCCAGGCTCAGCCAAGCTGTTGGCCAGTATCAGCTGGCATCAGTCAGTATCAGGATCAGCCAGTTTCATCCAGCAATATCATCCAACATCAGCAAGTTTCGGCCAGTTTCAGGCAGTGTCAGCTGGCTTTGCACGGTTTTGGGCTTTGCTTGTGCTCTTGGCGGTTATTGGTCATTTCAAAATTTCGATTCTGGTTGGGAAAGAGCCCAAATGACACCGCCGGAGATTGAGCCCGCGACCCTGGCCAATACGCCCGCCTGAACGGCCGCCCCCAGTTTCCTCTAGTCGCCCATAGCTCAGCGGGTAAGCGGATGGCTTACAAGCCCTTCTGGAAAAAGGGCGCGGGCTCAAACCCCGGTGGTGTCATTTAGACCCTTTGACGTTAATAAGGGCTTAATAAGGCTTTAATAAGGGCTTAATAAAGCCTTAATAAGCCTCTTATAAGCCTTAAATAAAGCTCTAATAAAGCTTTACCCTGAGCATCCGCTATTGATTAGAATCAATATTTTTGGATAAATTTCCATTGATATTGATTTTGATGGCCTATATTGATTATATCAATTATATTGATATTGATTTTTTCTCTGTTGAAGTATATATTTTGGCATATTTATTTCTATTGATTTTACTGATACTTCCGATTGATTCTGGTATTGATTTTTTCTTGCTCCCTGATCCCTCGAAACAGGGATCGATTTCAAACATATGTAGCCCGAAAACATGAGTGCATGTGCACTGCCGGCGGCCTGCAACTTTGGCTCAAGTGTGCTGCTCCCTGCAGCGAGGTGGGAGCAGCTGGTGTAGGCTGCTGGAGCTCCGAAGGAGTGGACGGCAAGTTTGTTTCTGCCCTAGAAACAGGGTGGAGAGCGAAAACTTAAGGACCGTTTTTTGCATCCTGGGAAGGGAAAGCTTTCTGCCCTGGAAACAGGGTGGAAAGCATGGCCGCCAAGGGGCGAGGAGGGGCCAGGCACACCCCGAAGCCTTTCACAGACGAAGGTGTGCTGTTGAAAGTGCTGGGGGACCACAAGGACCTCATCAAGGACCTGGGACCCTACGAGCTAATCAGTCGGTCTGGTGCAGTGGACCCAAAGGGTCTGGTTCGCAACCTGGACCTGCTCAGGGACCTCCTGAGGGCCGAACCGACCGGTGAGGTCCACACCCAGCCGACAGGCCCTGCTGAAGCTCATGAGAGATGACCCGACCGTGAACACTTCTTCTTTCAACGGGTCGGTGTGGAGCAACCTGAAAGGGGAGCGACTCGGCTGCTTGCTGAACCACACACGAAAATGGGCGAGGGCAGAGGTTGAGGGAAAGAGCAATGCAGCCAGCAAGCTCACGGCTTTCGAATATCGGAAGCTGAAAGAGCTTCTGGACCTGTTCCAGGACAAGGAGGTCCCCGAAACGGGACCCAGGCTGGCCTTGGAAGACAGGAAGCCGCCTTCGAAAGAAGGCAGGCAGCTGCGGCCCAAGCCTTCCCTGGACTCGGACGGTTTCCCGAAAATGTTTGGGGAAAGCCAGGCAAGCAGTCCCGAGAGTGCAGACGAAGCTTTGCCAAAGGGACGAGCTCCCTGCTCGGTGTCTTTCTTGAAGAGAAGAGCTGGGCAGAGCTTAATGGTAGGCCAAGAGGAGCCAGAAGAGGAGGCTGCTGATGCCTTGAAAGAGGCAATGGGCCTTGGTGGGACGGGTGCTGCTGCTGGAGGCAGCAAGCCTGCAAAAGGCAAAGGCAGGGGCAGAGGAAGGGGACGAGGAAGGGGCAAAGGCAAGGCAAAGAAAGGTCGGGGAAAGGGCCAAGAGCCGAAAGAGCAGCCCTTGAAAAAGCCGGCTGCCTCTCAGCCCATTCCCGGCCACGTGGGCGGCTGGAAAGCAGTCAGGAAGACCAAGGCCAGCAAGCCGGCCCGGTGCTACCTGACTGGTACCTTGGGGCCGGCTGGCAAGCGACTCCTGATCACGGAGGTGCCGGAAAGATGGACAAGCCAGTACGAGAAGGTCATCGACATCATCAAGAAAGCCTTAGAAAAGGATCCGAAAATGACGAAGGACCAGGCCCAGGCAATGAGGACCAGCCTTTGCAAAAAATACCCCTGAGAGGGGGTCTGCAAGAAGCTCTGCCCTTGAGAGAGGGTCTTGAACCCTCGAAACAGGGTCGACTGTGCAGCTGCCCGCCCTGGAAACAGGGTGGGCAGAAGTAGCTTTTTTGCAAGAGGCCCTGCTGGCCACGTCTCACCCTGACTTTACCGTTCAGGCCACCGGGAGCTAAAAAACAAGGGTTCGGGGATGGAAATACTTATTATGGAATATATATATATATATATATATATATATATATATATTCCATATTATATATATATATATATATTTATATTTCTTCCTTATTTTCTAATTTAGAAGAGTGTTCTGGAATCTGTTTTTATTATACTTTCTTTAAACGGTGCTAAACGAGAGGAAAGGACAAATTTGGGTGGGGGGGGGGGCAGGGCGGCAGAAAAATCGCACACACACACACACACACACACACACACAAACATGTGTGGGGTCTGGGGTCTTAGGGTGAAGCCTTTTAGAGTTTGGGGTTTCCCTTGAAGCTTTAAACCCCGGCCGGTAAGCTCGTAAATTTTATAGTGTCGCAGCTATATATATATATATATAGATATATATATATATATATATATATATAGGTATATAAACTTAAGCCCCGATTCACTTGGAGCCCTTGAAAAAGGGCCTCCAGCAATAATTTAATGCCCTAGTCACCTGGAGCCCTTGAAAAAGGGCTTCCGGTAACAGGCTTCCCAAAATATATCCCTTAAAGAACCAATACCAAAACCTTTCAGCCTAGCCACCCCCAGGGTAAGGTAGCCTAGAGGCCCAACAAAGCTTTTAAAAGTAGAAGCCTGGAGACCCCAAAAGCCTAAAGGTTCGAGGTACCCCTAGACACCCTGAAGCCCAAGCCCAAGAGAAAACTCCGGTGTGTCCGCTGCCGTTTGGCTTAAGAGCTCGCCAGCGAGCAAGAGGTGGGGCACCCTGAGCAGGATGCCCGCCTCAAGGGCAGTCCCGGGAGTCAAGAATAGGCAAGGGAAGCCTATAGGTACCGGGACTAGCTCGAACAAGAGGAAGGCAGACCGCCTTGCAAGGTTCGGCCCAGGGTCGGACCAAGGAGGTCTGCAGTACTCTCAAGCAGCTGCAGCTGAAAGGGAGGAGGCTGCAGCTGAAAGGGAGGAGGAGAAGCTCGACCCTAGAAATAGGGTCGGGCAGTGGTGGACCCCTGAGCAGTGGAACCAGTGGGAAGAAGACTGGCGGGTCTGGCACCAGCACCGCGACTCTCGAAACAGAGTCGAGGAGGCCAAGTGGTGGGAAAAAGACCACGACGACGGCGAGGACTCCAGGTGGTGGTCGGGTGACAAGCCGCAGGAGCCAGCAAGCTACAGTAGCGGTGCTGGCTGGGCAGAGCCTTGGACCAGAGAGTGGGGGTCAAGCTGGGGAAAGGAGCCCTACTCGAAACAGTGGGGCTCTCAAGAGCCTTACAAGGCAAGCCCTAGAAACAGGGCTGAGGAGACTGAGGACGAGCTGATGGAAGCGAGGCCCGAGCCGGTAGTTTTGAGGGAAGCCCGGCGAGGAAGGCGGCACCGAGCCACCAGCACTTCCTCCGAGGCCAGCCGCTCCCGCACACCACCACGGCTGGACCCGGTGCCACCTGAAGGCATCGAGATAGTGGGTGCGAAGAGCTCGAACTCTAGCGAGCAGCCCTCGAAAGAGGAGCAGCAGCCGAAGCCCTTGAAAAAGGGGAAGCAGCAGCAGCCCAAGGGATCTGTCGGCAAGGCAGTTCAGGGCAAGGGCAAGGCTGTTGCTGCCGAAGGTGTGCCAGCAGCCAAGGAGCCGGAGCCGGACACAGCTCCCGGCCCTAGAAATAGGGCTGATGAGGTGCTCCAGGCGGCCAAGCTGTGCTTGGACTGGCACCAAGTCCTGCAGCTGGGGAAGGAGAACGAGATCCGGCCGATGTGGAGTGCTTCCGTGCGAGCACTCAAGCAAGCGGGCTGGGAAGTCTTTATAATCTCCTTCGTCACTCCGACTCACAACGAGGCGAGAGTGCAGGAGATGTACAGGATGCTGGAGGCAGCCAATATCCGGGACCAGGTGACTGGGGTTTGGACCTGCCCTGAAAGGGGCGGGCCAAACGGGAAAGTCGCCCTGGCAACCAGTCTTGGCTGCTCTTTGATCCTGGACGACAATCCAGTGATCCTGCAGGAAGCCCTTGAAAAAGGGTTGAAGGTGTTCGCGATCACCACGAAAAGAGAGCGGCACCAGGACCTGGCCAAGAAGCCCGGTGTGCGAGTGTTCCGAGACCTCTGTGTGGCCACGGAAGCAATTCTGTGTCAGATGATAGACTGCAGAGACTTGTAACCGCCTCGCAAGGCAGCAGGCCCTAGAAATAGGGCCTTGGGCCCTTGAAAAAGGGTCCGTGCCAAGAGCACAGTAGCCCCTAGAAATAGGGTGCTACAGTCGCAAAGCAGCCCCTAGAAATAGGGTGCTGCAACCTAGCCTCACACTGCAGCCCCTAGAAATAGGGTGCTGCAGTGTTTTTTCGGGTTTCCACAATATAGAACCCCATAACCCTAAAGGCTTAAGCTTAGGCTTTAGACCCGGGCCTCTAGGGTTAGAAGCTAAGAGCTTCTAATATGTTGTAATGCTAATATATACTATAAATTTAAACTATATATAATATATATATATAGTAGACACTATATATATATATATATATATATATATAATATAGTAGCATAATTGTGGAAACCCGACGTCCAGGCCCGTCTCACCCTTCACACAGCTCGTTGTCCATCCGAGCGAAAACAGCTGGGCCCTGGGGTTTGGGGTTTGCTTTAGGGTTTAAGGGTTTCGGCTTCAAACCCTAAGCCCCACCAAAACCTTTCGCTTAAACCCTTAAACCCTAAACCCTTAACCTTATAGGGTTTGCTTTATAGGGTTTGAGGGTCTAGGCTTCAAACCCTAAGCCCCACCAAACCACTTCGCCTAAACCCTTAAACCCTAAACCCCACCAAACCCCAAACCCTTAACCTTAGGGTTTGCTTAAGGGTTTAAGGGTTTCGGCTTCAAACCCTAAGCCCCACCAAACCTTTTTGCCTAAACCCTTGAACCCTAAACCCCACCAAACCCTAAACCCTTGACCTTAGGGTTTGCTTTGGGGTTTAAGGGTTTAGGTTGTAAACCCTAAGCCCCACCAAACCCTTTTGCCTAGACCCTTGAACCCTAAACCCCACGAAACCCTAACCCCTAAACCCTAGGGTTCAGGGGCTGGCGGTTACGGTTTCTGGGGTTAGGGGTTGCTGTGTTTTTGGGTTTCTGGTGGTTACCGGTTCAGATTTTTAAGGGATAGGGTTTTAGGGGTTCAAGGTTTAAGGCTTGGGGGTTAAGGGTTCTGGTAAAAGGTGTTAGGGGTGAAGGGTTTTGCGGGTTTTAGGGGTTCTTAAGGGTTTTGAGGTTTAGGGTTCAGGGTTTTAGGGGTTAAGGTTTTAAGTTTCAAAGCTTAGTGATTTAGAGTTTTAGGGGTTAAGGGTTTAGTGTTTCAGAGGTTGTAACCGTTCAGGGTTTTAGACACGAAAACCCTAAACCTTAGAACCCTACAACCCCCTAGACCCTCTAGCCCCAAAAAGCCTAGCCTGTATAACCCTAGGCCCCAGCCCTAAGACACACAACAAAAGTTTGAAGCCCTTGGCAAAGGGCTGGAAACTTTAGAGTGTGTGGGAAAGGGGAGGGGGGGACGGTGGTGGTGGTGGTGGTTGCCACTGTGGTTGGTGGGTGGAAGGGGGGAAGTTGGGTTGGTGGGAAGGGCGGGAAGCTAGGTGGTGCGGGTTGGGGGGCGGGTGGGGGAGGCTGGTGGCAGGAACTGTGGAATCTGATCAAATCTGATCAAATCTGATCAAATCTGATCAAATCTGATCAAATTCTGATCAAACCACTGTTTGATCAGAATTTGATCAGGATTGATCAGATTTGATCAGATTTGATCAGAATCTGATCAGATTAATCAAACCCGGCACCTTTTTCAAGGTGCCGGGCGAACACCAATTGTTTATGGAGAAAATAATGTTTGGTGGATGGCAGGGGATGGGTCTTTGGGGCTGGCCAATGTAAGCGCTTTTTTTGGTGGTGCTGCCGTGGGGCTGGGTGGGAAGAGGTGGGTGGATTGAGAGGTGAAGGGAATGGTTAATTAGGCGCTTTTTTGGGTTTTGGGACGGGGTGGGGAGGGTGTGATGTATGTTTCAAGCATGTAATTTATCTTTTTTTTATTTATGGGTGCTTACTGCACTTATGTTTGTATATGTTTGTTTCTGGATGTACTTTTCTATTTACTTAGAAATTTTAACATACATATATATATATATATATATTTGATGGATTGTTTCAGAATTTTTTAGATATGATATATTGTATATTATACGTGAAATACCATATGTTTACGATTGTATACATTGAATCACTTTTGAAACTATGATTAGATTTTGCATTGCAATGATTGAAACGATTACTAACGTTTGAAAAGGAATGATTTAGCTATATATATATATATATGTAGCTACATATATATATATATATATACATACATACATACACTGAAATTCCATCTAGTTTCCATAGACTTATAGGTATGTACGATTGAAGTATTTTGTGTGTATATATATATATAAACAGAAATCCCAAGCCCTCGAAAGAGGGCACAACAAACCCCAAATGACAGCAACACTCACAAAACCACAAACCATCAAAGCCCGAAAACCCGAAACCTCGAAAACCCTTAAACCGCCCAAAACCTTAAACAACCCTGAAGCCTAGAACCCCCAAACCCCCAAAGCCCTTGAAACCAAAAATCCCCAATCCCCTCAAAACCCTAGAATAATAATTATTTAAACCCTCAAAGCCTTAAAGGCTTCAAACCTAAAGCCACGGAAACCTAGAACACCCAAAACCCCAAACCTTCGAAACCTTAAAAAGCCAAACCCCCAAAGCCCTTGAAACCTAAAATCCCCAATCCCCTCAAAACCCTAGAAGAATAATTATTTAAACCCTCAAAGCCTTAAAGGCTTGAAACCTAAAGCCACGGAAACCTAGAACACCCAACACCCCAAACCTTTGAAACCTTCAAAAGCCAAACCCCCAAAGCCCTACCCCCCTAAGCCCCTACACCCCATCACAAAACCCTCTAATGTTTTTTTTTTTAACTCCGGGACCAGAAGCCGAAACGGGCCGCCATGTGGCTCAAAGAAAGAAGCTTCAAGCTTAGTTTTTTTCGCAGAAAACCCACTCCTGAGGAGTGGGTTTGTCCGAAGACCCCAGAGTGGGGAAAAAAGGAAGCTTCCCGACGAGCAAGCTTCAGAAAGTGAAGGCCAAGGCCAAGTGTGTGGCCAAGGCCAAAGCGAAGGCCAAAGCGACGGCCAAAGCGAAGTCTTTTGCTTCAAGGGCCCTGAAAGGGGCTCTTGCGAAGGCCAAGGCGAAGGGCCCCCTGAAAGGGGTGCTCAAGCCGACGAAGCACAACTTGAAGAAGCTGGGAAAGGAGAAAACTTTGGCAGAGAAGGTTCAGGACCTTGCAAAAGGAGCCGACACCGCAGAGGAGGCGGTGTCGAAGGTCCAGCAGGGCCTCAGCAAGCTGGACAAGAGCAAGTTGTGGAGCCAGCACAACACCCACTTGAACAGGAACCCCGAGGCCAAAGAGAAGCAGGACAAGCTGGGGAAGAAAGACAAAGGTGCTGCTGCGACACTGTGGTTCCTTCGAGACAAGGTGCCACAGTTCGCCAACTTCTCAGAAAACAGGGAGGAGGCGACGACCTTGAGAAAGGTTGACAGGTGGTTGTCGGAGAAAGAAGCCCTGAGCAAGTGGACAGAGGCCGAGCTTGAAGCCCACTGCCAGTCGGGCAGAGTGCAGTACCGGGAATGCCCAACCACGTGGGGGGTGTGGGAATACCGTGACAACCACCACTTCGTCAAGGAGACCTCTGGAAGGAGGTCTCGGAACTGGTCCCGTGGCCAAGAGTTCCACCTCGAAGACGACGACGAGCAGGAAGAAGGCCTGGAGGACTTTTTCGCCTTGGACGTGGAGAAGCTTTTGGGCCTCACAGAGGGCAAAGGGAAAGGCAAGGCTCTGGCCTTGACAAAGGGTGGAAAAGCCAAAGGAAAAGGCGGCAGGAAAGGCAAAGGCCAGCAGCAGGAGGAAGGGCAGCTCGCCCTGCAGGACGGCTCGACAGCGGAGGAGAAGGACGACGACGTGCAAGCTTACTTGGGCAAGGCCAAGAAGGCAAGGGACCTGCTGTCGTGCACATACAACAACCTCGAAGAGGCCTTGGCAAAGGCCAAGGCTTCGTCCTACTGCAGTGCCGCCTCGCAGAAGGATGCCAAAAAAGCTTTGGCAGACCTGGACGGGCTGCTGCAGAAGACGAAGGGGGTGGTGTCCTCGAAGAGAGCCTGCAAGAAGGAGGTGGTGGTGAGCCTCCTTCAGCAGGCGGCGGCCACGGTGAACCAGGCGAAAGACCTGGGGAAGGAACTCCTGGCGATGGCTGCCAAAACACCCAGCAAGTCCTCGAAGCTGAAGTAATCAGCTCGGGCACAGTGGCATCCCTAGAAACAGGGTGTAAGACCACTGCCAGTGATCTCGAAACAGAGCACAGCACTCCTTTGCTCTCGAAACAGAGCAGGACAGCCGTTGCTCTCGAAACAGAGCACAACCGTCCTCGACAAAGTTTTTTTTCGTGTCACAGCTTCGGCTTGTAGACCGAGCCTGCCAACAGGCTGGCGACAGACCGGACTGCACTGCTGCAGCTCTGCCAAAAAGAAAGGGTTCTTGTGAGCAGTGTTTTGGGTTCTAGGTCCTTAAACCCAGAAGCCCCAAGCCCAAGCCGAACCCTCAATAACCTTACGCAGTGCCCCAAGGCCCAAGCCTCACCTCAAGGAACTTGCTTGGCAGCAGAACCTCTTCGCTGCCGTTTTGGCTTGAAATCATAGCGAAGCTAGAGCCATGGCCGGCCGTGAGCGAGGCCAGCCAGCCAAGAGGCTCAGAGGCCATGCCCTGGACTTGGCAAGGGGCACGGCCGAGCAAAAGGAAAGGGTTGAAAGAGGAGAAAGCTCCCTCGCAACAGGGTTGCTGTCCTTGTGGGCTCATGGGAACATAGCAGCCACGACCATGTGTTGGTTGGCCCTCCTCGCCACACTGGACGGGGTGGAGCACGAGGAAGTTGTAGCCTTGGCCAAGGCTGGCAACTTCGGGCAAGTTCCCGGCAACTGTGCCAGGGACGTGACGAGAAGGTTTTGCAGTGCTAGCCGTGTGCCAGAGCCTCTGCAGGTGCCCATCCCGGTCTTGGACCCTAAAACAAACAAGGACTCGACTGAAGATGCCGGAATCATGTTGCCACACATGGTCTTCAGTACCCTCGCAACAGGGTACCCGGCAATCTTCGAGTCTTTGGGCTTGGACAAGCTCGAAGCTTTTTGGAACAGTGCCCTCGCAACAGGGGACGACCGACTGGAGAATGTACCTGCCCTCAAAGGCAGGGACTGGAAGAGGAAGGTCGTCCCGCTGTTCGTTCACGGGGACGGTGTGGAGTACCAGACCAGGGACAGCCTTATGGTGTGGTCTTTCGGAAGTCTTCTGAGTCTTTTCTCCGATAGTCTGATGAAGCACTTCCTCATGGCAATGTTCCCTAAAATAGCGACCTCAGCGAGCACCTGGCCTGGAATCATGAAATGGCTAGTCTGGAGCTTCGATGCCCTCGCCAAAGGGTACCACCCCAAAAAAGGGCCTGAGAACGAACCCTTGAAAAAGGGTTCGGTGTTCGAGAAACTGAAAGGCCAACCGCTCACTCCTGGCCATCACAAAGGCATCATTTGGTCCCTGCAAGGGGACCACGACTTTTTCAGCAATGTAGTGGGACTGCCACACTGGCAGTCCCACTACCCGTGCTGGGAGTGTGATGCTTCCTTGAAAGAGGAAGCAGCACGACATGGCAAATGGGTCAAAGAAATCGAGCAGGACAAGCAAAACTTCGTTCGTGTCACCTCGAAGCAGGCAGCACGGCACCCGAGGTCTGCCCATCCTCTCTTCACCCTGGACGGTGTGACCACTCGCCTTGTAAGAGGCGACGGGCTCCACATTATGTTCACGAAAGGCATATATGCCCACCTGTTGGGCTCGGTGTTACATTTTTTCTGTTGGTGGGACGAGCCCGGCCACGTGCAGAAAAAAACGCCGGCCGAGAGGCTCGGGCTTTTGTGGGCAGCAATTCAAAGGGAATACACGGCTCTGCGAGTAGAAACCCGTGTAACCAATTTGAGATTGAGTATGTTCACCAATCCAAAAACGCCATGGGCTGTCACTCCTTTCTTGGAGTGTAAGGGTGCCGAGAACAAACACTTGCTGAAGCCACTCGCAACAGTGGCTAGGAAGCTGCTCGACACGACCGAGCCTGTGCAATGCTCTATGCTGTCCGCCTTGGAGTGCATGTCGGACCTCGTCGAAGTCTTCGATGAGGCCGACATGTTCCTTGCAGACAATGAGTTTCGCAAGGCAGAAAGCCTCGCAAAAGGCTTTCTCGACAGCTACAGCTTCCTGAACCAGTGGTCCCTTGAAAAAGGGTACCCTGGATTCAGGATTGTAATGAAGCACCATACGTTTCAACACCTGGTAGAAAACTCACGTTTTCTCAACCCACGTGCTCATTGGTGCTTCGCTTCGGAAGATTTTGTGGGCCGAGTCAGTCGCCTGGCAAAGTCTGCGGCTTCCGGGGTTCGCTCCACACGGCTCAGTGTCAAAAGCATGCACAAGTATAGAATTCTTATGCACTTGCTTATGACCCGCCCATCCATACACGATGTGGTGCCGGAGCTAGATGGCATGGCCGATGAGTTCTAGCCACAGGGAGCGGCTGTAGCAGCCTTGCCTCTCGAAACAGGGTGCAAGCTTGGCAACCCTGGAAACAGGGTTGCCATGCCCCTCGAAAGAGGGTGCAAGCTTCCAGATCCTGGAAACAGGGTTGCCTTGCCTCTCGAAAAAGGGTGCAACCTTACGAAGACCCTAACAACATGGGCCCTAAACCCTCTCCAGCCTCAAGACCCTAGAAACAGGGCTGCTTGCCCTCTCCTCAACCCCAGAAACAGGGCTGCTTTCCCTCTGCAGCTTCAAGACCCTAGAAACAGGGTTAGCAGACGTTTCACCCTGCATGTTTCACCCCATGAGTGGCAGGATTGCAGGTGCTCCTTGTGCAAAAAAGGTCTCAGCCCGGACTGTAAGGCCCCCATAAAGATTGATTTGAAGATTGATTTTGGAGTAAATTTCTATTGATTTAAATATTGATTTTACGCTTCCAGATTTCATTTTAACCTATTGATATGAAACATAGCGAGAATCAAGTTTTATAATTGATTTCCTTCGAAATCAATTCGGCTCAGCCCCGATTGATCCTAATCAATAGCGGATGCTCAGGGTAATATGGCTTTAATAAGGGCTTAATAAGGCCATAATAAGGGCTTAATAAAGCCTTAATTTAATAAGCCTCGTATAAGCCTTGTTAAGCTTTATTAAAGCCATATTGAAGCCTTATTACAGCCTTTATTAAGGGCTTTTCAGGAGCAGCCAGGGCCAAGAAACAGCCAGTTTCAGCCGGTACCGGTCAGTATCAGCCAGTATCAGCCAATATCAGGATCAGCCATTATCATCCAGCATCAGCAAGTATCAGCCAATATCATCCAGCATCAGCAAGTATCAGCCAGTTTCAGCCGGGATCAGCCAGGATCAGCCAGTATCAGCCAGTTTCAGCCAGTATCAGTCAGTATCAGCCAATATCGCCAGGATCAGCCAGTACCATCCAGCATCAGCAAGTATCAGCCAATATCAGCGAGCATCCGCCAGGATCAGCCAAGCTGTTGGCCAGCCAGTTTCAGCTAGTATCAGCCAGTATCAGCCAGGATCAGCCAGTTTCAGCCCGTATCAGCTAGTTTCAGCCAATATCAGCCAGTCTCAGCCAGGATCAGCCAGTATCATCCAGCATAAGCAAGTATCAGCCAGTTTCAGCCAGCATCAGCCAGTTTCAGCCAGTATCAGCCAATATCATCCAGTATCAGCCAATACCAGCCAGGATCCGCCAGTTTCAGCCAGCATCAGCAAGTATCAGCGCTTCAGCCAGTCTCAGCCAGTACCGGTCAGTATCAGCCAGTATCAGCCAGCATCAGCCAGGCTGTTGGCCAGTATCAGCTGGCATCAGTCAGTATCAGGATCAGCCATTATCATCCAGCATCAGCAAGTATCAGCCAGTTTCAGCCAGTATTAGCCAATATCAGCCAGGATCAGCCAATATCATCCAGCATCAGCAAGTATCAGCCAGTTTCAGCCAGTCTTAGCCAGTTTCAGCCAGTATCAGCCAATATCGCCAGGATCAGCCAGTACCATCCAGCATCAGCAAGTATCAGCCAATATCAGCGAGCATCGCCAGGATCAGCCAAGCTGTTGGCCGGTATCAGCTGGCATCAGCCAGTATCATCCAATATCATGCAGTTTCACCACAGCCAATATCAGCCAGTTTCAGCCAGTCTCAGCCAGTATCAGCCAGTTTCAGCCAGTCTCAGCCAGTATCAGCCAGTTTCAGCCAGTATCAGCCAGGATCAGCCAGTTTCAGCCAGTATATCAGCCAATATCATCCAGTAGCCAGGATCAGCCAGTTTCAGCCAGCATCAAGCAAGCATCAGCCGGTTTCAGCCAGTATCAGACAGTATCAGCCAGTATCAGCCAAGACAAGCCAGCATCACAAGCTGTTTGGCCAGTATCAGTTGGCATCAGTAATATCAGGATCAGAGCCAAGATGATCCAACATCAGCAAGTATCAGCCAGTTTCAGCAATATCAGCCGATATCAGCCAGGATCAGCCAATTTCAACCCGAATCAGCCAATATCAGCCAGGATCAGCCAATATCATCCAGGATCAGCCAGTATCATCGTATCAGCCAGTTTCAGCCAGTATCAGCCAGGATCAGCCAGTTTCAGCCAGTATCAGCCAATATCATTGAGGCTCAGCCAAGCTGTTGGCCAGTATCAGCTGGCATCAGTCAGTATCAGGATCAGCCAGTTTCATCCAGCAATATCATCCAACATCAGCAACTTTCGGCCAGTTTCAGGCAGTGTCAGCTGGCTTTGCACGGTTTTGGGTTTTGCTTGTGCTCTTGGCGGTTATTGGTCATTTCAAAATTTCGATTCCGGTTGGGAAAGAGCCCAAATGACACCGCCGGAGATTGAGCCCGCGACCCTGGCCAATACGCCCCGCTGAACGGCCGCCCCCAGTTTCCTCTAGTCGCCCATAGCTCAGCGGGTAAGCGGATAGCTTACAAGCCCTTCTGGAAAAAGGGCGCGGGCTCAAACCCCGGTGGTGTCATTTAGACCCTTTGACGTTAATAAGGGCTTAATAAGGCTTTAATAAGGGCTTAATAAAGCCTTAATAAGCCTCTTATAAGCCTTAAATAAAGCTCTAATAAAGCTTTAATATGGCTTTCATAAGGGCTTAATAAGGCCATAGTAAGGGCTTAATAAAGCCTTAATAAGCCTCTTATAAGCCTTAAATAAGGCTTTAACATGGCTTTAATAAGGGCTTAATAAGGTTTTAATAAGGGCTTAACAGCCTTGTTTAAAGCTTTTAAGAGGCTGATTAAGGACTTATTAAGCCCTTATTAAGGCTGATTAAGCCCTTATTAAAGCTTTTCACAGCCTTATTCAGGCCTTATTAAGGCCATATTGAAGAAGCCGTATTACAGCCTTATTGAAGCCTTATTAAGCCCTATTACGGCCTTATCAAGCCCTTATCAAGGCCTTATGAAAGCTTCATTATAGCCTTATCAATACTATTGTAATACGACTGTACCACTACCTTACTGCAACTGTATTGTACTACTATTATGCTACTAGTGTACTACTGTACCGCTACTGTACTACCCTACTACACTACCACTACCACTACCACTACCACTACTACAACTACTACTGCTACTACTACTACTACGACAACTACTACTGTACTACTACTGTACTACTGCACTACTACTGTACCACTACTGTACTACTACTGCTACTGTACTACTACTGTACTACTACTGTACTACTACTCTACTACTACTGTACTACTACTGTACTACTACTGTACTGCTACTGTACTACTACTGTACTACTACTGTGCTACTACTGTACTGCTACTGTACTACTACTGTACTACAACTGTATTACAACTGTACTACTACTGTACTACTACTGTACTACTACTGTACTAATACTGTACTACTACTGTACTAGTAACTAGTAGTATACTAATTAATAAATCAATATGTATTAGCTTTCCCTCGAACAGGTTTCCCCCAATTCCCCGAACAAGGTCTTGTATTGCTTTAAACGTTCAACCCCCCAATAGCGCGGAGTTTGGCTACACACCCCCAATTAGACAGGCTCACCCGATCTCGCCCGGAAAAACCTGACCTTGAATAAACCCCCATGCCCACCCCCCCCATTAGAAGGGTCCACTGGTACTGTACTACTACTGCTGCACTACTACTGTACTACTACTGTACTACTACTACTACTGTACTACTACTGTACTACTACTGTACTACTACTGTACTACTACTGTACTACTACTGTACTACTACTGTACTACTACTGTACTACTACTGTACTACTACTCTACTACTACTGTACTACTACTGTACTACAACTGTACTACTACTGTACTACTACTGTACTACTACTGTACTACTACTGTACTACAACTGTACTACTACTGTACTAGCAACTAGTAGTATACTAATTAATAAATCAATATGTATTAGCTTTCCCTCGAACAGGTTTCCCCCAATTCCCCAAACAAGGTCTTGTATTGCTTTAAACGTTCAACCCCCCAATAGCGCGGAGTTTGGCTACACACCCCCAATTAAACAGGCTCACCCGATCTCGCCCGGAAGTACCTGACCTTGAATAAACCCCCATGCCCACCCCCCCCCATTAGAAGGGTCTACTGGTACTGTACTACTACTGTACTACTACTGTACTACTACTGTACTACTACTGTACTACTACTGTACTACTACTGTACTACTACTGTACTACTACTGTACTACTACTGTACTACAACTGTACTACTACTGTACTACTACTGTACTACTACTGTACTACTACTGTACTACTACTGTACTACTACTGTACTACTACTGTACTACTACTGTACTAGTAACTAGTAGTATACTAATTAATAAATCAACAAGTATTAGCTTTCCCTCGAACAGGTTTCCCCCAAGTCCCCAAACAAGGTCTTGTATTGCTTTAAACGTTCAACCCCCAAATAGCGCGGAGTTTGGCTACACACCCCCAATTAGACAGGCTCACCCGATCTCGCCCGGAAAAACCTGACCTTGAATAAACCCCCATGCCCACCCCCCCCATTAGAAGGGTCTACTGGTACTGTACTACTACTGCTGCACTACTACTGTACTACTACTGTACTACTACTGTACTACTACTGTACTACTACTGTACTACTACTGTACTACTACTGTACTACTACTGTACTACTACTGTACTACTACTACTACTGTACTACTACTGTACTACTACACTACTATACTGGTCCCCAAACAAGGTTCTCCGGGACCTTGAACAAGGTTTCCCCCAAAACCCCCAACAAGGTTCTTCCACTTAATCGTTTCGGGGGTTTTGGGGGCGAGGTGTCCGACCTTGTGACCTTGATAGCGGGGGGGGGGGGGCCCCCCCCCTTTCTTAATCAGGTTCCCACATTAAACCCTAAACCCTATAGCTCCCTTAAAGGATCCCTTAAAGGAACCCTAGGTCCCTAGGTATTGCCTAATTAAGGGGTATTGGAGTCTCCGCCTTGCCATCCCAGGCGCAGTGGGAGGACGTAGACTTCACCGGTCGCAGGATCCTTGTAGAAGCACCTCAGACGCACGCAGCTCGGGGTCTTGAGGGTTTAGGGGTCTCAGGGTTGAGGGTTTAGGGGTCTAAGGGTTTGGGGTTGAGGGTTTAGGGTTGAGGGTTTAGGGGTAAGGGTTTCGGGTTGAGGGTTGAGGGTTCAGGGGTCTAAGGGTTTAGGATTGAGGGTTTAGGGGTCTAGGGGTTTAGGTTTGGGGATTGATTTAGGGGTCTAAGGTTTAGGGCTTTGGGGGGGTTGAGGGTTAGCGAATCATGGCTAGCCACGATGGTTTCCGGCTTAGTTGGGCTCATGAGGCCCGGCTCTTTCTGTCCTCAACCCGAAACCTGGAATCCTTCTTACACAACCCGAATAGAAGGGCCTTAATGATTAGAAGACGGTGTTGGTGTATATTTTACTAATACTTAAAAGGAGGAACCCCCCAAAATAGTGCCAAAAAGGTGTAGGTTCGTATTTAGGCCCATGCTGAACCATTAACCTGACAACCCGAAAACCCCTAAACCATGTAGCCCCAAACCGGCTACAACCCTAAACGCCGAAAGCCCTGACCGAACAGCCAACAGCCCTGAACCATAAAATCCAAACTCTACAACCCCAAAACGAACATCCGAAAACCCCTGGCCCCACCACTGAGGCCCGAACATATCCCCTAGCAATACGTCTTACAGACTGCATAGACAACCTTACAGAACCCCTGGTACATCCATTAAGCCCGATGCAACCCTGATCAACCCCTGTACAACCCAATACATAAAGCCTGTAACATCCCATGGAAAACCCTCCATAACCCTTGAGATCCTATAAAGCCCCCATAGGCAAACCTAAACCCTAAACAGAAACCCTCAACCCTAAACCTTAAATTAAACCCTAAACCGAAACCCTATTCCCCAAACCCTAAACCCTATTCCCTAAACCCTGTTCCCTAAACCCTAAACCCTAAACCCTCCAACCCCCCGACCGGAGGCCCACACTCAGGACTTCGGCCATCGGGGGCGGTGCAGCCGGTCCGGTAGCCCGCCTCCCCCAGGTTTTAGGTGGGTGTTACGGTTTTGGGCTTTGGGTTTAGGGTTTAGGGTTTAAGGTTCAGGGGTTTAAGGTTTAAGGTTTAAGGGTTCAGGGTTTAGGGTTTAAGGCTTAACGGTTCAGGGTTTAGGGCTTTGGGTTTGGGGTGTTGGTCTTTGGGATTTGGGTTCTGGGTTTAGGCGTTAGGCTATAGGGTTTCGCAAAGGCTTTTGCCAGGTTTCAATAGTTGTGGACGTTTATCGGTTTTTGGAGGGTAAGGTATGGGTATGGGTGTTGGGTTTCGGGTTTCCATTCCTATAGTCTATAGGGAGTTGTATCTCCGTGGCCTCTATTGGAGGCTTCTTTATGCGTTTGTCAGAGCTCGTGTCCCAACCCTAATCAGTAGCAAGGTCCTTATGAGAAGAAAGTAGCCACACGAATCTCGGGGCCTGCATGTTTCTACTGTAGCTACAAAAGTGAGGAATCCCGAACCCTGCCGAACACTTGAACCCTGAACTCCAAAACCAGAAACATACATGGGAGTTTCCGAGAATTAGGGGTACCATATGTTGGCGTCCCTATAACATGGATCCTACTATTAAGGGTACCATATTAGGGTCCCCTATTTTCAAATCACTAAACCCAAAAATCTAAACCTCTGAACCGCAAAACCCCAAACCATTTGGGAACCCTTAAACCTGCAAAGGAACCCTCATGGCTTCATGGCAGCCCTTAAACAGGAACCCTTAAAGGAGTGCCTATAGATACCTTATGCCCTACACCCCAAGAGCCCTCAAAAACGTAACCCTAAACCGCCCTGACCCCTAAGAACCCTAAACCCTAACCCATAAACTCTAAGAACCCGCAAGATAGGTCGGCAAAAGGGGCTCGGCGCCTTTTCTGCGAGCCGATCCAAAGTCGCTGCCCGAGGGGACGTGATGGACTTTCCGTCGGGGAAGACCACCTGTCACAAGCTTTGGGGTTCGGGGCTGGGGATTTTAAGTAATACGCTGCTGTAGTAGATTATGTCATGTTATAATACTTCGGGGCTAGGGAATTTCAGTACTATGCTGCTGTATTATGATTATGCTATTAAACAGGACAGTACGGCTCGATTTAATGTGGGTTTGCGACACCTTACCCCGGTCGGGAGTTGAGGGTGTGTGGATTTGGTATCTCCAAGGGTAAAAGGAAGGACCCTTAATAAGGACCCCTCGGTATATACCCTTCATATAGCTATTATATACCCATGATATAGCCCATTATAGGGTAGGGGTTTGTATCAAGGGTCCCTCCTTTTCCCCTTGGAGTATCGGGGTTGAAGTCCCGAGTGAAGCTAAGCCTCTCTCTGCCTAGCTGTGCGTCTCTCTGGCGATCTCACAGCGGCAACAACTGATACTTCTCTGCATGGGTTGTTGTCAAAATTAGGGTACCTTTTTGGGTACCTTGATCATCAGGTGCCGTATTATAAGAGGGACCTAAAAGGGGACCAGAACTTTGACGACCACCCACATGACATGGAGAGAAGAGTCCAAGCAAGAACCTGCCAAAGCAACGAGAGTGGCACCACTGCTGAGGGGCAGACTCCTGTATCATCCAAACAGCGTAGGCGGAATTGTCATAGTCATATCTTAAGGTATTTGAACAGGATTGAGCCCTCCACAGCCGAAATAAGGATTCCAACAATGCCTTAAAATGAAAATGTTCTTGATGATAGCTTAACACGAAGGCTCGCAACTAGTACCAGCCAGGGGAATCAGAAGCAGAAGCAGCAGCAACAATACCAACTCCACCACCACCACCACCTAAACAATAAACCCTAAACCGGTTGTTTTTCTTCTAGTGCCACCGGCCTTGATGTACCCTTTGCGCGGGCGGGACAGAGTCAACCGCACTTCGTCCCCGGAGTTCATCACGAGCTCGGTCGCCTTCTCCTGGGAGATCGCAAAAGAGCCAAGGTTGAAGGGTTAGGGGTTAGGGTTTAGGGTTTAGGGCTGGACCTGTAGGCCAAAAGGCCCAGGACTATCACAGGCTCCTTATTGATACGAAAGGAAACCATCACAAACTGTTGCATTCTCGCCTTGAAGCCGTCCAGAGGCTCCCCATTCACCGCCTCAAGCTCGTCGCCCTCCTCAAGAGGTGCACGGGATCATGTGTAGGGCTTGGGGTCCTGGGTTTAGAGTGTTAGCGAGGTCCAACAACATCAATGACAGCAGCAGCAGGAGGAGTAGCAGCAGTAGCGGCATAGTAGCAGTAGCAGTAGCAGTAGTAGCAGTAGTAGTAGCAGTAGTAGCAGTAGTAGCAGTAGTAGCAGTAGTAGCAGTAGTAGCAGTAGTAGCAGTAGTAGTAGCAGTAGCAGTAGCAGTAGCAGTAGCAGCAGCAGCAGCAGGAGCAGTAGCAGGAGCAGTAGCAGTAGCAGTAGCAGTAGCAGTAGCAGTAGCAGTAGCAGTAGCAGTAGCAGCAGTAGCAGTAGCAGTAGCAGTAGCAGTAGCAGTAGCAGTAGCAGTAGCAGTAGCAGTAGCAGTAGCAGTAGTAGCAGTAGCAGTAGCAGTAGCAGTAGCAGTAGCAGTAGCAGTAGCAGTAGTAGTAGTAGTAGTAGTAGTAGTAGTAGTAGTAGTAGTAGTAGTAGTAGTAGTAGTAGTGAATTAGCCTGTCTCGTGTCTGCCATGGACTTGAAATCACAAGAAGACCCCGAAATACAAACCATTAATAGTGCAATGCTTTGTGTCGGAGACTCCAATGTGACTTAGACGTTAAGAGCTCAGGTGAATCCATGCAGATGCCACCAAGGACATCCTTCTCCATGCAAGTGCTTGGGCTTCAGGGTGGTTATGGCTCTGTTGAACCATCGGCAGTAACAGGATAGCCAAAAGAAGACTTGCTGTGAAGTTGACACGAGCAAAGAAGCTGACAACGCAACTTCTGGGCTACTTATTCGTGGGGGCAACATGCAAAGCGCCCGATTCGTCGAACCACCCCGCAGCAAGTCTACAGCTCGGTGTAGGCTTATTGATTCTAGCTTCTTTCGACATGATCCATTTCTCCCCTTCTGCCAAGACTGTTAGGATCCCATGGACAAGCCTGGCTTCTCCATCAACATCCTGCCTGTAGTGTTAGTAGGTTTGACAAGCAATCCTCTCTCCTTGCAGCCGCATGCCCCCCCCCCCCGCCCGGCTTGCGACCTCAACGTTGTTCTCCCGATGTGTTGGTGCTGCTATGGTTTCGTGTATGTCTTGCACGTTCCGAGAAAGCTCTCACATTTCGAGCTTCCAACACACAAACTTCGAACACTAAGCCCCAAAAACAGTAAGCCTAAACACCTCAAATGGTAGTTTCCGAAAGCAGGGGTACCTGGTACCTTATTTTGGCGCCCTTATAATAAGGAGCCTACTATTTAGGGCACTATATTAGGGTCCCCCATATTTGGAAACCCCCAAATAAGAATGACGTGTCTCCTGGATCCACATGGAGTCTTTCCCCTCAAAGAGCACGTCCTGGAGGAGCTGATGCCTCAAGCCAAAGTAGAGGCTTAGGAAGATCCACTCAGAAGCTTGCGTGAGTCTGCAGGACCGCAAGCTGCACGAGCACTCTGAACTGGATCAGGGTACGCGCTGCCAGTCTCCAGGACGTCTGCAACGCCAACTCCGAATCCTGCCAACGCGATTGCCGGTAGGGCGCTGTTGCAGTTCAGGTTCAGGGCATTGAGCCACGAAACAGTGCGATGACACGGCTCTTTCTCCTGGCCCTTGGGGTCCATCTTCCAAGACAATGCCCATGGGCTTCTTCAGCACTACCTCAGTTTGACATGCTCGGGCCTTTCGGAACGTTGTACGAGTTGCCCGTGCCTCGTAGGCAATCTTCAAGCTGCCGATCATCTCAGCATTCGAAGGCAACTCACGAATGGTTCCCTGGGCCAGGTACGCACTCTAGGCACTCCATGTTCAAGGCTTGATGCTGGCCAGCCTTCCCCATTCGGGGTCGAAGAAATCTCTGCATTCGTTCTACTGGGCTTCTCTCCTGCCAGAGCACACAGATTCAAGCACGCGAAACCCGCTTAGGGCAACCTTTAGACAACCCTTATTAAGGTTAAGTAACCCCAACCCCAAAACCTGAAGCCCAAAAACCCTGAAAGCGCAGCGCTTTTTGAGCTGCACCACCCGCAAAAAGGCTCCTTGGCAGCATGCCTCACCACTGAGGGTGCCGGATCCTGGCGTTGGTACGCCTGCAATCGGCTGCTGATTTGGGTTTTTGGGGCTTCGGTTTTCGGGATTTGGAATCTTGCTCTCCGCTGTCTCGCTCTTGCCCTCCGCTCTCTCGCTCTCTCCGTGGTTCTCTTTCTCTTTCTCTCTCTCTCTCTCTCTCTCTTTCTCTGTCTCTCTGTTTCTCTCTATGTCTGTCTCTCTCTCTCTCTCTCTCTCGCTCTCACTGTCTCTTCAAAAGCGGCCCACACCAGATTCCTGCGGCCGAGCCTTCGCGATCCTTGGGAAAACGAAGGCGGAAGTGCCGTAGCCCAGGGCAAGCGCAGCCAGAAGGAAGGCAGATCTCCTCCCCCAGAGACTCCAATATCCCTTAATTAAGGAATATACCTAGGGCTAGGGTTCCTTTAAGGGATCTATAAGGGATCTATAGGGTTTAAGGGAATCTAATATCCCCTGAATTATGGAATACACCTTAAATCATATAAGGGATCCTACTATAATTTAAGGTATACTCCTTAATTAAGGGATATTGGAGTCTCTGGGCTCCCAACATCGACCATACTGCGACTTAGGGATTAAGCATTTGGGGTGTAGGATTTAAGGTTTAGGGTTTAGGATTTAGGGTTTCGGATTTGGGGTTTAGCATTTAGGGTTTCGGATTTAGGGTTTCGGATTTAGGGTTTCGGATTTAGGGTTTCGGGTTTAGGGCTTGGGATTTAGGGTTTAGGGTGTAGGATTTAGGGTTGAGGGTTTAAGGTCTAGGGTCTCTAAGGTGTGGGAATGCAGGGTTGGCTTGTTTCTTTGTTTGAGAGATCCTTCCCTTACGGCTGTTCCGTTCAAAGTTCAGGGTTTCGGGTTCGAGGAATTTCGGCACCTGAACTCAGCGAGAGTGGACTGATACCTCGTACAAAAAACCCTAAACCCTAAACCCGGAATCAAGACCTCGGTCCTGCCCGTCCGCTGATGAAGCTCCGGTCTGAACGCCATGTCCAGAGTCTCTCTCTTTCGCCACGTGTTTGTGTGTAAGCTAACCCTGCAGCATGCGAGTCCTCCCGGCTAACATGCGCTAACCGACTGCCTTCTCTTGCCAGCTGTTCCGAATCTATCCTTTCCCAGTGCCATGAACCGTGAGGAGGAACGTCCCACACTCTCAGATTAGCCCATGGCCTCAAGTGAAACCTAGCGTGCTGACTTTTCCAAGCCCAGAACATGCACACGCGGCACATGCGGCATGCAACTGGAGCACCAAAAGGGGTCTCGCAGACCCAGGCACCGTTCACTTCACCCACTGCAATGCAGACTAGGGGGGGAGAGCAAGCAGCTTCCAAGCAGAATTCCGACTTATATACATCGACGAAACTAGCCAGGAAAGCCAGCTAGGCCTAGGCAAGAATGAGATCCCATATAGAGATCCGGAGAACAGTGTCTTACCGACATGTGATCTGCGGGCACAACACAGCGATCTTCCATGCTCCCCGTTCAAGTCCACATATACTGATCCCCAATCCCTGCACCGAGCACATAGCAGTTCTTCAGGCGACGCGCCTCCATGGTATTCGCGGCACAGTGTGCTGGGAGCCACTCGCGCAACAACGGTGTAAAAGTGCATCGTTGACGCCTGTCGAACCTTTGACCTCCTCTGCATACTTGCCGATTAAGCCGAATTAAGCCTGCTTTTCCAGCGGCGAGACTTCAAAAAAAAGCTAGCACCTGCTGAGCTGCTCCAGTCTTGCGATTAACATGCAAGCTGGTGGAACATACAAAATGCAGAAACTGAATCTGCTCAGCAAGGTAAGTCCACTCAACTACTTGGTGACAGGTTGAGTTCCTGCCTGTCCGGATTCGTGCAACGACGTGACCACACACTGGCAAGCGACGAGCGTTGCAAAATTTGGCACAAACGAAGTGGCGGCGATGAACATGAGCGCCTGCGCTTCTTGAGATATCAATCGTTTCAAGACCTCCCCGGCTTGGGCCCGCTTCTCATCATCAGGGCCCTCGCTATTCAAGGCTTCTTGTATCTTCCGGCAGGCCTCCGCGAAGCGAAGGAATGGAAAAAGGTGGAGGCCACCGGTCGCAACAGAGAAAAGCCCAGAAGCTGTCCCAAAGACTGCTCTCTCTTTGAAGGTTTCAAAAATCCTCGGTAGTGCTTCCGGACGAAGCACCTGCCCTGTCTTTTGAAGGCCGTGCATCATTTCCGGCACAAGGACCAAAATCAAGCACTTCACTGCAGCACTAGACTCCATGCCTGTGACCTCGACATCGTCGGCGACCACTTTGCCCAGGATGTCATCGAAATGCATTCTACCCCGGGTCTCAATGCTGAAGAGGAAGTTGTTCTGGTGCCGTTCTCCCACACCTCGCTAACAAACCTACCAAGAAAGTAAAACGAAGACCAACAAGTGCAAAACCTTTACCACTGACCCGCCCGGAGCTTTAACGATCCGACTGCAACTGAGTTGACGACCATTAAGTATGTGATACTCATCGGAGCCATCCCAAGTGCGATCTATGCCGTCCTCTTGCTGCTGCCCATTGCCTGTGCCGACGGCGACTGACCGCTCATGATCGCGCAATGAAAGGCCGCACGAGAGGTGGCTCTCCGTGTGCTCTTGCACGACTTTGTGCTGAACAGGGCTGTCCTAAGTCTGAATTTCTCGCAGTCGCTCTTTCCACGTCTAACAAGGCACGGCGTTTAACACAAACAGAGAAGCTTGACAAAGGCCTAGCGGCTGTCACCTGCTTGTCGCATACAGTCCTCTCCCAGTCCTCATCTGTGCTCGTAGAGGAACTAGTGGTGATGCCCCAAGAGCTGTCTGAAGAGGAATGGCATTCACTTCGATGCACATGTCCATGCTTGTTCACATGTTGTTCTCCTTTGCACAAGCCGAAAAAGCAGGACGAATTGGTACGTGTCTCGCTTCCTTCAAATGTTTCATGCACAACATCCCCAGACCCTGAAAGCTCTTGCTTCTCGTCTCTGAATGAGCCCTGTGCAAGTTCGCCGTCACACAAGCCGAGATGAAGGCCCCAAGTTTGTGCGGAGAATTGCTCCGACTGGAGGATCTGCCCTCCATTGTTCAACGTCTCCACATGCTGGTCCAACTCCTCGAAGCTGCCCCAGGATGCTATGCCAACGCTGAAGGAGTCGGAAACTGATTCGTCATCATGTGTGATCGACCTGTCAAGGTGTTGGTGATAGCCGTGGCCTCTTACCTCCTTGTGCGTGGAGCCAAATGTCGCCGATGGCGTGGCGCGGTTGCAGACCTGCAGTTGCAGCTGAAAGCCCTCGGAACTTGAAGTGCAATGTTGTTCCTCATACCCGGAGTCGTCTGACTGTTTCGACTGTGACTCCGTCTCACTACGGCCCAGCCTGACTTCCGCCTGCACGTTTTGCAGGGGGTCACCAGGAACACCGGCTCCGAGTTGAATGCCCGTGTCTGTCTGCCAGATGTCTCCTTCTGGCGTTCTGAGAAACTTTGAACTCTTACCCAAACCAACTGCGTAGCCATTCAGCAAAATCATGTCAATGTGCCCTTGCTCGGCATCCACCAGCACACAGGGAAGACTCAGATTCTTCATCGCGGCTGCAATCGCAAAATTCCCAGCAGAAGTTTGCACACCATGCTGCAGCGCCTCGCCTGTGCCTTTGCCATCTAACATGTCGAAACCAAAGTTCAGGCCGCCGGCAAGCCCTGCTCCAGAAATCATGTGAGCATCCTCACCAGGTCTGAAGGTAGGCGCACGACCCTCGCGAGTCTCCATTGTGACCAGCTCGCAGTTACCCAGGCCAAAACGGTTCGTCTTAACCGTTTCCGTCAGCGAGGTGAACTCCACCCCGAGAATTTTGATTCCGTCGAACTGTTGGGAAATCTCCGTAGTTTCGAAGAAGCTGGACGACTCTGTGGACAGGGTGTTCTTTCGGTACGAGCCTGTGTCTAAATCGATCACATCTTTGCCAAAGACATGAACTTTGGCCGTCACTCCACTGAGTGTCTCGTGAACATGAACGGTCTTCTCGGGCGCAACTTTCTGGTCCAAATCGACCACATCGTTGCCCAAGACATGAGCTTTGGCCGTCACTCCAGTGAGTGCTTCGTCAACATGAACGATCTTCCCGCGCGTGACCTCCTGATCCAAATCGACCACATCTTTGTCCAAGACATGAACTTTGGTCGTGCTTTCAGTGAATCTCTCGTGAATATGAGCAGTCTTCCAGTGTGAAACCTCCTGATCCAAATCGACTACATATGTGCCCAAGACATGATGTCTGGCCGTCCCTTCAGTGAGTCTCTCATGAACATGAGGGGTCTTCCTGTGCGTAACCTTCTGACTTCTCAGTTCTGTTTTGCCCAGGTTGCCCCTGAGTCCCACAACTCCGTGAAGGTTGTTGAAACGCAGGTCGAACTGAAAGCCATGCTCGGAAACATGCTTCTGTCCGTCGGAATACTTCCTCTCACCCAACGACATGCTCGCCAATCGCAAACTTGGAAAATTCTTGGTCACGGCTTCGAACGCGAACGACCTCGCTGCCGCTGCACCTGCCTTGGCTGTGCAGCCGGTCTTGACCACTGTGGTCACCAATGAATCCGCCGCAGCACTGATAGGGCTGGCCCCGGTTACGTTTTGGCACGCCTCCTTAGAGATGTCAAGACTCTAGACAAGAGACTAATCAAAAAGACAACAGCATACAACCAACTTTACCTACAGCAGGACAGCAATGATGTTGCAAGGCCAAGATCTCTTGCAAGGCCACCTCCAGCTTCTGCAATTGCAGGTTTTGGATCAACAGCTCTGTCTGCGATAACATCCCTGAGAACAGAACTTCCGGCCCGAGCTGCAACTCTTGCCGCGGATTCCACCGCAGCGTCAGTGTCCGAGCGACCCTCCAAGCACCTGGTCACTCTGTCACGCGATTGTACACAGTTGTTAGTAACCAGATCGTACTTCCCTCCTTTGGAGGCCGCCGTGTAGACTTCACCCAGCGACTTTCGTCCCGGTTCCAGGTCTATGTCCCTTTCTTTCTGCCAGTTCTGGTTGTCTTCGAGTATGCGAACATTTAAATCAGGTGCAGCTGAGTCTTCTGGCATTCGATCAATGATCGTTCGACTGCCATCTTCCAGCGTCACCCTCACACCTTTATGGGTAATTTGAGAAAAATAGCTTTTTAATCCATCTGTGGGAATCTCAACTTCTTCGGCCTGCACAACCTTCAGCTGGAAGTTCACATCTTCACTCCCCAATTCTCTGCCCATGTCCTGCGGTTTGGCCTTTCTTCTGGCGAACTTCCGACCGGCCGCAAGAAGGGTAACCGCTCCTGTCAGCAAAGATGCCCAGGGGCCTCTGGCCGAAGTACCCGGCTCAGGGGTCACGATGCTACTCGCCGGCAAGGCAACCCCCAGCGGGAAGAAGGCGTGGCCATGCAGAGCCCGGCTCGTCAGCGCACTCAAACTTGGATCTCCAACCGAGCGCTGCATGTCCGCAGCAACTGGTCCTGCGGCATGTGCTCATGAAGCCTTGCCAACACTCCTTCAAGCCAGAATGCGATGCACGACAAGCGCAATGTGAGTCGTTTCGCTTCGGATGTCTGCCTTACCAGCTAGGAACAATAGACGAATGAAAAGGAGCTGACCACCAAATCACGCGAGCACTGCCGAATTTGAACTCTTGTTAATCCCACCTGCTTGGAAATAAGCAACCGAGCACTCTCTGACACTCGGTCACACTAAAGCGTTCTTGAGATGAGGCAAAGAAACGGATGTCAATTGCTCCATGTCACGGCCATGCTTGCTCTAGCAGGCCAAGCGAACGGTACTTTACAGTGTTGTAGGAGGCTTGGCTGTCTGGAAACGCCACATTCCTTGAGGTTTCATCGTTCGTGGTCGGTGGTCATTCGTTTGTTTCGCCCCATTTCACAGCACCATGAGAACCCTTGCGCCGATTGAGAATGAAGCTGAGAAACACATACGGCATTGAAACTCATAACTAGGTTCATCAGCGATCATAACATCATTCATGGTCATGCCCATAGTCTATGTATTGTGCTGATCTATGCGTTTCTCATGACCAACTTCGACCCAAGCCGACCGGGCGCATAAAGCTTCGTGGATATTCTTCATAATTAGTCAGGCTGGATTGGGCTCGAGTTGCTGGCCACCACTGATCATCAGAATCATATCGCCAGCAGCAGCAATTGCGGCAGCAGCAGCAGGAGCAGCAGGAGAAACAACATTATTATGATATTGATCGCCGACATCATCGCATCGTCATCATCGTCGCCATCGTCAGGATCGTCCTCTCCTCTCTGAACCTTCCTGATGATGATCATCATCATCATCATCACCGTCATCGCCGTTCCAATAATAACGCGACAGTTACCCAGAAAAAGGTCGGGATGCTGATGATTCTGGTACCAGCTTGATTGTATCGTCCCCGTGACATATTCATCTTGTGAATCGAAGGTTGCCAGGTCAACGGCACCGCAGGCTGAGGCAGCGATCATCCAGCCAGGAGTTCTGCTACATGTCTGCAGTCCGAAATCCGAATGTTGCAGTGATCCTTTTGCACCCTTGCACATGCGGGCAGGCCGTCAGGCAGGCAGGCAGGCGGACCAAGTCCTTTTCCGCATCCTGGAGCAAGCAACCAGAAGGTGAGTAAAGCTAACCGAATGCAGGGCCACTTGCTTGATGGCCCACTCAAACGGATAGTTCCCTAGATTGGGGTCCTTTTTTGAAGCCCGGATGGCAAGAGTGCCATGGGCCATCCTCTTCTGGACATCCCTTGAAACCTTAAACCCGACACCTTTATAGACCTAACGTCAAAGGGCCCCAAAACGTAGAAAACGAGCCGAGGGCCTCAGAATTCGAGGCAAAGAGGCCTTTCCGAGCCTTAAGGGTTAAATAGCACAATATCCGGTATAGGATTGAGGGTCCATGGTGTAGGATATTGGGTTGAGTACGTAGTCTTCATGGCAGGGTTTAAGATATCGCGAACAGAGCATTGTTCAGGGTTTGGGGTGCCAGCGCTCAGGATTGAGGTTTCAGCGGTTAGGATTTAGGGTTCAGGGTTTAAGTCCTGGAATACAAGGACAGGGGTTTGGATTGTTGGGTTCAGTATTTTCAGTTCGGGCTCGGGTTTGGCATTGAAGTTTAAAGGACGTTAGGGCTTAGGGGTTTGGGAGTTGCAAAGTCTCGGAAAAACTCCTGGCATCGACCAGAAGCTCCTGTAGAGAGCCAGCGCAGTGACTCTTGAGATTTTGAGAGTCACCGCGCCAGGCCGGGAAAATCCGTGCAAAGGAAGGTCTCCCTGGGTGTGGGGTTTAGGGTTCAGGCTCGGGGTTTAAGGCTTTAGGCTTTCGGCTTTGGGCTCGAGGCCTCAAATTTAATTTGTATAGTTGTATGTGTATATATATATATATATATATATATGTATATATATATATATATATATATGCGTGTACTTACATATATATATATATATATCTTGGTTATATATATATATATACACACATGTGTATAAAGTCGATAAGGCCGATAAGGGTTGTATGAGGGCCTTTAAAGAGGGTTCCTGGTTAGGGGTCTCTATGCGGGCCGCTGCTGGGCTCTCCGGGCAAATCCTGATCCCATCGCGTCATCTCAGGTGAGCCTCTCGATCGTTTAGGGTTGACGGTTTAGGGCTGAGGGTGCCCTCAGATGATGTACTTGGATATTCATGGGTAGTTAGTTATAAGTGGGTCTAGAAGCAAGGCAACTGTAACTATAACCCATTTTGGGGGACTTATAACTCCATTTCTAACTACCCACGAACCTCCAAGTAGCATGGGGGGGGCTGAATATTTAGAGCAGGGTTTTGGGGTACATATTATATTCTTTTATAGCTCTAAAAACAAGTTTAGAGGAGGGTTGTTGGGTACTACTGTATATTCTAGTGTAGCTATATACACATTTATATACATGGGTGGTTGTCAAAATTAAGGTCACTTTTTGTGTACCCTGAATATTAGGTGCCGTATAAAAATAAGGACCGAAAAAGGGACCCTAATTTTGACAACCACCCTGTAGCTATATAGATCCCTAAACCATAAACCCTAAACCCTAAACCGAACTCTATATACATGGGACACCGGGAGCCACCAAAATTTGAGCGGTCTTTTCGTCGTGCGCACTGCGCCGTTCTGTACCAGTGCATAGGGTCTGCTCCAAACTACTGTTGATGATATAAATCCTGCATTACCCATAATAGGGAATATACCATAATTCCCATAGTTTAGGGCCCTTAAGGTCATGCAGGATTTTTGTCATCAACCGTAAGGTCCGTCGAAGAGCTTAGGGTTCCTGGATTTTTTAATAGGGGCTTTAGGGTTTTCGGTTTGGGTTTTTGGGTTTTTAGGGTTGAGTTATTAGGGGTTATGGGGGGGTAGGGTTTAGGGATACCGAAATTTAGTGCGTTCTGTGCCACTATGCGACGGGCCGCAGTTGAGAACAGCCCTCGAAAACCCCCGTTTAAAGGAGAGCACTTCGTGCCTCTCCCGATCATCTCCGGTCCCTTTGGGGCTCGGGAAGTTGATAAAACCTGGGCAGGGGTCTTGCTAAAAGGCCTGCCCCGACTGACATGGAGGGCTGTTCCAGCTTCTGCTTTAATTTGAGAGGCTCTCTTCGAAGAGACCAGATCATGAAGACAGTTGCCATTTAGCGCTTAGGGTTCAGATTCTCTGGAACAGCCCGCAGTCCCTCACTCTGGTCCGACATCCGAACGCCTCTGCGAACGGCGTCGCCAGAAGCAAAATCCCAGCACGGTGATCACAATGCAAACCGCCGCACTCACAGCAACGGCGATGATCACGATGTTGCCGGTGTCCAGTGCTCGGCCTGAGCAACTGCAGGTGGAGCCCGTAGGGCTGATGGTCTCAAAGGCCATGGAACCTCGATCCTCGTGGTCAAGGCGGTGGCAGTGCAGCATCATCTCACCCGCGATGAAGGTCGTTTTGTATCGGACCGTAACCGGCTCCCGCGTCAGACCGTCGGACATGAAGGTGTCGTGCCAGTCCCCCAGATGGAAGAAGTCGGAGCTTCGGAAGCCGTCCACGAGCTGGAAGGGATAGAAATGCTGGTGGTAGGGATGCCCACCAGTCTCGATCTTCCGCTCAACAACAGCACCGAGGAAGGTCTCGTGGAGCACCGTGTCCTCCGAGAAGGGCACGCCGTTAATGGAGGCTTCTTCGACCTCCGTTTCGCAGCTGCAGCCCTCACTTGCCTGAGTTGTCCTTGAAGCCCTTTGAAAATTATGTACTATTATGGTTCTCTACAAAATAGTGGGGGAAATTATGAAAAGATCCCAAAGGACAACCCAGATGCTGGAGTGGCCTGAAGGTCCTGCATGTAATCCGGCAGCACTGGCGACCAGGAAGACAGCTCGGAGCTGCTCGCAAGAACCGCAGACGTGTCCACAAAGCCGATCAGCGTTTCACCACTGGTCACCCTGTACCTGGAAGAAGGCGACGGGCATTTCACCATGATATCCGCTCGTCCGCCAGCAGGAATGGGTGCCAGCTGAATCGAGCGCGGGAAATCGCTGATGTACATGCCGTCCTGGCGCCAACTTCAACGAGAAAAGATGAGGGGTTGGCTACCGCACGTAGGGGCTCCGGGAGGTGTCTTCAAGCTTTCGGTGCTCTTCAGGACAGGTTCAAGAGCCTAGGATTAGCCCTGGATGTGGGGACAGGGATAGATTTCCGAAGGTACGAGAGGCATCATCATCGCCATTCCCTGCTGTGATGCCTTGCGAAGGCCCAAACCAGCAAACAAGACGGCTCAATCACCACCACATGTCGAGCACACAAGACATGCAGGGACCCCTTCATATCGTCCTTTGCCAACAACTGCATGGTGCAGCCATCCACGGCAAGGTTCAGCGCACTTCTGCCGACATTTCTCCAGCCGGCGAAGATGACCCGCCACCTCTGCCACTGGCCTGGTGTCGCTGCGATCGCAGGCATATGCTCGCCATTGATAACAAGGAGATCAGGGGGGTTGCCTGCTGGAGCGGACCAAACAAGACTGTCCCCCGACCGCTGGGCAATTCCTGGGCTCTTCTTCAGAAGCTCAGTTCAACTTACTGTTACACCGGATCACATCAAGGAAAGCACACTGGCACTTTGAATTTGATCCCTTGTAGCGTTCTCTTTCCGTTTATGTAGGCATTTCTCCTATCACTATCATCACTACTACAGTATGAGCATCATTCAAACTGTAGATATTGGCACGGCTGGCTAAACTCTGCTGAACTAAACCTCTTCAACTGTCATGGTCACTTTTGACAGGGTGAATTACTCTAAATCCCCTTACAATCCAGGACCATTGTCATCGTAGAAAACGACGCTGCCTGGCATTCCTTATTGAGGTTGTTGCTATGGCAAACTAAACTAGCCAAGCCAAGACAAAGAAACGACTAAACCAACTATGCTGACTAAACTAACTAAACGAACCAAACCAAATTCAACTACCAAAACCATACTCAACTAAACTACACCTCCCTAGTAAAAGCCCAGATTCGGCTTAGCTCCTGAAGCGCCAGGTCCTGCACGACAAGGAAGACTTCCTCGGCGTTCGCCACCTGACATCCCACGACACGGGCTTTTCGTGGCTTCTGGGACACGGGAGGGGGGGGTGTGCTGTCTTCTCAATACAGAAACCCTAGAAAAACTACATATACTATAAAGACCTGCCAAAGTAGCTACCAACAACAGACTCTAGTCCTAAATGTATCATCCTTTTCAGCGCCTCTAAAAACCTCAAGAGGCAACAAACACCGGGGTGTTCAAATTAGGGCGCTTTCCCACTTGACCTATTCCGGACCGCAAATGCTTTCTGCTACTTGCCCCATAGGCCCTGCTTGCAGTATGCCCGAGGTTACGTTGGGGTTGGGGGTGCGGATCGCCGGACATGTGGGGCGGTCGGGTGCTGGAAGCAGCTTCCCGAGCAGCAAGCGGCACAGTTCGCTTACCCACCTAAACCTGAAGCCTCAAACCTAAACCCTCATGGGCATAATGAGTTCTCTCGTCCCAGCGACCAAAAAGGGGAAGTGAGAGTGGGAGACGCGCGAAAAGCAGACCGCGCTGGTGCACGCAATGCAGCAAAAACAAACAACAGACATGCGTTGCTAGAGGCGGCTTAAGGGTTTTAGGGTGTTTTGGGGTTGAGGGTTTAGGGTTTAGGGTTTGAGGGTTTGGGGTTTAGGGTTTAGGGTGTCAAGGTTTTCGGGCATCAAGGAAAACCCAACCCCTAAACCCCTTAACCTTCAAGCTCCTAAACTTTATTCTTATTATTATTACTCTTAGTACTTGTATTGTTATTGGTATTGTGATTATCATATACAGAAACCATAGTAAGGAACCCTAAACAGGTGGTATTGTCGGCTACAGGTAAAGCTGCTAAACCTCAAGAAACCGGTACATCGCCTGGTGCGGCAGGCTGCCGGGCGGATCGTCCACAATCAGCGCCAATGCAGCTGCACCACCAACCTGGGTTCTTGTTTAAGGAGTTTAATTTGAATTACCAAGATAAAGAAACCCTATTGTTTTCTACAGGTTTTAGTTTGAGTTACCAAAACAAAGAAACCATGTTATTTACTACAGATCCCTATTATGGTAAGCTAAATAAAGTTCCTTAACACGAACCCAGCAACTTGCAAGGCGGAGGAACCGTGGCGATGCGGATGGATCCAGTTGGTACCGGGCATGTGATACTGCGGCAGAACCGTCTCGTTCTGAAACTCTCCACCGGGTCCTACAACCAGCTTGGTGTCATCTGAGGGTAGATCCCCGGGGACATGCAGGCCGTGAAAGTGCAAGTTGGACTCATCCACATACCCAAACTCATTGTGCTGCCTCCTTGCATTCGGCTGAGCCGGAAGCAGGTTCTTGAAGAGGATTCGTACTCGATCGCCCGCCTTTATGCGAAGAGTTGGTCCTGGGAGGGTTCCGTTCAAAGTGAAGATCCCCAGGGCCATCGAGTCGATCACCACCGAGGCAGCCTCTAGAGTTAGGACCACGTCCAGCAGCCCGCCCGAAGAGCTCACGCTGCTTGGCACCCTCATTGCGAAACAGATGCTACAAGGCAAGAGGGGGGAGAGTAGCTATGTGAGTTCTCTTCCGGCCACCTTGAGCCCAGACCTCATGAACATGTCATCGCATGTCCTAACTGACACAGACCCCTGATGAACAAACCACCTCTCAAGGGCCGTAAATGCTAAGATTCCCTTGATCATCCCTGGTTAAAGATTCATCAGAGGTCTGCAGCATTACTTCCAAAACCTCTGCACCAAAATATTTGACTCTGAGCAAACTCTCTCGTCTCCTCTCTGAGCTCAAAACCAACGGGAGGGCCTCGTGGTGGGCTCAATCACCCCAAACCCTGAACCCAACCCCTAAACCCTAAACCCAAGCACTGGGACCCCGGCGGCGACTTCACCGCGGCACGGAGCTTTTTGGCCTGGGTAAGGGTCGGGGGGAAGACCAGACGGACTGCATTCAAGGTGCTACGCATGCTTCGAGCCTTCAAACCTTGCAGGTCGAGGGCTTCAGGGTTTTGGGGTTGGGGATTGTAAGGTGTTGGGGTTCAGGGAACTGGGTAAGTTGGCACTGGGCTCCCAGGTGCTCCCAAGAGGTTTGGCCGCTCCAAGCCCGAAGTAGTGCTGTTCAACCGGCTCCCTGTCATGCTGTAAAACAATCAGAGCTACTATTTCAAGGGCAAGCTAGTAGCTATAATCTCCATTGTAGTTCGTTGTCTGGGTTACCTTCTAGGACCCTAACTATAATAATGGTTAAACCAAAACAGGAACTACAATGGAGAGTATAGGTGAATCATGCTATTAGGGTAACTATGTACTACGACAAAGATCACGGTACATTCCGAAAAAGAGGCTTGGCAGTAAGAGTAGGGGACAACCCCAGCTGCTGGATGCTCTGCAGCCACAAGGTCCCCGAGCAGTTGAAGACGGTCTCAGAACGGCAATGGTGCTTGCCACTGTCATGCTGTTCTGCTGACCCTAAGCCTACCTCAACTCTCTCTCGCCATGATTGGGCTTATAATTCAAGGCCTGGAGCGTACTTAAAGGATCGTGTACATGCCTCAATGAGGGTTATACTGAAGTATGTGTGCTACTTGCTAAGTCCACCGAAGCTTTGAGTAGGGCTTGGGATTCGAAGTATTGTTCCAGAGCCCCTTTACACCCTCGCTAGGCCCACTGCAGGTTACCCCCCAAAAAAAGCGATTTCCTGAAGATATTCCTGGGGCGGGCGCTTGATGACGGCGATGACCTGCCCACCTTCACTGAGGCCTCGGAGCTTGAAGCATCGATTCCTCTTGGGATTTCTATGATGCGGAGGAAGGGGTTTAGGGTCAAAGTGGGGCTTTGGGCCAAGGGACTACGGGACTAGGTTTAGGGGTTAGGGTTTTTAGCAGTTCAGCGTTGAAGTTTTGGGTGCTGTTGGTGGTGAACAAGCAAAGCATACTCCTACACTAAACTTAGAACCCAAGCAAAAATTACAATTTTAGCTGTTTCTTAGGGATTATAAGAACCAAAAATTAATTTAAAACACTATTTCTAAGTACCCCTAAGACTCCAGGTGGATTCGGCCGAAGGGCTGGTGGATATGGGAGGGCAATGCTCTCGACCAAGGGAGCTTCAGAAGACGAGGGAACCCAAGAAAGAATCCTAAAACGCACAACCCTTAGTAGCTATAGGGACAATATAGAATCCGAAGATGCGCAAGCCTTAGTAACACTAGGGACACTAAACGAGGTAGTTTAGCTTTCTGAAACTACCACATGGGAGTTTCCGAAAATAGGGGACACTAATATAGTACCCCAAATAGTAGGCTTTTTATTACAGGGACCCCAAAAGAAGGTACCCCTAAGTTTAAGGAAGAACTCCCACATGAAGAAGACTCGACTCTTGGTGTAGCCGGGGTACCCATCTGCTCGAGCGTCTCCGAGCCGTCGCTGAGGAATTTACCTTTCATGGCGAAGACCTCGCAGAGGTTTCGACCCCAGACCCCCTTTTGGAGGATCCAAAAAGTAGATCCCTTGATGGGGGCTCCTATAAAGTACCCTTTGTAGTATAGGGCCCCAAATTAGGGGATCTACTTTCTAGATCCTCCCGGGGGTCGGGGACTGGACTTCTGCAAACCCCAACTTCTCAGAACCCAGATTTAGACTTGGAGCTCCCAAACCCTAAACCCTAAACCCCTAAACCCCTAAACCCTAAACCCTAAACCCCTAAACCCTAAACTCTTCTCCGATTCCCTCTCTCCCGTTTTTTATGAGTGGAGCTACTATGGCCCTGGAGCCCGAAGGAGTTACCAAACCCCGCAACCCTGCCCTGACCCTCAACCCCAAAAACCCACCCAGAGACTCCAATATCCCTTGATTAAGGAAATAATTTACCTTCAGTTATAGTAGGATCCCTTATATGATTTAAGGTATATTCCTAAATTAAGGGATATTGGAGTCTCTGGGCAACGAAACCCAAGGTTTAGGGGTTAAGGCTCCTCCCCCATCGCTCTGGGCCACAGGCGCAGACAGAGTTCCCATCTGAGAAGCCCGACGGCGCCTTGGACAGGACCTGGCCAAACACAAAACGCAAAGACTGGGACTTAGGGTTTTGGGGGGGGGTTCTTCTGTAACAAGGATCCTGCTTACTATGTGGTGTTCCTTAGAGTTTGGGCTTAGTTGAGTAGGATCCTTGCGTCATGAGGCTCCTGCTGTCTGGGGTACGTTGGACTTTGGGATTCGGTGGTAGGGTTTGGGTTGTGGGGTTTAGGGTGTCGTGTGGGGGTTTAGACTTTGGCGTTTCGTTGGGGTGTAGGGTACCCGGTCTAGTGGCTCGGGTTCAGGGTTTGGATTTATCCTTCATTCTCCAAAGACTCGAGTACCCCTTAATTCAGGAATGCACCTTAAATTATAGTACGATCCCTATTATATTTTAAGGTATATTCCTTGATTAAGGGATATTGGAGTCTCTGTGTCGTCTGCCTGAAGTCAAACGGTATGTAAGCAGGAAGGTATGTACGCAGGCAGGAATGCTTGCACTCATATCTTCTGCAAGCAAGTCTGGGTGCAGATCGACCGACAGCTGGACAGACCCGCAGATGGCCAGCATCGCAGACATGAAGATAGGTGGGCCGGTGGGCCCTATAGGTCGATATACAGCTTTTGGCAGGTTCAGCGATTCATATCTTGCGACACTACCAGCCCTATGCTAACCCCTTGTAATATATTGAAAGCCTTCTTTTGAACGCGTTTCAGCCATCAGAATCTCACTCTGGCGGGACCTTCCACGGTGCCTCTTTGGGCACGTTGACAGTGTGGGTCTAGAATTGGGCTTAGGGTTTAGGGTGTGAGGTTTAGGGATTACCGGCTAACGGCTCAATCAAAGCTCAAGCTTCGTCGCTTAATTTGCGTGGTAACCCTGAACCCAAAGCACTTCAAGGTCCCTCTAGAACCCCTAAACCCTAAACCCTCAACCCTAAACCCTAGGCCTAAACCCTAAACCCTAAACCCCAGGCCCTAAACCCTAAACCCCCTTAAGAACCCTCCTAAAGGGCCCCCCCCCAAATCAGGGCACTCCCGAGCTCTCAGAGCCAGGTGAGCCAGGCGCGGCCGCGAGGCCGCGGGGCCTGGAGAGACAGGGCTCAAGGCTTTTGGGTTTAGGGTGGGATTAAAGCTTAAGTGTTTAGGGTTTCGGGCGGGATTGGGGTTTAGGGTTTCGGGTGGGATTGGGGTTTAGGGTTTCGGGTGGGATTGGGGTTTAGGGTTTCGGGTGGGATTAGGGTTTAGGGTTTCGGGTGGGATTGGGGTTTAGGGTTTAGGGCGGGATTAGGCTTTAGGGTTTAGGGTGGGATTTGGGTTTAGGGTTTAGGGTGGGATGCAAGCATGGGTAAGAAAACGGGTTGTAGAGTGAAGGGTTTCGGCAGCGGTGGTTTTGTATTGGTCTGGCCTTCGAGCTTTCGAGCTCAGCTTCCATAGCCCCAAACCCCCAAAGCCTCGACCCTTAACCGCACAGAGTCCGAACCCCGGAAGAAGCCCAAAACTATACCCCCCTCAGAACCATGATAAAAATCATAGGTTTAATAGTCTCTTGGGTTTTATATGAACAGAAATAATTCCTAGGGAGACTATAGAAAACCCTTCTATACCCCTGGCCAACTAAACCACCCCTTCGGCGCTTGAGCCAAGGAGCTGTTCCTGTCAAGGCTCCAGCCAACGCCTCCGCACGCTCGGCCGTGAGGCCGCGGAGGGGATCCGTCTTCACCTGAAGGCGTCCTTCTAGTAAGGATCCTACTATTTCGGGTAGTATATTAGGGTCCCATATTTTTGGAAAATCCCATATAGATGGGTGGTTGTCGAAGGGTTTAGCGTGTTTGGGGTGTTGAGTGTGGGCGTTGAAGGTCTACGTCGGGGATTAACGGTCTACAGGTTTAGGGTTGTAAGTTTCGATATTTTGGACTTGGGGTTTTGTGGCCCGTGAAACCCCAAACTCGAGATCCTAGAACCCTCCATATCGTTCACACCAGAGAGGCTTACCCCCTGAGCCTTCTCCGATTATCCGGCCCTTACATCAGCGGTTGTCAAAATTATGGTCCCGTTTTGGGGTATCCTAAATAAATAGATGCCGTATTATTGTAATGAACCCAAAAAGGGACCCTGAGCCCGACAACCACCCACAATATCCGATTATCACCCTAAACCCTAAACCCCTAAACCCTAAACCCACATCAGCCCCGTGCGATGAGCTCAGGCCGAAACGAAGTGGCCCCGCATCAAATCCGGGTCCTGCAGGTTGACTTGGAACTGGGCTAGGGTTTAGGGTTTAGGGTTTAGGGTTTAGGGTTTAGGGTTTAGGGTTTAGGGTTTAGGGTTTAGGGTTTAGGGTTTAGGGTTTAGGGTCTATGGGTTTAGACTTGGAACTGGGCAGAAAACTCCGGCTTCAGTGGCTTGGGGTTCAGAGTTTCACGGTTTAGGGTCAAGGCTAAATAGCTCCGGATCTTTAGGGGTTTCGCGTTGCCGCTGGATTATACAGGGCTTGCGGGAGAACGTAAACCTTTACAAAGACAAAAAGCCCAAGAACCTGCTGCAAACCCTGAACCCCAAACGCGGAAGCTCCAGGCCCCCCTAAACCCTGAACCCTAGTATCAAGGCCGCTAAATGGGAGTTTCCGAAAATAGGGGGCCCTAAGGTAGTACCCTAGTAGTATCCACATTATAAGGACCCCAAAGTAGGCCCCCAAACCCGAACACCCCTGAACCCTAAACCCTAAATCGCCCTAAAACCCACCAAACCCCCCACCCTCGGCCTGCTCCGCGATGTCCACATCATCCACTGCGGCCCAGCGGTGCTGGTCATCCAGGAGCTCCGCCTTGGTAGGGCTTCGGGGTTTTGAGGGGTGTAGGGCTTTTGGGCGCAGGGGGTTTGGGGTTTAGGGGTTTAGGGTTTAAGGCTTCGGGCTTAGGGTTGAGGGCTTGGGGCTTCGGGCTTAGGGTTGAGGGCTTAGGGTCCAGGGCTTTTTTGACATGATGTCTGAACCCTTACGGTGCACACTGCATGCAAAGTCACTCGCCAAACAAGGACCCTAGCCATTCAGCCACACAGTGGTAGCAGCAGGCGTCGGGGTTGGTCCGTGTGGACCAATCACAACTCTGCAAGATCTTCCTGAAACCCTCCAGGCTCCGAAGACAAGATCGACATGCAGAGGAATGTCAAAATTGCAGACCGCGACAAGAGCCTTGAGGTTTAGGGTCCAGGGCTTAGGGTTTGGGTCTTGGGTTTTGGGTTTAGGGTATAATGGTAGCAAGAGCGCGAAGAAGGGCTCTAAGAGGGTTGTCTAAATTGGGTCTATGGGGGTGTACAGGGCATTTACAGTTAGGCTAGGGCTTTGGTCCTTGGTGGTATACCATCTATAGCACAGGTACTACTACTAATTCCTCAGACCTCTGTATTAGAGGGTTTGTAAGCGCCAGGGGGTCGGTCAAAGACGTAGGCTTAGGGGTCAAAGGTGGAGGCTTTCAGCTGCACGGTGATGGAACCCAGCTTCCTACAGCCCAAGCTGCGCCTCCAAAAACAAGAAGAGTGCGTTCAAGCATCTTCCTACCCCCAAATCGCAACCCCAAAACCCTAAAGCCCTAAAAACCCGACACCCCACCCCCCTCAAGAAAAAAATACACCCAACCCGAAAACACAAAAAAAAACCTGAAACCCCTCAACCTTCTTGCGCTAGGCTGCATGGGAGTCCAGGAATGCCCGGATCTCCTGCAACACTGGGAAAGCATCCGAAAGGCTACCGGGGGCCTCGAGTTTTCGAGTTTTGGGTGTAGGCTTTGGGGCTTGGGGTTTAGGGGTTTAGGGTTTGGGGGCTTGGGGTTCAGGGCTAAGGGTTCAAAGCTTGAGATGTAGGGTTCAAGATTTTGGATATGTCACAGAAGTGGTATGATAGAGGGAGACTGTTCGCGACTTGTGAGGAGGAAGGCAAGATTGACACGACCAACCAAGTTACCCTAAACCCTAAACCCTGTCTCGGAAAAACCAGGTTGTGAGATTTCGGGTTGCTGTTGTCGTTGCTTGATATTCCGCGGGTTTTGGGTTTATGAGCTTAAGGGTTTAGGGGCTTAAAGTTTTTTGGGGGGTTTTGAGCTAAGGTATCTGGTTTAGGATCGAAGATCTTCGGGTAAAAGTCGAAAGAGTTCAGAGGGCGGCTTGGCAGTGCAAGGATGGGACAACACCTGAGTCACAGGGGCTGAGTACCCTAGCCCCAAACAAGGTTAACCTTTGATTTATGGTAAGCAAAAAATAAGCCCCAAAAGGTTAAAGGTTACCTACTCAGGTACGAAGGAGTCATATGAGTCATATTGGATGCTGTGGACAAAAAGCCAGGTTGTTTGGCAAGCACAGGCTGCAACTGGCCTGTGCGCGGCAGTATGGCCCACCACATAGGCTGGGTGTCTCGCCAACCTTTGGCTGCTTCAGATGAGGAGGGGGCAGCACTCGGGTCAAGCCCTTCTCAACAGGTTTGGTTAGGACTATCTCATTTCTGTATCCTAGACTTCCTGCACTTGGCATGCGCCGCAGCCTGAAGACACTTCTTGGAGGTTCATGGGTAGTTATAAGTAAGGTTATAAGTCGGGGAACTATACTTATAACCCATATTATTAACTACCCCTGAACCTCCAAGTTGAGCGCTTTTGTCCGAATCAGCCATCAGCCTGCCGCCGTACTCCAGCCTCGTCTCTCCACTTTCCTTCGCGCACCGCTCGCAAAGGCACGCGAAGCCACGCGTCCGCAGCAGGTGCTGCTGCCTCTCCGAAGCAGGAAGCTCGAGAAAGGCCTCGCGTTCGTAGTTTCGGGTGAGCAGCTCGCCCTTGCCGATGTCCCTGATGGCTCGCACCAGGACCTCCCCGGTGGAGAAGAGCACCCCGACGGCACAGTTGGGTGTGCATGAGTGCTGCAGGAAGGAATGTAACCTATACAGCCCCGAGGCGCCCCGAGGCACAGACATGCGCTGAGAGTTGCACTGCCATCGCGCGAGCACCCTGGCGATCTCCAAAGACGAAGTGTCAGCATCCGCCGCCAAGCGCGCCGCCTCTTCCCTGCACTGCCCTTCGAGGCCTCCCGTTGTGAGCTCTTCGAAGGTGCTTTGGAGCTTCTCGCTTTCGGAGTGCGCTTGAAGAGCTCGAAACGCGGCCAGCCGGGACTTTGACAGATCGCTGCGGTCGGCCACCAGGAAGGGCAGCTCCTGAAAGACCTCGCGGTTTCGCGGAAGGTCCACCGTGGCTTCCAAAGCTTTGCCCGCCAAGGACGTCTCAGTCAAACGGACTTCTCTGGGCACATCGAGACCTTCAAGCAAAGCTCCCGACAGCACGCAGTGGTCCACCTGGAAGCCTTGCTCTTCCGAGCCCTCTGCCAGCACCGTCCTGCCGTCCCGGAGCCGCAAACTCCAGAGCCGCTCCTGGCTCCCGAAGTCCAGAATTTCGCAAGGCTCCCCGCAGAGCTTCCCCCATCCGGGCCCCTTCAAGCGCCCGACGCTGCCACGGAAGGCGGCCCTTCCGTTCCCGTGGAGCAGCAGACAAAGACGCGCTCCGGAGCAGAGACAGAGCGCCGAAACCACCACCAGGGCCAGGGCAGGGCCCCCTAAGCTTCGAGTGACCATGAAACTCCTAAGCGAATATAGGGGCCTTAATAATCACCTATACTGGTTTGGGGGTTCCTTATGATAATTATGGTATAACGGGCCCCAAGACCCTATTCTAATTATTAAGGCCCCTAAAGTACGGAGCCCGGCTGCAGCTCTACACCGAGCTCAACTTCAAGGCCCTGTCTTTAAGTTTCGACACCGCCGAACTTGGCTTTAGGGTTTCGGGTTTAGGGGTTTAGGGTTTTGGGCTTTTTGCTCTGTCTGTTCAACCTGGGCAAAGTCATCCCCAAGATTCCGGAAACCTCATCCAATGCTGGGGCCCCGAACGATCCGGTCAGCCGGGATGCCAGACCTCTGCAAAACTAGACAGGGTTGCGGATTTATACCACGTATAAACACCTGTAACGGGCCTGAAACCTGCAAAATAGCAGGAGTCATTGGTGCCTCTGTTACCATAAACAAATACACACACGAGCAAACAGATGCCAAGACATCAACTCCAGACCCTCCGACTCCTTGGGTGGAGGATCAGGAGGCTTAGACGACGCAGGTAGGACGTAACGTAGGCTTCCTCATCAACGTAACCCCAGCTAGGCTACAGTTTATGCCCCATGCAGCCTACTCCCTGCTTCTTCTGATCCTGCCCTCAACCCTAGTGCCTAAACCCTTAACCCTGAACCCTACACATACCCTAAGCCTCAACTCTTAACCCGAAACCTAAACCCTCTTCCCCTGGCAGCTCTGGCAGCTAGCAGCCCCAAGCTTCAAGTCGAATGCTGGCCCAAGCCGCTTCTCCAAGGCTTCTGTCAGGCGCTGCCGATGCTGGGAGTACTTCCGCCACTGAGTGGAGAGCACCAGATCCTTGGAGGTTGCAACTAGAAATATAGAAACAAGAGCTGTAGTTTACAGTCAACGGTTCAAGGATTGCAGCTTAAGTTGTAGGTTTTGGTGCCCAGAGACTCCAATATCACTTAATTGAGGAATATACCTTGAATCATATTAGAGAGCCTTCCTATAACGTAAGGAATATTCCTGAATCAAGGGGTATTGGAGTCTCTGGGTGATTCACCAGGGAGCTTAATAATTAGAGTAGGGTGTCGGGGCCCATGATACCATAATTATAATAAGGAACCCCCACAATATTATAGGTAATTAGTTAAGCCCCCTATATTAACCAGAGAGACTGCGTAACTCCAACCAGCCTCCCGCTTGTCAAGCCGGGCTACCGCACCTGTGTGCGCCAGCGTCTGCTTCAGGTTCCGGAGAAGGCGTGGGTCCAGCTCGGGAGTGCCAGCAATGTACGCGTTGAGCACGCCATCAACGTCCTGCGATAACGGGGCTGCCAACATAGCTGACATACCTGCGAGACTTAAGAACTCCTTTAAACAGCGGTAGCGCCAAGGTCGTGCAACTGTCGAAGAAGCTAACTCAGAGCTGGCTGCGTCCCCGAAGATCTCCACTACATCTGCAGAACTTGTCCCGAAAACGCTTCATTCCAATCAAGCCCTCCATTTCACTTTCTGAACCTAAACACATAATTGCTGTCGCCCTCCTGAAAGAGCAAGGGGTGCCGACCGCCCGTCTGCGCAGGGAGTGGCAAGCTCTCTGCTTGCAGGCCTTGCACCTGCGTACTCTCATGGAAGATCGCTACCGTGCTATGGGGGCTCCAACAGCAGCAAAACATGAGCGATGCGACAATGTGACCAACAAGAAGAACGAGGAGGAAAGCAAATCAACACAAAAGTGGAATCAGGACAGCAGCAGCGTAACAATTCTCTTCACTGGCACGCTGGTAGTGGCTCTGCGTGGCCACTTTACGCATATCCTGCACGGAGCTTTGCATTGTTAATGTCCAAAAGCTTTACAAAGACGAGCTGACTAACACTCTTTGGGCGCTCTGTTTTGCCGCAGTATGTTCTATTCAAAAGCGTTTGTTCCCAACAGCTCTAAACCGATCTCCGCCGTTTTAAGTTGTTGGAGTTGCAAATAGAAGATGTACCAGATTATTGTTGTACATAGCTGACGACTGACAATACCTACACTGAACAAACGAAGTCAGCCACCTGCCACAGGCCAGTAACCTGGCAATCCCCTGATTGCCGCTTGCGCAGAGGTCGATACCATTCATGAATACGTGGTAAACGTGGTTGCTGGTTGGTGGGCCAGTTTACGACAACGACAACTACGACAATGAGGACACCACACGACCAACCACAAGACTTACAACCACCAACAACTTGGAAAGCAAGCGATCAAGAAATTGTCCACACAAGTGTCAGTCTGGCAAGGAGGAAACGGGCCAAAGTCTCAACTCATACCTCTAAGACTCAGAGACGCTGCACCGTTGCCGACACGAGTCGCACAATCAGACGCACGCTCAAAACCTCATCCCAAAAACAACTCTAAACCGACTCCTTATCAGCGCCTCGGCCACACCACGCATGGGCGCCAAGAGCAGCAATTTGCATTCGGAAGTTGAGCGGTGTAGTTTCTTTGAGTGTGTGGCATGTTGAACTAGCCGTCCTTCGAGGTCGCGCCACATTACGGCACTGTTTGCACATGCCTGCATGAAAATGCACTTGGCATTGAGCACGCGGCTACAGGTCGTCTTGGTGTCCTTCCGTGCATAATCGCAGATGCACGATCTCAGCCCTGCCATGACCCAGAAGCCCTGAAACCCCCCACCCCAAAAACGCTGAACCCTGAACCTATACCATGTTGAAGGCTCCTTAGCATAATTATAGCATAGAGGGCCCCAAACCCCTATCCTCACGATTAACGCCCCTCAAACTTGAGCCTCAAACTCTAAGTCCCCAGCCGGACCTCTCCGCCCTCCCAGGTTTGCCGCCTCTTCCCTGAAGCGAGCCGTGTTCCAGGAGCTGGCACAGGAAACTTCGAAGGCCACATCGCCCTTCACCTGGAAACTACGTTCGTGCTTCTAAGAGTTTTTAGGGAGTTTCTAATGGGTTTAGGGGTTTAAGGGTTTAGAGGGTTTTAATGGGTTTAAGTGTGAAGAATTCACGGGTTGAGGGGTTCAGGGGTTAAGGGGTTTACGGGTTTAGGGTTTGAGCATGAGACGTTGAAGGGCTCATAGGGCTTTGGGCTCCGGGCTGCCGGCTCGTAGGGTCTGGAGCTCATGAGTTTTAGGACCCGGGTTTAAGCCTTGGAGTATAGAGTTTAAAGTTCGACAGACGTGGCTCCTTCAGGCATGAAACCCTTTAGTACCAGCTCAGCAACCGCTTCTTGTCGCGACAGGAAACCGCCACACTTGCTGCTGAGTGCATGGACGTGTATACCTTCACGAGCACCTTCCGCTTAGCTTCCTCCAGGAATATCACCCTAACCCCTAAACCCCTCTAAGCCCTAAGCCCTAAACCCCTAAACCCTTAACCCTAAACCCCTAACCCCTGAACCCTAAACCCCTAAGCCCCTAAACCACTAAACCCTGAAAGCACTTTTTAGGCTTCTGCAGTTGGCCTTGAGCCAAAACGTCAGTAACATGCAAACTGTACAGGAACTAACTACCCTATAGCCCTCACTTCCAGTCACGCCTCCCGAGTGAGACGCTGGCACAGCTCTCACGAGTGGTGAGGCATGGGTTGTTAGCTTCACGTATTCAGGGCCAAAGGATGTCGTCCCGCTCTGTTGTTGTATCCCATTCCTTGCAGGAACTTCTGGATCAGCTTAGCGTCCAGAGGTTTGGTCATCAGGTCAGCCAGCATTTCTCCCGTAGGGACCTTCTTCAGCTTAACTCGGCCGGAATCGATCACCTCTTGAACCCATAAGAAGCAGGTGTGGATGTGTTTTACACGTCCCAAACCCCTTCGGCTTCCAATGGATATGCCCGTGGTGGCGTCCATGTTGATGACCACAGGGCAGTTGATGCCCCAATCAGCCAACATTGCTTGTTCACCCAAGCATGCGCTGGTGGTGGATATCAGGCCGTAGTATTCAGCTTCCCCACTGGATAGTGCTATGACTGCCTGCCCTTTCGCAGTGGCTTTGATGACGGACTTCCCTAGTTGCACGACGGTCCCGGTTGTGGACTTTCTTGTGCGAACGCATCCAGCATGATCTGTGTCACTCCATCCTTGGATGACACTGAATCCTTCTTGGTGAGGGATAAGCTGCACGAGGCGAGGTGCCCCTCTTAAGTATCTCCCTGCACGCTTGAGCAGGTTCCAGTGATATTGAGTGGGCTCCTTGAGTCCTTTAGCAAGTTCCCTCACAGTCCGAAGCATGTCGGGTCTGTCGCTTGACAGATACCCAATCCTCATTGCTATGGACCGGTAGAGTCCAGCATCTTCCCTGGAGAGTGGACTTTCATCTTCATCCCCTGTGCTCTTGACAAGCGGTGTGGTAACAGGGCTGGAGTTATTCAAACCCAGATGTTCCAACACCAGGTCAACATGGCGAGGATCAGCTTCCATCTCAATCCCCTCATTGGTCCACGTAACCAATCTGTTCAGCACAGAGATGCTGTGAGTAACTCCTGGCAGGCTCGAGCCGGGCCGTGCCAAGATTCCTCGCACCTCGATTGTCCACGCTTTCTGAAGTGACTCAATCAACCATTGAAGCTTGTTGTAGCCCCCGACGACTGTGAAGTCGTCTCCATGCACATTGCAACGTAAGCCATGCTCGGGGTGAAAGTAAAGACATGGGTTGGACACCCCTTGCTTGAACCCCAAGTCAGTCATTACCTTCTTGATGGCATGTTCCCAGTTGCTCGGTGCATCACGGGTTCCGTAGAGGCTTCTTTTGAGAAGGCCGACCTTGTCAGGTCCTTCCCCAGCTTCTGGTGGTAGCTCCACGAGGAGTCGCCTCCTAACTGGACTCCAGAAGTGAGCTTTCTTCACGTCAATGAACAGCACACAAACTTCACCATGCTCGTTCATCTGAAAGGCTTTCTTGTTTGGGCCGGGTACGCGTCCAGTTGTAGCCAACGTGAATAGAGCCCGCAATGAAGACAATGGCGGCATTGCCGCAAAGAACTCGGTCCAGCTCGGATCTTCGTTAACTCCTTTCTTTCTCTTCAGTTCTTGTGCTACCAGCCTTGAGGGCAGTTTCTTTCGAAGATCATCCCCCTTATTGATGTCAATCCATCTGGTGCCGATGACCCGTTCGCCAGGGGGTCTTGGAATCGGCTCCCAAACCTGCATGTCTTTGATAACTTGTATCTCTTCCATGCGGGCTTGCTTGACACCTTCGGCGGGAAGCTCTTTACCAGTGTTCTCGTCGTAGAACTTTTCTTCCCACAAGTCGTCCTCCAGGTCGCATGTAGGTTGGTCCTCGTTCTCGACACTGGCAATGAAACCTTCGCGCTCTTGCAGAATGAGCTCTTCGATCATGCCTTCGGCATCCTCAGGTGATTTCCGCTTCTGACCCTCGGACCTTTCGTCAGGAGGTGCCAGCTCGGCACGACCTTCGTCCCCCCCGCCTTCACTCTTTCTCTTCTGGCCCCCACTGGGCGCAGCTGAGGCAGCCGCACCACCAGGTGGCAGAGAGCTAGGTTCACTCGGAACCTCTGGCCTCAAAGGCGGTTGGCGAGCAATGGTCAAAGGTCTGGAAGGTTGGGTCGCTGGAGGTTCTATGGACGAAGACGCCTCCTGCCCTGTGCTAACCTTCCTCTTCTTTTCTTCCGCGGTATTCACCTTGTCGAAGAATTCACTCTCCCGTTGCTCTTCGCGTTCCAGTCGGGCTTTTCCGCTTTCTGAGTCCTTTAGGGCTTCCATGATCCTTGAGCGGCAGTGCTCAGTGTGGTTGATGCCCGTTCTCCTTCGACCCTCACGGATTGCTGAGCATGCCTCGCATCCAGCCGTATACCCAAACTTGTCTAGGTCAGATTGGCGGATGTAGGTACGCCTGAAGGGTGCTACCTCGGGCTTAACCAGTTCACGAGCAAGTGGAGGCAGTCCCTCCTCAACCTGAGCTCGAACGGTCAGTGGCTCGGGTAATCGAGCACCATCTCCAGTCTCGTCCGGTGAGGTCTTCCAGGGCAATCCACGAACTGCCTTGACCAAGTCGGAATCCCATTGTTGGCCCTCGGGTTTCCGCTTGATGCTCTGGACCACAAAGATCCCTTGGTTGGTCCCCACGATCTTCTCCGTGCTTTGCAGACGTAGGCCCAGATAAACTCCTGATTGCCATCGCGAATCCAGCTTTGAGCGCGTATTGCGGCGGAAGTCCACAGCTTCACCAAAGCATGGCAAAGCCACTTGCCACTTGCGCCCTTTTATCCGCTGAAAAGGCGTCAGCCCTTCATGGAGCTCTTGACTGAACAGGGTGTGCAGCACACCAGCATATTCAATCATCCAGGCAAACACGGATGAGGTGGGTTCAAGGGTAATGCCCTTCTCGGTCAAACTGGCCTTCAGGGTCCGCACTAAACCCTGCACTGTCTGAACGGACCTCTCAGCTTCCCCGTTGCTCTGTCCGTGGTGGTCCCCTTTAGGTGACTCCTCGGGAACAATTCCCCCACTGAAGCCATTGCGAACAGCGAGAGATAGAGCTTTGATAGAAGCTTCTTGGTCATTCTTCAGGACCAGTTTCTTGTACCCTAGGAATTCAAGGTCCTTCAAGATAGCTCGCTCAGGGTGCGTAGATCCAGTCGTTCCCTTGCACGGGAGGAGGTGCGAGAAGATAGCCTTCGAGTGGCGATCGCGAAGGACTATGGTGGGCAGTCCAGCACCATCGGTCCTCTCATTGAAGTAGAGGTAGTCCATGCTGATGACAGGCACCGTGGACTCCTGACCCGAAGCTTTGTGCTGGTAAGCTCGACCACGACCTGCAACGCAGGCTCTGCACCAACTCCTGTATGGAACATGGGAAACCTCATGAGCTGCTATCATCTCGGGCGTTGGTCGGTCTGGCCGGGCCAACGGCTGAGCAGACTGACCCTCATCGACCTGTGGCTGGGAGGACGCTGAAGCAGCTTCCTCCCTTGATGGATCAGCACTACCGGCTTCACCCACATAAAGGGATCCAGATCGATTCTTGCCCGAGTTAGACCTAGGCTTTTCCTCTGCTTTGCGTGTTGGGCTTCTTGGCTTTTCCTTTGCTTTGCGCGTTGGGCTTCTTGGTTCTTCCTTTGCCTTCTCCTTTGCTTTGCTTCTTTCCTCCTCGGCTTTGTCCTCTTCTCCTTCTGATCCTATGAAAAAGTGGTCGGGAGAACTAGCTACCGGAGGGGGCCTAGGAAGATGAAAAACGCTACCTTTTCCTACCGCGCCAAAATGGCTGTCAGGTGAAACTTTCGAATTCTTCTGTACATCTACAACACCTACTCCCTGAGCTACCGCAAGGTGGGTGAAAACGCTTTCTGGCTTCCGGCCTCCCTTTGGGCTTACCTGCACTCCTCCGGGCAGTGCCGCGGGAAACCCTTGAACGCAAACGTCGCCTTAGGCGACCCAAGGATCTTGAACACCAAAGTTTTCTCCTTGCTTCCCCTCACATGGATCACCGCTCTCGATCCTTTCAGGATGATCGTGTGCCCAAGCTTCAGCACTTGGGTTGCGCTGAGAAGCGCACGCTGCACCGAGGCCACGCAAAACCGGACCTTAAAGGAAAACCCTTCGGTCGACCTCAAAGACACCACGTCCTTACCGAGGTTTCAGCTTCCATCTGCGGTGCGGAAGCCTGCCGGTCCTTCGGCGGGTCCCCATTCCAGGTGCTTCACCCACTCTTGTGGGATCACATTGTGGCTCGCCCCACTATCCAGGATCACTTGGATGGTGGTGGCCGAAGCGGCTCCACCAAACCCTGGCTCGAAGGAGTACGCCACGGCCTCCTTTGCTCCTTCCCCACCACCTGGTGGGCTCCTTGGCCCACGGCCCAGCGGACGGTGGCCGGGATCTGAGTCTGTGTCGGGGTCGTCGTACCCCCTTGGAGCATCTTCCTCGTCTTCGCTCAGGAGCTCTTTGGCCTTTTGCTTGGCCCGTGCTGCCCGCCGCTTCTTGTAAAAGCGGTCTGCAGGCTCGGTTGTCTTCACACGCCTGCTGTGGCACGAGTGGCAGTCGCTGTCATCATCCAGGTCCCGGTTGGCGATCGTTTCGCCCACCGTGCCCCTCGGGGCCAAGGCCCGGAGTTTTCTCCGGATTCCAACCCTTGCGCGGAACCGGGTTGCAGCTTGGTACTGCTTTGCAAGACCCCTGCGGCGGATCTGCTTCTCTGGCAGGGCTGGTCGGTAGCCCTTGAGGTAGTTCACAAACCTCGAGAACATCTGGCTGTACTTGTTCAGCTGGGGCCTGCCTCGGGTCTTGGGCTCGGCCCTCCAAGGTGCAGAGGCGATTGCCTCCTCCACCTTCCTTTTCTGGCTGAGGGTGAGCTCGGAGATGCCCTTTCTTCGCACCACAACCCCCGAGCCGTCGATGAAGGTGAAGACCATCTCCACCAGGTCCTCTTCTTCCTCTTCTTTCTTCTTCCTTCTCGACTCATGGCCCGGTGGCGGAGTACTCGGCTCCTTGGGTGTCGGTCGAACCTTAGGGGTCGGCCGCAGCTTAGGCGGTGGCCCCTTCGGCTCACTGGGCCGGTCGGTTCCTCGAACCCCTGCCGGTGGGGACCGAGGCGGTCCACCACCCGCTTCTTCCTTCATCTCCTGAGCCCTTCTTTTCTTCCTCTTCTGCTCTCGCAGCCTCTTGCCTTCGCGGCCCTCCGGAGTTAACCGTCGAGGCTTGGCACTCCAGTCCCTTTCCTTGGGCTCGTCGAGCTCATCCCCAGAGTGCTCGCGGTCCTCGCCTTCGCCCCTCATCATAGCCTTTTCTCGGCGAGAGGGTGGCGCAGCCACCTTGGACCCAGCACTGGGCAGCAACGGATATTCATCCTGCTTGCGTGCCCTCTCGGGTATGTTGAACCTCCTCTCCAAGGCTTCCTCTCTCCTGACCCGTGCCTTGGCTTGCCCTAGCCTGAGGCTCTGTCGGTGCTTGGCCGCCCTCTGGCGGCTCTTTTCTTTCCGCTTTGCCAGCCGCGGGTTGTGACCCGCATTCAGGTCGGCCTGAAGCCTAGCCGAGATCCTCGCTTCTCGGTTCCTTTTGAGCTCCTGGGCCCTCCTTATCTGACCCTTAACCATATCCAGCATCAGTCGATGCATGGTGAGCTCCCCTTGGTCACCTTCGCTGCCCTTGGCCTCCACCTCGGCGATCTGAGCTTCAAGCTCCCTTCGCCTCTCCTGAAGCTTGTTCAGCACACTCATATCGGCCATCCTTAGGCCCACTGGGGTTGAACTGGTGGTTCCCGCTTTGGCCTTTGCCTTGGGTGCCGGCTCCAGAGTTGTCGGCACCAGGTGAGGAACGAAGCGCTCCATCACCTCCGCTTCCATCTTCCCTGCCGTCAGCAGGGTCCCCATCGGGGTCAGCCTCGCCCTCGCCATCTAGAGCCCCTATGAAGCCCAACTCGGCTTCCTCATCAGGCTCTTCGGCTTCATATTCGGCATCGCCGGCCCCATCCATGGCGCCGCCCTCCGTGCCGTCAAGCTCGTTGGCTCGGCCCTTTGGCCGGTTCTTGTTACCCTTGCCCGCTTGAGCCTTAGGGTCCTTCGGGTTTCCTTTACCTTTACCCTGACTATCCTTATACCAACAGTCCCTAGCTAGGTGACCTACGCGTTGGCATATGTGACAAGTCCTTGTTTCTTTGGCCTTGTCCTTTCCCTTGTCTCCTTTCTTTCCTTTTCCTTTCGGTCCTTTGGCACCCTTCAAAGCATCCACCTCCATTGGCACAGCACCGTCCGTGGCCGTAAAGGCCCGCTTGGTATCCGCAAAGGACACCATCTCTCTCCTCAGCAACTCATAGCTGCTGAGCCTTCCCAGGTTTAGCTCCAGGTGGCCCTGAAGCTCAGACGGCGCAAGGCCGATCAAAGAAACCATCTTCTGCTGCTCCGTCAAAGGTGCGCAGTCCTTCCGCTGGCTATACCGCCGGTGGGCATCCTCCCATTTTTCAATGGCTGGCACCAGGTCGGTGACGGAGTCCACCGCCGCAGTGCTCATAAGTGACCTTAGCCACCTCATGCTGGTGACCATGTCCGATGGATCCAGGCGCCGGAACATGTCCAAACCTGACCCAGTCGAACTATTCATCGTGATGTCCCCAGGCGCATCGCTGGTAAGCGTCCCAAGCACCACCTCAAGCTGGCGATTAAATTCCAGCACCGCTTCCTTGGCAACGCCCGTAATCGAAGTCGACTCCAGGCTTGTCAAAGAAATCTCGGTATCACCTTTCTCCTTGACCCAAGCAAGGATCTTCCTAGCATCCGGAAATTGCGAGGCTAGCCAAAGCTCAAGACGATACGACCATTGGCGCCAGTTTCGCGACGCCTCTTCCAATGTACCGCCCAGCTGGCTCGGTCGCCCCACAGCTTTCACATCAATCAAGCCACGTCCCTTTGTGGCCGAGCTAGCCGAAGCAAAGCTCTGTGTTGCAGCTGCAAGCTGCTGTTGCCCATGAACCTGGGCTCCCATCATCTCTTGCAGCCTCTGAAGCTGCTCTTGCTGCCCTTGAAGCAGCCTCAACAACATTTCTTCACCCTGGGTAGCCCCCACTCCTGTGGGACTTCCAGGCTGAGACATCAGTCTCTCTTAAAATGCCTCGAAAGGCGATCAAGCAACCTTCTTGGAAAATCCTGGAGCCGTACTCCAGTGTTGTGGAAAAGACGCTGAAGCTTTCGCAGCTTCCCTACCTTTCGAGCACGGTGTCATGGTGTTTCTATGTTCCCCTAAAAGCCCCAAACCCTAAACCCCCAAACCCATGACCGCACAGGTATCGTTAGAGCGGCAGCTGATGCCAACGGTAGCGTGTCAGCTCCGAGGATTGCGCGTTCCGCACGTGCACCGTCATCATCTTCTCCTTGCCCGAAGTCGCTCCGATGGTAGGTTTACTTACCTTTGGTTAGTAGGGAATGGAAGAATGGTAGTAATAGTAGTTATGATTGTACCCCATTCCTCCATTCCCTACTAACCAAAGGTAAGCTTCAGGACTTACGGTTTAGTCCCTGCAGGGCCTTTAGGGCTTATAAGGCTTGTAGTGTTTAGGGTTCAGGGGCTCAGAATTGCAAGCAGGTCGAACTGGTCGTAACACCTCCTGGCGCTCGCCACAAACTTAGACTGCCAACACCCTAGTTACTCTAGTCCTCAAGACCCTGAGCCCTAAACCCCTAAACCTCACCCCTAAACCCCAGAACCACTAAACCCTAAACCCCAAACCCCTAAACCCCTAAAACCCGAAACCCCTAAACCCCCAAAGACGGGCAAAGCCCAAACCTGCGCCGCCGCAGGAGTGGGCGTAGCGGAAGCGCCTCGGCAAGCGCTGGGGGCTTTTAGGCTGCGACCCTAGGAGGGTTTCAGGGTTTAGGGTTCAGGGACACAGGGTTTCGGGGTTCCTTTTGGGGGTTAGGGTTTTAGGGATTCAGGGGCTTAGGAGTTTAGGGTTCAGGGATACAGGGTTTTGGGGTTCCAGTTTAGGGGAAGGGTTTTAGGGTTACGGATTTGGGGTTAGGGTTTTGTGGGGTTGGCTTAGGGGAAGGGGTTTGGGGCTCGGGGTTCGGGGTTTAGGGTTCAGGGGTTTCAGGTGCAGGGTTCAGGGCTCGGGGTTCGGGGTTTCGGGTTTAGGGTTCAGGGTTGAGGGATTAGGGCTTTTACGGTTTTGGGTTCAGACCTCATGGGTTCTATAAGGGATCTAGGTTTTTTGGGGGGCTCTAATCGGGGGGTTCCACAAGGCTGTCCCTCAGAAGGATGTGCACAGCACCTGGATTGACAATGACGATACACAGGAGCAGCCAGCCGCACGAAACGCGCAAGGACTGCAAACTTGGGATTTGGCTGGTGTAGCCGTTAGTCGTTGCTGCACTGGAGGCCTTGCCATCAGCAGCTTCCGTCGGATTCCCCCCCAGGCACTCAGGACACAAGACTCCTGATCGCCCCTGAAAAAATGCAGAGTAGGTCTAGCATGCGATTTCAGCCAAGGTCTTCTCCCCTAGACTATACTCCTTCACAAGATATTATACGATACTTTCTACGATTCTCGCTATGTTATACTTATACTCGATTACATAGACTCTATTAAACTATTATCTCTATTTCTACTCTATTGACATATGCTTTGTACTCTATATTAAACTCTCTATCATCCTCCCCTCTCAGCGTCCGGCCTTTGCCTTAGGTTGGGCGGGCGATGGAGTTGGCGTGCCCTCGGCTAAGGAGAGGCGTAGAGTCTCCATGGATGTCGGTAACCGCTATGACACCGCGGAGCGCCCTTGCTCTTAGGGCTTAGGGTTTAGGCTGATTTAGGGTTTAGGGTGAGTGTAGGGTTTGGGGTTTAGGGCGTTTAGGATTCAGGGTTCATGGGCTGTGCTGCAGCAGCGGTCACGAGAACTCTCAGAACTATCACCGTTCATGAGTGCTTGCTGCCACATCGTGACTAGCGACATAGGCAGCACGGAAAACTGAGCCCGGCACAGACAAGCCGGGAATCTTTTCTATGACGACTCGCTGTGCCTGCAACGGACGGGATATGAAGGAGTGCTGCTACTACTACTACTACTACTACTACTCCTGCTGCTGCTGCTGCTGCACCTCGGTCCTATGCTAGAACATGCTGTACTCCAGTATCTCGAGTTTAGGGCCCTGACTCCTAGAACTTCTGCCAGGCCAGTACGGGCTCCGCACCTGGCCTCGACGGCCAACTGCTCGTGGCCCCAGGCTGTGGGATGAAACCTTCGCAGAGGAGGGATTTTAAAAGTATAGGGGCCTTAATAATTAGAAGAGGGCTTTGGGGACCATTATACCACAATTTTAAGAAGGAGCTCCCAAAATAGAATTGGTAATTATATGATTTAGGGTTCCGGTCCATGAGGGTTGAAGGGTTTGGGTGGAATGCGGCACCCAAAGGCTCCAGCGTCCCCCGGTCTATCAAGCAGCCTCAGGGAACAGCCCTTCATCACGGCTCCCTCGCCAAAGAGGCCTGTTCTACTACTGAGGAACTGCAAGACACCTTGCAAGATCTTCTGCAGCTTCTGTTACAACTCGGGGTTACAAAAAGCCCTGCACATGAGTTTAAGAACTAAACGGGATTGTAAGGGGACATCGGAAACACAACCACCCTGAAAACCCAAGAAGAGCCCTGTCACGGGATTCTCCGGGCTCCCGCACATGCTGAAGTCCCACATGGACCGATCGAACGCCTCGCCGAAGTTCAGGCGCAGGCGCTCCAGGGCGGCGACCTCCCAACCCCGCTCCCAGAGACTCCAATATCCCTCAATTAAGGAATATTCTTTAAATCATAATAGGGATCCTACTATAATTTAAGGTATGTTCCTTAATTAAGGAATATTCTTTAAATCATAATAGGGATCCTACTATGATTTAAGGTATGTTCCTTAATTAAGGAATACTCTTTAAATCATAATAGGGACCCTACTATCCGCCGACCCCTGCGGGCGGCGCCCGTGATATCCCGAGAGGTGTCCGCACCCACACCGCTTCCACCGCCTCCACCGCTCTGTTAAAAGAGTCTTTCACCGCTGTTATACGTGTTTAAAGAGTATGTAAAGGCTGCCAATGTGTGCCCGGACCTCTCCGCGCCCCCAGTGCCCCCACCGCCCTCACCGCTCTGTTTAAAGAGTCCTTCACCGCTGTATCTGTAGGTGTTTAAAGAGTATATAAGAGTATTTAAAGGCTGCCAATGTGTGCCCAGACCCCTCCGCGCCCACACCGCCCCTACCGCCACCGCCGCCCTTTTAAAAAGTATTTAAAGGCTGCCAATGTGTGCCCGGACCCCCCCGCGCCCCCACCGCCCACACCGCCCCCACCGCCCACACCGCCCTCACCGCCCTCACCACCCCCACCACCTTCATCCCCCTCCACCGCTTTCACCGTTCCCACCGTCTCCACCGCCCGCTGTATTTGTAGGTGTTTAAAGAGTAAAAAAAGTATTTAAAGGCTGCCAATGTGTGCCCGGACCCCCCCGCGCCCTCACCGCCCACACCGCCCACACCGCCCACACCGCCCTCACCGCCCTCACCACCCTCATCCCCCACCACCGCTTTCACCGTTCCCACCGTCTCCACCGCTCTCACCGCCCGCTGTATTTGTAGGTGTGTAAAGAGTATATAAGAGTATTTAAAGGCTGCCAATGTGTGCCCGAACCCCCCCGCGCCCCCACCGCCCACACCGCCCACACCGCCCCCACCGCCCACACCGCCCTCACCGCCCTCACCACCCCCACCACCTTCATCCCCCTCCACCGCTTTCACCGTTCCCACCGTCTCCACCGCTCTCACCGCCCGCTGTATTTGTAGGTGTTTAAAAAGTAAAGAGTATTTAAAGGCTGCCAATGTGTGCCCGGACCCCCGCGCCCCCACCGCCCCCACCGCCCACACCGCCCCCACCGCCCACACCGCCCTCACCGCCCTCCCACCACCTTCATCCCCCTCCACCGCTTTCACCGTTCCCACCGTCTCCGCTCTCACCGCCCGCTGTATTTGTAGGTGTTTAAAGAGTAAAGAAAATTTAAAGGCTGCCAATGTGTGCCCGGACCCCCCCACGCCCCCACCGCCCACACCGCCCACACCGCCCCCACCGCCCACACCGCCCTCACCGCCCTCACCACCCCCACCACCTTCATCCCCCTCCACCGCTTTCACCGTTCCCACCGCCCGCTGTATTTGTAGGTGTTTAAAGAGTAAAATAAGTATTTAAAGGCTGCCAATGTGTGCCCGGACCCCACCGCGCCCCCACCGCCCACACCGCCCACACCGCCCTCACCGCCCTCACCACCCCCACCACCTTCATCCCCCTCCACCGCTTTCACCGTTCCCATCCGCCCGCTGTATTTGTACGTGTTTAAAGAGTAAAATAAGTATTTAAAGGCTGCCAATGTGTGCCCGGACCCCACCGCGCCCCCACCGCCCACACCGCCCACACTACCTTTATTGTCCTCACTGCCCGCCCCGGCCTTGCGATGCGCCGCCGCGCGCCCGCGACTTTTTTGTCGTACCATGTCGTACCATCCCATGGCCACAACTGCACTGGCTCCGTATCTTAAGCATATCGAATACAGCCTTCCGGCTAAACTCGGTTTTGTGCGGATGCCTTTTGCCTCTGAGTCACAAGGTTGCTGAAACATGCGCACACAATGTCCGAGAGCTGAGCACTGCGTCAGTCCGAATACTTCGCCGCATCAGTCATGTGCTCATGCTACTCGTGCCAGTTACAAGCCTTGCAGTTGGCTGCTTTCAACACCTGCTGCGTTCCTTGGATAGTCACCTCTCTTCTTTTGGGGTCGGCGGCAGTGGCGGCAGCCCATAAATCGGGCAGCGCTTCGCTGCCCTGTATGGACTGAGCTATGGCTCAGACGAATGAGCTTCGTCTGCGAAGCAGAAGCCACGACCGACAGTGCCGCCGACCCGCCCCGGACCCCGCATCATCGGACCCTGGTTTCTCCCTTGGGCCGTGCGGGGCCGGGCCCGGAGGCGTCTCGGAATGCGCACGCGCTTCGCAGCCATTCCCCACGGCATGGCGGGTTTCGGGGCCGCCGTGGACGACCCAGGAGGCGAGCCGGCGAGCATCATGAGCACTCGGGCGCCCGCAACCGGCCCCGCGGCGCGAAGTGATGATTTCCAAGTTTTTGCGTGGGTTGCGGAAGCCCCAAAAGGGCGCGCATCATCAGCATCAGCTGGGTCCGGCGGAGGGCGGATGCGGGCTACATGGAGGGCCGACGAGGGCTAAGAGCGTAAGATCACCCATAAGTTGTGCACTTCGGGCCTACGTTGCACTTTTGTTCCGGTAAATCCAAACTCAAGACGTTCGTCCATATGCAAATGAGAATGAAGGAAGCTTCCAAAGGCATTCCTGAATGTATAAATACACCACGTGGAAGGGCTTTCAACAATTGACCCACTGGCATCATCCCTAAACCCTAAACCCTTGCGGAAGCCCCCAAGAGCTTAGCGCTGCCCGCACCTGGGCGCAGCCCCTAGAATAATTTAAGGTATGTTCCTTAAATTAAGGGATATTAAAGTCTCTGGGTTTAAGGAGACGGACGCCACGCGACAAGACCCCAACTAACCATTAGGGCTCAGGGTTAGACCCTAAACTCAACCCGACCCCAACTACAAAAAGCGTGAGAGAATACATTTTGAATGGACCCCAATGAGGGAATACGTGTTGAATGGACCCTAAACTCAACCCTAAATAACCTCTCCCTGAGGCTAGCCTACGCCCAAGCACTAACCAAGCCTAACTACGCCCCGCCCAACCAAATTCTCGGCTTCGGCCCCAAGCACCTCGTCGAAGAAGACGCACGCGCTGTCGGAGTGGTTTTTGTTAAAGTCCTTCCAGAATGTGGGCAAATCCCGCTGCGCGAGCACGCCCCTGTTTCCACTTCTTCCTGATCGACTTCAAGTCTGAAAACCGATCCAGTGCAGCCCATCTGACACAGCCACATTGGTAACGCAAGCTTCGCTTGTGACGCAAGAAACATGGTCTTGGGTCTTGGGAAAACCCAGGAGACCGTTCGTTAGCGTAGCTGCAACCAGCAGTGAAACCTCAGCACCTAGCCACTCAATTTTGAGGACAAGAGGTGCGCATCTGGCAGCACAACAACCCCAAAGGAAGAAGGGGCGTGCAGCGTGCATACCTGTATGCAAGTGCGAGATGCCCAGGTAGTCATTCTGTATCTCTTGCCTGAAAGAAGCGACGGGCATTTTTGAGCTTGGATGCAGCCGTCCAGAGTCTTCGGCCCCAAGTCTTGGCTGCAGCTGGAGCTGGACTGCCTTCGGCATCAATCGGCACCGGCTCTTCAAATCTCTCAACCTCCGGAAGCCACTTCTTGAGCAAGTAATCCTCCACGTGCTGGATGTCCGCATCCGCAAGAACGGAATCAAACACCAGCAATTCGGAGATCCGGCCCTGGAACTTCTGACTGTTTTGTCGATCCAATCCAATCCGATTCGCCCATCCTGGCTTCAGCTGAAAAGCTCTTCGGCACTTGAAACTGGCAACTTGCATCGCTGTCCAACAAGGTTTCGGTTTAACTCCCTCCCATGCACCTCCGTTCAGCCGGTATGTGCCCTCATAACCGGGGGACTGCGAAACCCCTCGTCCGCCATGCAAAGGCCCCTGTTCAGCTCCGGTGAAAATGCAATATTGCGCGTAATGCTTTTCGCGGTCTGCTTTCATCTCGTCAAATGCCAGAACTGAGATGATGGTTCCGATTCTCTCCAGTGGATGGTCCATCTGCATCGACATATACTTGCTAAACTCCATGGAGGGCTTGCCATCCACAAGTCTGAGCTTGGGGTTTTCAGATAAATCCAAAGGATGGTGGGTCTTCAGTGCCGGTCCTCGAAGTTTGCAGCTCCAGCTGAGCAAGCCTCCGTCAGGGGCATAGGACAGGGTGCTTTCGCAGCTGGCATCAAGCCACAACATCAGACCAGGCAGTAAAGGGGGAAGCATCTGTGTGCCCAACTCGTCAGCGTAGCACCTCAACTCAAACTCCAACCGAAGGTGATGTGAGTCAAAGGCAGCAAAATCAACTTGACGGGGCCGTCGCCTAAATTTTCTTATTGTCTCCGCTGATTGTAACATCGGCTTTAACCGCTGACAGGTGTCCTTCCTGACCACATGGGGCCAAATTTGACCCAGCAAGCCAATGGTCAGTTGATCTGCTTCCAATGTACTGTCAAACACATGGTACAAAGTTTCAATGTCACATCTGCTGATGCCAAAATCTATGAATCTCAAGGTGGTGTTTTTGCCTACATGATCCGCCAGAACTGCTGGATGCACTGCATTGAGTTCGTCGAAAGTCAGCTCCTCCAGAGTCGTATTATTGGGCCCTAGGCATCAACCAATCTGTCGAAGCTGAACTGCGTTCAGTGGGCCCATGGTGTCGTAGCCCACGGCTTTCCGCTTGCCCAGCAACGTCAGGAAAGGAGCTGATAAACCAAGTGGTCCAGCAACAAGCTCTTGCAAGTAAGCACACAAGCCAAGGTCAACGTTCTTGGCGTCCCCAGACAACTGAAACAGTTTGTAACAAATATTGAATATCGATGGCAGGCAGGAGAACAAAATCACCGTCTCGAATTCATCTGTCTCATACCCCATATCCGGAGGTAAGTTGGTGATCCGAAGATACATGTACAGTTGGAAAGCAGATTGCCCACATCCCTCCACAAATAGACATCGATGAGTGTGAGAGTGAAAGGACCGAGCAAACCAATGCGGAAGTGGCCCCAGCCCAGCTTCCGCCGCAGTGCCTTGTGGACAAGGAGCAGCTTCAACAGAATGGGAATGATCATCAGCAAGATGCAGATGACTAGCCACCACGGGTCCCGCTGGCTGTCTATGGCACATGCCACGATGACATCCGAAACTTCATCATAAACACACATGCTTCGGGTGAAGAAGACCTCGCAAGCCTGCACAGCAGGGAGATCCATAAAGCCGTACAGATTGAAGATCGACGGGGTCCTGCAGGGAGCTCTCTGTGCGTCCTCTCTGTTGCTTAAGTGATCCGTTGTGGTCTTTGCTAGATTTAACAAGGGTTGACCCGATCACAACAGCTGTGTATGGTCCCTCCCAAACTGCAAGACAACCTCTTTTGGCTCTCTGCTACTGATAGGTCCCCAAATCTTTGGACAGGACAGTATGGCTTAAGTTGGCCAAACTGTGCAAGCATTTGCACCCATAGCAACGATTTTGAACGAAAGCTTTTCTCATTTCATGCTAGTTTCTATCACACAAGACTAGCCATTTCTTGACAGGAAACCGAGCGAAGCTACAAACGACATGTTGTACGACGTCATACAAGTCATATTAAAGCAAGGTTTCAGAAAGCTCGCGGCACTTACAGATTCATCTTCATCCAGACAAGTGTCGATGGTACAGAAACTTTTCGCCAGTTTGCAGGAACGCTTCAGCCACCTTGCAGGAAACCTTTGGCTAAGTTTCAATGGAACAACCGGTCCGAAGAAGACAAGCTCGCAATAAGATTTCGGTTTCCAGGTTGTCATTCCTGCAGTAACGGCTTCTGCAACCATGCGCAAGGGATTGCAAGGCGATTCTCTCTGATAAGTATCTACGACATCCTGCGCTAGCAGCGGCGCATGACCGTCGCCTTGTCATGTAAATGTAAACTGATATGTGTCAGAGCCCAAGCCATGACCATGGCATGCGTGAAGCACTCTCGATTTTCGATGTGGTTCAACGACTTCAATTTGGACCAACACAACTTCTTGCAGATGTCAGCTCTTCTTTCAATCCTTGGAAAGTAAGTCCTGTGTCGAGGCCCGGGCAATCTGGCATAGTGCTCCTCACACCAAGAGCGACTCTGCAGGCGTCCTCGTCTGTCTCCATAGGCAGATTCGCTCTGCGCTCGCGTCCAAGCAAAGTCCTCAACTGCAGCTTCACGGCTTGCCTGTCCTTCACCTCAAGCTACAGCTGGTTGAGACACATCCTCACATGTCACATCCTTAGATGTGTGTTTGGAGTCCTCGGTCGCGATCACCTCCTTAGCCGAGGCAGGTCGAGTGTTAGGTCAACGTCTTCATGCAGTTCGCCATCAGGTTCCAAAGCTTCAAACACCCCATTCTGGGATGCCTGATTACCTACCTTTGCGCCCACACTCTTCTTGGATTTCCCACGCTTGGGCATGAAACAAATCTAAAGACCGCCTCACCTGCTTCGCAGTTCAGGGCAGCCAGAACCATCTCTGGAGCCAGACAGTTGTGCACCATGCATTCTGGATTTCAATAGAGCAAGATGCTTCAAAAAAGGGCCCGGCTCAGCCTTATTGGGTCTCTGGGCTTGACGTCTACGGACCAGCGTAGAGGGTTGACGGATGGTGTTTGGGATCTAGAATGAATGTACCGTTTACGGTTTGAGGTTCAGTTTTGGGCTTGGATTTAGGACTTTAGGAGTTAAAGTTGCGGGTTAAACAGAATAGTTTGAAGATCTTCAATTTGGTACACAGGAGTGGAGTTTTAACTTCTATCGTCCACTTCAAACAGATGTGCATAGGGTGTAAGCGAGGCGTGCATGGAAAGACTTCCCCTGGGACACGGCTCTGGCTGTGCCCCGGTGCATGTGGCGCTCTCGTCCAACCATTTACACAGGATCCGTCGGGTCCGATCCATTGATTCCATCACACTGGCCAATTTTGGCCCCGTAGTTCTTTGCAGCCGCTTTAATTTAAGGTTTCCAGCTCCCGTCCTGCACGAGGTCCTCCCAGCGCTCGTGTAGCGCAGATGCCTGAGGTGCGGTGTCAAACGCCAAGAAAGCAAGACAGCCTGCCAGAGCCCTTAGCAAAATTCATGCCTCTGGCACAAGATCATCAGCTATCCTATACCCCATATATAAATCATAAACCGCAAGCCCTGTACTTAAAAGCCCGCGCGTTAAGAGCCCTCAACCCTGTAACACAAAAGCTTCACAGGCCCAAAAGTCAAAACAAAAAACGAGAAGCCCCAACGACCCTCCTTTCGACGACAAGCTCAACCCCGAAGCCCAAAATCAATCCGAAACACCAAACCCCCAAATCCTAAATCCCAAACCCCACATTCGGTAACCCGAAACAACCTCAAGGAAACCCGGCCTGCACCTCCACCGCCAGGCGTGGTGGGTCCCCCGGGCTCACGCCCAGGGCCTCGTGGGTTTTGGGGTTGCAGGGCTATGGGTTTCCAGAGTTTTGTGACTTTCGGGTTGTCGGGCTTCGGTTGCGGAGATTTCGGCTCTGAAAGTATTATTATTCCTATTAGCACTATTATTATTAATACTACTATTATTACTAATATAGCTATTATTACTATTATTATATGGTTGAGGTTGCAAGGTGTAGTGGAACAAAGCTTAGAGCAAGGGCTCCCAGGGTACTTGTAGTAGGAGTTAGCATTAGGGAGACCCATAAGGATATAGACCCTCCCAATAAGGTCCCTTTGTGAATGCCATAAGTATGGTTAAGAAGGGTCCCCATTTAAGGGGTCTCCCTAATACTACCTAGGACAGGGTTTGGGCTGGCAGGCACGCCGTGTGCCTCCAAGCGTCCCGAATTCACCATGCCAGTGATGATCGGCCTGGCCGACGACACCACGGAACAAGGGTTTAGGGTTTAGGGCTTCCAGGGTTTAGAGCTTTTCGGGTTTAGGGTTTCAGGTTTTAGGGTTTAGGGTTTAGGATTTAGGGAAGGTGCTGCTTACGATGACCCCTTACGTTGAGGAACCCCTTCTGGCTCGAAGTACAACGCGAACACTTCGACAATCGGGCCGGGAAGGCAGCGCCATGTTGAAAACCGGCATGTCCAGGAAAATGGGCACCTGAGACCGGTTCGGACACGATTGCGCATGTACTGATTCTGATGTTTGAAACTTGTGCTATCTCGTTCCTTCTTGCCCCACTCCTGCCGCATGTTGAAATGACAAGGACTGTGTGTTTATCCGGATTCCTACCAAGCTGAGTGCGGCATCGGAAGAGAAACGGACACGCTTGGGGCGCGGCACCCGAGACCTCAGTCCGGAGAAGCGCAGGTGCAAGACAACCACACGCCCCCACGGCTTTAGGGTTCAGGGTGCCTTGAGCTTTACGCTTTAAGGCTCATTCCTTAACATGAAGGTTTAGAAGGGTTTAGGGTTCATTAACCCCCAAACCCTGACCCCCCTAAACCCCTAAACCCCTAAACCCTACAAGCCCCTAAACCCCTGGACCCCAAGGTTTAGATTAGGGTTTAGATAAGTTAGGGTACTACTCTGAACTGGGACTTCGGGTTCCTGCAAAGACCTAGAGACTCCAATATGCCTTAATTAAGGAATATACCTCAAATTTGATAAGGGATCCTACTATAGCTTAAGGTATATTCCTTAATTACGGAATGGAAACCCAAGGCCTCCCTTGATTCAGGAATATACCATAAGTTATAGTAGGATCCCTTATATGATTTATGGAATATTCCTTGATTACTTGATTAAGGGATATTGGAGTCTCTGGGGACCTCTGAGGTCTTCGACGCTGGGCCCCGGGCCAGAAAATGCCTGGCCCCAGCCTCGGCTTCGAAAGGCGCGGGGGAGTCGGAGTGGCTGCAGGGGTTTAGGGGTTTAGGGTTTAGGGGTTTAGGGTTTAAGGGTCTAGGGTTTAAAGGTTTAGGAATTAGGGTTTAGGGTTTCGGGTTTAGAATTTAGGGTTTAGGGTTTTTGGGGTTTACGGTTATGGTTTGGGATTTTGCGTTCGGCGTTGAGGGTTTTAGGGGTCAAGGGTTTAGGGTTTAGGGGTTTGGGCGAGCTTGAACCGACTCATTTGGGATGTGGCCCTTCGTTTCACAGCGGATGGCAGATCTGTCATCCTCTTCTGAGTCGGGGGCGCGGTGCATGGACTCGAGGAACTCTTTCATGAACTGGCAGGTCAGGAGTCATGTATTGGCGCATCAAAGAATCAAGGGT